GGCACCGGCCACCCCGGCGCCGCTGCCACCCCGGCGCCCTCACCATCCCGCCGCCCGTCGTCATCGTCGTCGCCGTTGTGACCTGGTCACAACGGGGGTGACCATCGTGTGATTCTCATCACAGACGATCGCCGCCCGCTGTCATCGGGTCGGGGACGTCTGCCCGCTGGTCCCGCTAGCTCTCCGCGGCTGTCATTGATCTCCCGACATCGTCCTCGACGACGACAACCATGGTAAGCTCAAATCTCCATCAAATTACATGAAACAAACCGATAATCTATAGTACTTGATGATACCTATACAATGGTGAGGTAATCATCATTACCTGCCATGCGCGCCCTTCCCGCCCGCCTGCCCGACGCGATCCCGCCGCACCCACCCCCCGACACTTTCCGATCAAAAAACAGAAAAGTTGCGCAATCAATGGAAATTACTCGAGGTACAAGTGGCATGTAAAAATATTAAACTGTTAGAGAGTTATAAATAAAATATTGTTAACTCACAAATAAAAGTTGTTAACTCATTCCACTACCAAGGTATACTTTCCACAAGGTAGATTACTATTGTTTCAGCTCTTTACCAGGATATTTGACTCCCAGATAGGGTTTTTTCCAACTGAGGGAATTTACTGCAGCCATGATCATATAGAAGTGCTCTGATTGATCTTATCTCTTTGTTCAATGATGCCTGAATATTTCAGCCAGTAGCTATAAAATAGACATGTTGAAACTTGATTCTAGTATATAACATGGCACCCCATCATTTTGAAAAGTGAAAATATTTCTATTAGTGCAACAACATCTATGGAAACCTGTTCATTATATGCTAGTGAGTGTGCTTTTCAGCAGCAATGCCTTCTTGAATCTCTCAGGATACTGTATAGAAGAGCTCCAGCAGCCTGCTGGAGTACCCCCAAACAGTTGGATGTGCCTATCAAAACAGCTGAGCCACTCTAATGTGTGTTTGATCCTATAGCTACCATGATTTCATTTCTCAAATCTTCTCTGTGTTTGACTGTGGATAATCTATCTAAAGTCACAGTAGCCATGGGAAGACCTATGCCTACCCTTATTCTCACCTGATGGAATGTCTGAAGTCATTCTTTTGGTAAATCCAAGTGAATCTTGCATGGTGTCACATTTGTGACACCATGCCATATGGCCAAATCCTACTCATTGACTTCAATGAAACAGTGTAGGATGCTAACTAGATAATCCTGAGCTATCTAGTATGTGTTATGACCAGATATATGTCTGGTTATAACTTTTGTTAGATGTTATTCTGAAGACAGGGTTGGTTCACTTAGGGCAAAAGAGACTGTCTGCGCTCTTACACCTGCTTGGAAAAAATTTCATGTATGAGATAAAATTTCACTATAGACTTGGAAAGGGCTTTGAATGAAGCTGTCAAGTACTTCAATCAATGCTACAACTATTTTAGATCTGCTGCAATACTGTAATCAGTGTTATCTACTCCAAATCTAGTACACCTATAACATTTCTTCCTTTCAACTTGAGGGTACACACAGCTGGGGGCTAGTCAGGGATATAAAGGCCTTCTCAAAGGTTGTGGAGCCTTCCTCACAGATGGTTTACAGCCCAGGATATCCACTGCCCTGTGGATGATGACATTGAGCAGTGCTTGCTTCTCATAAAAGTGTGGAAATAGGCCAGAATGTACATGTACATCCCCACTCTCAAAGACATTTTAGATCAAGGTAATCCAATGAACATAGGGAAAGATATCAACTATACACTTTACCAACAGTCCATAGCATACAGTTTTTGGTTTATAAAACTATATACAGTAAGCCCTGGCCTTAGAACTGATGTTGTAGATGAAAGCCTGCTGCCAACAGGAAACACTGAGGGAGACACGCAGCAAGTCAACAGGACCGGGCTGTGGATTCCAAGGACGACGAGGTACAGGACAAGAATGACTACTGATGGTCACACAATGAGTTACACTATGAGTGAGTGTCACACAGATAAACCAGCGGGTTTACACCCTCCCCCTCTTCAGAACACAGAGCACCCTCCAAAGCAATCCAGCACATAAACCCTGAAGACAACTAAAATAAACCCAACACCAGAGAACCAAACCAGATTCGCAACTTGCATATTGCCACAATACACATGGAAACACATCATGTGGGTCGTACCAAGAGCAGGATGCAGGGAGGCAGCCAAAGGAAAGACAGGGGTGTTGGCAAGACAGTTATGAAGAACCAGATAGTGGTTGCTGAATCAGACACCAGTGCATGGAACAGCATCACGCAACTCGAGCCAGAACAACAGACCTGGGGTGGCCAGAAAGAAGAAGGCGATTAAAGCTGAGGATATAATACCAGGGACAGGTGGAGCAAGCAAAAGGGGAGTTGCACGGGGTGGCCAGAAGACGAAGAACCAGGGTAGTGAAACCAACAGGTAGATGAATTTCTGTGCCCAATAGGATGTCAGGACAGCAAGGCACATAAGTCCAAAGAGGGCCAGACACCAGATGAAACCAGACAGGACACCAGGACAGCAAGGCACACAAGTCCAACGAGGGCCAGGTATCAGGCGGCAGCACAGAAGCGCACCAACAGGAAGGAATCCAGATGGCGAGAATGAAGAAGATGATTAAAGTTCTGTCGTAACATAGAGGAGAAAGACAGTTTGGGTTACCAAAGTGATCTTCTGCGTTGGACTTCTCAACAACGGCTCAAGCGCATCTGAACCAGGAGGAGGAGTAGCAAGCCAGAAAGACCAGGTATGAGTCTACAACGCAGGGGAAGAGATCAGCGGTTGCAGCGTTCAGCCAGTTCAGGGTCAACTTCCAAACAGAGAGATGTTGACAGGAGACAGGAGTGTCCGCCAGGAGACAAGTAAGGAAGTGACAGATAGACACAGACAACAAGAGCTCGTTCTCGACAACGGCCTGGGCGATTCCCACGATTTTCGAAGGAGGAGTTCTTCATGTGGGGGGGAGCCGACTGCCGAAATATGGGGCGATTTCGTGCACAGGAACCCGAGGAATGACTCGTCCTTGCCAAGCAAGATAGCGACTGATGTTGCAGACGACAGCGTGGGAACGTGGAGAGCGTGGGAACGGCGAGATGGTCGGATGACATAAGCGAGCCAGTGTACCAAGTTCGGAGGCAATAGATGCAGTAGATGTGGAGATAGAAGCCAAAGAGCGACGAGGAAATGTGTCTGAGAAGCAAAAAAGCACCAGTAGTAGTTGAAAAAAAAGTGAAAGCCTGCTGCCAACAGGAAACACTGAGGGAGACACGCAGCAAGTCAACAGGACCGGGCTGTGGATTCCAAGGACGACGAGGTACAGGACAAGAATGACTACTGATGGTCACACAATGAGTTACACTATGAGTGAGTGTCACACAGATAAACCAGCGGGTTTACAGTAGAGTCACAGGCACTGGTACCTTCAAAACAAGCCCTTAGGCTTCCATATATATTGAGTGGATGTGGAGATCTGGCTTGAGTTTGGCCAGATCAACAAATAGTGATGGTCCATCAAAAGGTGTTGGGCACACTGTCTAGGACAATAGCAGGCATGGAGAGTATTGGTTTGAGTTGAAATTACCTTCAAACTGGTTGGTAAGATGTTCTAAGCAGCCTGAAGGAACTCAGCAATGCATATTAATGTCCTTGGGCTCATAGGGGCTCTACAGTGCTTTGGCCTGCTTCTGCATGTTTCCTGGGCAGTTAAAGGTGCAAATATGAATCTAGCACCATCTTGAAGCCTTTGTTATTGATAAACCAAGTCCTACTCCTGTAGAAAGAACTTATTTGTAGTGAAAGGAGTTAACAACTTTTATTTGTGAGTTAACAATATTTTATTTATAACTCTCTAACAGTCTAATATTTTTACATGCCACTTGTACCTCGAGTAATTTCCATTGATTGCGCAACTTTTCTGTTTTTTGAGCGGAAAGTGTCGGGGGGTGGATCGGGGGCGGCGGGATCGCGTCGGGCAGGCGGCGGGAAGGGCGCGCATGGCAGGTAATGGTGATTGCCTCACCATTGTATAGGTATCATCAAGTACTATAGATTATCGGTTTGTTTCATGTAATTTGATGGAGATTTGAGCTTACCATGGTTGTCGTCGTCGAGGACGACGTCGGGAGATCAATGACAGCCGCGGAGAGCTAGCGGGACCAGCGGGCAGACGTCCCCGACCCGATGACAGCGGGCGGCGATCGTCTGTGATGAGAATCACGCGATGGTCACCCCGTTGTGACCAGGTCACAACGGCGACGACGATGACGACGGCGGCGGGATGGTGAGGGCGCCGGGGTGGCAGCGGCGGCGCCGGGGTGGCCGGTGCCTCTGGCACGATGAAGAAGGGCGGCGGTTGTCGGAGGTAGCGGGGGTGCCCGCGGCAAGCTCAACCCCCTCTAATTAGAGGCGGAGAGTACCCTAGTCTCCGCCTCTAATTAGAGGGGATATGGGTGAGCTATAGGTGGCTGGCAGGAAGCATAATAGGACGATCGGCGAAGAAGCCAGGGTTTCCGTTTTCGGTGAGGTAGGTGTAGTCGCGCAGCCCGCGAATGTGAAGCCTCCGCCACAAAACTGGTGTTCGATGAGATAGGTCGCGCCAATAACGGCAAACTCGTCCAAATAACAGCGGCGCATGGTCGGGATGAATGACTGGGTTTCTTTCTGTAGGTAGAGAGGCAAGAAATATCTCTTGTAGTATATCCTGTGGGATTCGGCGCATGGGCGAGAGGAGTGACTGATGCGCCGCTATGTCCAGCGCCAAAGCCTCGCGTTCGGCCCGTAAATCGGAAAGAGCTGTTTCCATCTGTGTAACCTTTTCGTCCAATTGAGCTAACGCAGCGATCGGCTCGCGTAGCACAACACGTATGTCACGCATTTCCGCCTCAGAAGGAACGAAAAAGCGGGGACTCGTAGAGAGGAGACGTCATCGTCGTTTCAAAGGTGTGGTCGTCCCAAAATGGTAACTAGGTCACACGTCTCTTCCCACTTGCAACTTATATGGACCTTACCAGCCCGGTCTTTCCTCCAGAATTGGAGCGTGAAATCTTTGAGAAAGCAGCGGAGGCATATCGTCCGGATATTATCCGCTTGATGCTGGTGTCAAAACGAGTTTATTTGTGGTATGTCGCTCTCAAAGTCAGTTCCACCAGAAGTTGTTCGTTGTTCAGTCGGACGCAGGATAAGGCCGATGCTCTTCCGTATCGTTGGCGCATCAGACACGGGCATCTGGCCTCCATTGCGTCTCGCTTTGGACTCCGAGCCAGCCTTTCTACGCCACTCAGTTCGATTCCTTTGCCTCACATTGACACATTACTCGGCTGTGACAAAGGAAGATACAGACCGACTTCTGACTATTTGCACTGGGCTAGTGGATCTCGCTATTAGCCACAAGTTTCCGATGACCAATCATTTGTCGCTCCTGGCGAAAATGCACAATCTTCGTCGTCTTACATGCTCTTTGGAGAAACTCTGCGGGAACTTCGAATCCATTGACGGAAGGCATGAAGCATTCTCTCGGATTACTCACCTCGAGCTGTTAGATGACGGCCTTGGCTGGTTGAAAAGTGTCCTGCGACCTCTGACCCTCATGCCGGCGACCACCCACCTCTCGCTCAGTGGCGGGGACAATCTTGACGATAGTGGCTTTTGGGATGATATTCAGCAATTGCTAGATGCCATGCCCAGGCTGGTATTACTTGCTCTCGTATGGGGGCGCCTAGATGTGCTAGACTGGTTCGAGTCAGTTAATGCCACACCGGTACGCGACCAACGATTCGTTGCTGGCTGCTATAATTATCCAACTGACGGTGAAGACAATGTCTGGGTGGAATGGGATGAGTCTGCTTCTGGAACTGCCTTGGACTACTGGGGTCGCGGGGAGATATTTTTGCAGAGGAAGAGGAGAGGAGAGGTTTCAGGTAAATATGCTCTGAGTCCTCAGCAACGTCTTCTTCTCATCACGTAACTTGCTAGAGACGAGATTCTGGATGGACGATTGGATGTATGAAGCTCGAAGAACAAGCCCACAGGACCTTGAAGGAGAATTCGACGATTCTGATACTAGTTACTAAATCTAGACAACACAAGTGAGCAAGTAGTGAAATAGCTTCAGTCCCTCCCTTAGTAAGACTTGAAAGAGAGCTCGTCGAAAGTTCGGATAAACGACCGTGTTGAGGGCTTCCGAAAAGTGCACCTGACTCAAACGTGACTTCGCCTCCCCAACCACCTCCCACTCCCAAAGTTTTTCACCTCCGTCCCTCGCATCTCGCATCGCGAATCAAGTCATTGTCGCTCAAACTCCTACCTCATGACCCTCTGTTCCATGTCCGGGGCCGTCCCCCATACATGTGTCCTCCGACGCGGGCCGCGATGTCGACAGTGCCTAAATACCCTCACATATCATGGAACTTTGACATTCGAGCCCATATGCAAGTGGTGTTGAGATCCTCGATTGTAATTTCTCTTGCTGCTCTCAGCAATGCGCTTTCCAATGGGGTGGGGGTAACGCCGGCTATGGGCTGGAATCCCTACAACGCATTTTCGTCAGTATTCAACACTCTCCTTCGCCGCCTAGACTCCCTCAAGTCTGAAGATGAGTTTAGATGCGCCACAACAGAAGCTCAGTACCATACTCAAGCGCAAGCGTTGGTCAACTCTGGTCTGGCAGCGCTGGGATATAAATATGTCATTTTGTGCGTGTCTCTGTCATTCTGTCTCCTTCTACGGGACTTTAAACGTCGAATACAGTGACTGCGGCTGGCAAGGCAAAAATAGGACATCAGCAGGGGTCTTCACTTGGGACACGACCAAGTTACCCTCAGGCGTTCCGGCTTTGGCCACTTTCCTCCATAATTTGGGCTTGAAGTTTGGTGTATACTCGGATGCGTGCGTTGCTACCCATTTTTATCCCCTCAGACAGCTGAACTATACCCTCAGTGGAACTTATGCGTGCGATGATCAAGGCGGCAATGGTCACTTTTTGGGCTCGTTAGGACACGAAACCTCGGATGCTTCAACTTGGGCTGGATGGGGTGCCGACTATCTGAAATACGACAACTGTTTTGCCGTCAGTGCCACCGATTTTGTGGATTATAATCCGCCGTTTGCAGTATGTCTTGTTTACCACTCACTGTTTGGCCTCTTATTCCACCCTTTGTAGACACAGGCAAGCTTTCGTGGAATGATTTGCGGATGTGACTTGACGGAAACTTTTCTTAGACACACTATACTGCCATGCGCGATGCCCTTGCTGCCACCGGTCGTCCCATCCTTTACTCTGCCTGTGAATGGGGTGTGCAAGACCCTGCTCGCTGGCCCGGAAGCTCAGTCGCCAACTCGTGGCGCATGTCGTGAGTTTCTTTCATCGCTTCAACTCCGCATTTCAAAATGTTCATAGCAACGATATCGCTGCTGGCTGGGCCCATGTCTTCCGCATCATCAATCAGCTCGTGCCTATAACACAATTCTCTGGGTTTGTGGCACATTGGGCGTTTAGCAACTTGAAAGATACCCATATTTGCTAGGCCAGGCGGATTCAACGACCTCGATTTACTCGAAGTAGGCAGCTCAGGACTCACTGCTGCCGAACAACAGACCCACTTTGCTTTTTGGGCTGCTGCCAAAAGTCCGCTCATCATTTCGACTGATCTCACAACCGCCTCTTCGACGACCATGGGAATCCTAAATAACCAGCGCATTATCGCATTGAATGTACGAGAAGATTTGCTGATTCTACAGCCTGTCTAACAAACTGTTTAGCAAGACTCGTTGGGAAAGTCGATTGCCTTCAAACGTCGTTATACCAATGATCAGGATGTGTGGAGTGGACCGCTCGCGGATGGTTCCACTGTAGCAGGTGTGCATCCCCCCTCTGCATCACAATATGTTGGCTGACCAATTATAGTCGTGATCAATTGGCAAGATGCATCCCGCTCACTCACCTTTTCCCTGGCGGATGTAGGATTTACTTCTGCCACTGCCACCAACTTGGTCACTGGAGCCTCTTTGGGAACTTTGACCACCGCGTATGCTGAGACTTTTCCTGCTTGCCGTTTCGTTGATGTTATTCAGTTACACGTCCACAGTTGCCGCTCATGGTGTTTTGGTTCTGAAACTCAGCAACGCGGTCAAAGCAACTGCACCGACATTCACCTTCTACCAAGCCTCGTCTGGAACACTCGCCGGTGGTGCCAATACACGAGCTGTCAACTCCAGCGTCACTGTAGTTGGCTTTGTGGGGCAAGGTGGAACTTTGACCATCACTGGTGTTGATGGCGGCAGCTCCGGCGGCACCAAGCTCGTCTCTTTCGACTACATCAACGCAGATTTCACTTACAGCAATACCGCCTGCTCGAACTGCCGAAATACCATGGTCAGCGTGAACGGTGGAACCGCTGTACAAGTGCAAATGCCCATTTCTGGCCAGGTGGGCATCTTCTGTGCCTCTGGATTTTTAGCTCACAATTCTACAGAGCTGGGATATCCTACTACAAGGTTATCTTGTGTCTCTATCCGGTTTCAAGGCGGGAAAGACGAATACAGTCACGCTCTCGAATCCGAGTGCTTATGCACCCGACATTTGGCGTATGGGTATTGTCGTTTAGCGGTCCAGTCTTTGAATCAGTTGTTTTCGACTAGTAAAGAGGGTTCATGATACTTTGCTTGATTCACACCTCCGTTAGGTCACGTGCCATACCTCCTTATGACTGCCACGAAACCTTGCCTTCTGTTGGGTTTGGAGCGGGAGATCTTTGAAACGACTGCTATGTTGCACGACTCAGACTCCAGATGCTCTTACTTACTCGTCGCACGTGTTCCTCTGTGTTAATTTTTCGCCAACTCGATCTTTCGCAACACTCCCCGATGAACGAGTGGTGGCGGGGACGTCTGACGATGTCAACGATGAGACCGGGCCCTGGCCGATGCGTGGGTTGGGAAATGTCGGCCTGGAGTCTACAGCCTGATGATTGGGACCGGGAAGAGAAGTTTTTAGAACGAAAGCAGTTCCAGGCAAGTGATATAATGTAACAATGCCTTCAAATGCGCTCATGATCATGATTGCAGCCGGTCGCATTTGGATGGAGGATTGACCTTATATCAAGACTAGCACTGAACCGACGGTATAGACATTGACAGGACAACAGATCATGCTATAGTAACAGGCTCTCTTTAGGAAGGACATGCTTAAACTCAGTTCAACGGCTCCCTTGGATGTTTCTGCATCGCTGCCAAATAGTCTGGTGTACTCTCGAGTTGATATTCCAGCGGTCGCGACAATGGGTTCATTCCCTCGCCGCGCTCTTCCAACTCCTTCAGACGACGGGCTGTCGCTGGTCGACTTTTGTTGACACTGTAAAGTTTGATGCGATGGCAGGAGGAAGTAACGTGGAGATCCCAGCTGGGAATTATCAGCATTCAAGTCTCGACTTGCGCAGAATGCAAGATTTACTTCCACGCCGAACGAACGAATGTTGGTTCTGTATTGTTCGACGAGTCCCATGTGCGGACGCAGAACTCCAGCCAGCCCTCTGCATCAACTGGAACGTCAATGGTCCAAAGACGCCAAGCGTGATAGTGCTGGAACGGAGTAATCAGTAGTTTGACTTTGATTCCTTTCTCTTGGATTGTACCCTACCTTCTCGGACATATCGTCTTGATCTACTGCATACCACACACTTCCGCTATAAAATATTCAGTGAAGTGAAACTCATGTTATCAAAGGAAAGTGAGTACTTACCCGTCTGCTGACACTTCCACGCGCTCGACCCAGTTGCCGCCACCAGAATAGGACCATCCCTTGAGCGTGATTTTACCATCATGAACGATAACTTCTTTGTCTCTGGGCGTCAAAATCGCGCTTCTAGACAACAATTATATATTAGACACCACCTTTGAGAACCTGTCAAGCGGCAAGATACGCACGACACGGGCATCTGTTGGATCGAGAATCCGTTGGAGTACTTCGTGTTCTGTTTCCCGATCTTAAATTGACCCATTGAATCAGCAAACTGCTCGAGAAAGAACGAGATTCCACCACCTGGGCGGTATAGTACAGATATTCCTGAGCTTGGACCGGACCCATGCTAGGCGCGGCAAGCGCATTGATGCGATACACCCACTTGCAACTCCTGGCCCCAATGTAACCTGTGACGACAACGCGAAGCGGGGCGCCATGGCTCTTAGGCAATGGCTTGCCGTTCATCTCCCATGCCAACAAAACCTCCTCGTTGGCGCGAACCTTGCGATAGGGAACAGATACCGCATAGTTGAAGACATTGTTCTTCCTGTGTAAGATTAGCTGACTGAGAAATATCGTTTGAGAGACGTCAACTTGAAGTATGTGTCAGCGCCGATAAATTCGAGATGCTTGCACTCGTCTGTAACACCCCCGCAAGCAATTTTCAACACCTTCTTCAGTGGAACGCCGCGATAAACGGCGGTCCCGCTGATCACGATAAGAAATTGCTTTTGAAAGAACATGGGGACAAACATGGCTCCCTCTCCCCAAGGCGCGTTGATCAGCTCATCACCATCCCCAGGATACTGTTCTATTTGTTCAATTCGCCGCTAAGAATCAAAACAAGAATGATATCATCAGTCAATGTTAACTTGGAGATTGAGTGCACTTGTACCGTTCCACTGCACTGAAGTGTGACGGTTACTTCCATCTGCCTGGAAATCGGTTATGTACTCAGAAAATGACACTCTGGTCGAAGGACGAACGGAAATTTCGCAGGATCCTTGAGTTCCTTTAACGACAGCTTGACGCTTTTGTTGACCATTCCGCCAATCTCCAGCTCGAAGACATCCTCAGCGATGTCTGGTATGCCGCCGTGATTGCGGACACTTCAGCTTCCATCAGCGCTGGCTGCAACGCATAGTAGCTTGGAAGTGAACTTACAAATGATATTTGTTGTCCGTCAACTTTCCCTGCAGCAATTGCTCCCTGGTTGTCTCACCGTTGTACGGAAAGTCGAGCACATGCAGCAAATCAGGTTTCTCCTCCAGCACAGTCTTCCAGCTGAAGTCCACGATGCTCTTCAGGCCGAGAGCCTCGTGGTACTCCTTCCAACGGTATCCAATTAATATGGGGTTTGTCTTGGGCAAAGGGACGAATTGGAACTCTAGTGAGAGACATTTAGCACCAATCTCAGCAGTCAACAGCTGAAAAAAAATCCGCACCAGGAATCGGAGTGAACTTTTTCGTGTTCAGGATTTGTGTCGCTAGCGCTTTCTTCTCAGGGTAATTTTCCCATTCAACGTATCTAGAAAGATATTTCAGTCTTGTAAGAGTAGAGGTTTGGGTGGCAGGCACAAACCCGGTCCATCCTAGTTTCTCTTCAGCGAATTGAACGACCTCAAGGTCTGATTGAGCCTGCGTATCTGCCATGGGAGGGCGATAACAGGCGTTTGGACATGCGGGCAGTTATTTATGCCCCTTTCCTGGGAGAGAAGAAGCCGATATGGCGTCACAAGGCCCAACAGCTTCTAACACCTCTCTTTCGTCTCTCGCCGGAGCCAGCTCATTGGACCGCGAAATCACGGTCGGGGACGCTCGGGAATGCCAACACAGACAACGACGCCGCCATTCATGTTGTTCACACAACATCGACGTCATCGCGAAAATGTTGACCCACCCAGGCTGGCTAACTTGAACATGGATGCGGAAGGGATCGGGACTGTTAGCCAATGTTAGGGTTCACTGAAAAAAAACTAGAACACGAAGAAAAAACCGTGATCTGTGACTCGGCGGATGCCATGGACAACTATGGACAACGTGGTGCAAACTGGAAGTTGACGCGAAGACTCGGATTGAGCTCACTAGCGCCCGGTACATAAGACCATTTAGAGGACACAGTAGAATGACACACCTATGGCGGCCCAGAACAGAGCTATCTGTGGGCCAAAGCAAGAACGAAGCACGTATATCGTGGAAGTAACAAATCAAGAAGGTATGAAGTTAGGATCACGTGCAACTTCGACCGACGATTAGAGCAACTACAAAGATGGACTAGGAATTCATTCATTTCAGTTCATTAACTTCCAGAGATGGAGTGTATGTACAAGATTGCATAATAATAAAAAGACAAAAAAGAAGATTTAAAGGACGACAACAACCACCTAATTATTGCACATTAGCAAACCAACCCCGTCGGAAAAGCAAAGGGACAAACCTAACGTGAGCAGCGTCGTATAAGCAGCATAACACTCGCATTTATTGGAGGATCATGCGGGAGAAGAGGTTGTCGATAGCCCAGCAGTGAACCACGACTGTTTACGTTGCGATTTAACAGGAACAGGTGCCTCAGTTGTCACACTGGTACTCCTTGGCTTTGACGGTGAAGAGGGTGCGGAGGTTGGATGAAACGCGTTGGATGTGGACAAAGATTCAACATCCATCGAACCGTCTGGTGTAAGTACGAGATGATGCAACGGGTGCCGGACTTGGAAGATGCTGGTCGGGACCGAAGCTAGCTTCGGTGTCGACGGACGCGAAAGGGGGAGCGGAGTAGTACTAGGGGTAGCCACTGCTCTGGGACGAGGATGTTGCTGCTCAAGAATCAACTTCCTTCGCTCGAAGTCGAGGTTGAGTTGCTCTCGTTGAGCATCAAGCCCCTCTTTTAATTGCTCTGTCAACGCGGATTTTACCTCGCCCAAGACGCCATCTTGCAACTGGACCGTGAGAGCATCTTTAAGCTGGGAAACCAACTCCCCCTTGAGCTTTTCGATGAACGACTTCATTTGGGTTCCAACATCGGCACGGAGTTCGGAGTTCATGAGCGTCTGCATCCGCTGACCTAAGGCTTTGAGCTGGTCTTGGAGTTGCGCCGAGAAATGATCTTTCACATCTGCAACAACATGCTCTTTGAGATCGTCGCGAAGAACATTTCGGAGGTTATTTTCGAGGGCAACAGACAACTCGTCTCGAAGTCGTTCCTTGAGGTCGTCTTGGAGGACGAGTCGCAACTCGTTTTGCAGTTGTTGCACAAGTTCGTCCTTCATTTGGGCCACCAACTCGTGCTTGAGCTGTCCGGTCAAATCCCCTAGGAGCTGGGCCTTCAACGGGACGATTAGTTCGTCCTTCAACGGCCCCAATAGTTCGTCCCTCATTTGCCTGGATAACTCGCTCTTCATTTCTCCCAGGACCTCCCCTGAAACTCTGTCGGGTAACTCTGCCTGCGTTTGCGCCAGTAATTCAGCGCCAAGGCCATCCCTCAACTCGTTTCTCAACTCATTTCTGAATTGACCACGCAGCTCCCCTTGCAAATCGCGGAGTATTTCATCTTTGAGTTGCCCCTTCCAATCTTCACCCATCAAACCCGTCATCTCCACCGCCATTCTGGACTGCATCTCGTTCCTCATCTCGGCTGCGAGCTCCTCCTTCAACTGAGCTCGTAATTCGTTCCTCAGTTTCTCCGCGAGTCCTGCGCCCAGACTCTCTTGCTGGCCTTGCACTTTGGAGGAAACATGCTGGAAGAGAGCGAACTCCCGCTTTTCTGCATCCGATATAATACGATCAGAGAGCATGGTTTCTGCGAGTGTGAATCGGCTCCCAAGTTCTTTCGATAATTTGTCTAGAATGGCAGTCTCTCCTGCGGTTTCGCGTATTTTCATTTCGGCGGCAAGCTTTTGTAGCAGTGTCGTCTCGAGGTTCTTCAGATCGGTCTCAGAAATACGTGGGGCTTCGATTGGCGGCGGAGATGAACGAGAGGCTTCCAGAGGAGGCGAGCGGGACGTTGGAGGGGGCGCAAGCGCCGGAGAAAACGGCAGCGAAGGTGTTTGCAGAGGTGGGGTTGGCGGTTTCGACGTCGTCTGGCCGTCACTCATCTCGATTTCAGACGAAGACGAGAACAGGCGAGAATTGCGCATCATATCTGGTGCGACTTGTGCGAGGAGATTCCGGAGGGAATCGGTAGCATGGATTGGCGAATTGACCCGGATGGGAGTGACAGTATCATGACTTGAAGACCGTCGCAATGGAGATGGAGGTCTGTTTGCGGAAGGCATGTGTAGGGGCACAGGCATAGGCATCGGTATCTGGCCATTGTATAGAGGTGCATCAGTGGAGTTGTTAGTTTCTGTAGCGGGTGGATGGATAATGAGTGAAGAGGATGCGGACATTGGGTTGTTCAGCGGAACCAAAGGAGAGTATGGTTGATTATATAACTCGTTATTGGATGCGGTGTAACCCATCCAGCGAGGGAATGCTTGCGGTACAGCAGGACTGGGCATCGAATATGTAGCCGATACAGAGGGCCGTCGCGGATCATATTCGCTCTCGTTATCAGGTAGCCGAGTGGGTGACCGCCGTCCATCCATTGGATGATCCGAACGATGTGGATGAGCTGCCGGAGGCGGCGGCAGCGGTGGGGCACCATTGGCTTCACGATCACGTGAGAACAGCTTTGAACGTGGCCCTGAAATTGGTATAGTATTGACTGCATAATTTCAGCTACTGTTGACCATGAAAAATAAGGGACTACTACCTTTGGAGAAATTTCCGCCATTCTTTCCAAAGAATCGATGGGTGTTGGAGGGAGGAGGGCGCGGTGGGGGAGAGGAACGACGATATGATGTGTTGCGTCCGTAAGAGGCAAAGTTGTGATTGTTTGCCTTGGCGGGGAAAGGACGATCGACCGATTGTTGCGATTGCTGGACAGGCGGAAGAGGAGCGGAAGTTGAAGTTTTGGTAGTATATTGCGGATGATCAAGTTGGGCGGGAGGAATCGGGTCTGGAACACTAGGACGTTCAGATTGCTGGTTTTGGCTGACGTCTTCACGTTCAGGACGCCCTGAAGCGACTCCAGGGATTTGATCATCGGGCTCTATGTCAACAGGTGAATCAATCGGTGTGCCCATGTCCATATCTTCTGGTTCTTCGTCTTCGTCTTCATTCAGCAACGATGTGGTTACAACTTCGAGTTTGACGCGCTTGGACTGGGCATCGTCAAGATTCGAAACGATTTGTTCCAGAATGGGCAGGGAGAGAGATGACGGGGACTGAATCGGAGACGAAGGGGTGTCTACATCAATCGAATTTTGCAAGTCAGTGGCAATGGTGGTGTCGACTTGAACGGGATGGTCCTCTCCAATAATAACTTGGGCTGGAGCTTCTTCACTTGTGTCCTGTGGCAGGCTCCCCATAAAGTGGAATCCAGGAGGGAATTCGTCGGCAGCGTCAGATGCACCAATTGGCACAACATGGGCTGTTGTCGGAGTAAGAGGTTCAGCTTCTGGATTCTGGAGCTCGCCCTCCTCCACATCCAAGTTCTTGAATCGTTGCGACAGTAGCTCTGGCTCTTTCTCTTCCATGGATGTCTGAACGGGAATTGTCTCTTCTTCTTCGTCTAATTCCGAAACAATTGGGGGCGACGACGGCCGTTGCTCTGGTATCTCCACGGATCTCCTCATTGGGCTCGGCACAACAGACTCTTCTGCAGTCGAAACAGACTTATCCTTCGCCATTGATGTCGGAACCTCCGGCGTTTTGATCCTTGGGGGTAGGACAAGAGGTGGACGGGGTTCAGGACTTGACGATGACCTGATTGATTCCGAGTCGCCGTCCTCTTCCATTGGTTTCGCGAAAAGTCCTTCCTCTGAATCAACATTCGGGACTGACGAAGGGTCCGCCGAGATAGGTGAAACAGGCGACTTTTCCGAATCTGGAGGCAGTTGCGACTTGACCACGGGCGGAGTAGGTCCAAACGGTGTGGGCAACCGAGAGTTCAAGAACTCAGATTCGTTGAAATCAACATCGTCAATGGATGATACAGCTACGGCCGGCACTTGCGCTTCTTTGTTTGGTTTCGGCGGACTAGGTGGATATTCCAAGCCAAGTTCAAGATCGTCGTCATCTTCAGTCTGGATCGTAACAATGGCAGGACCTAAACCGAATGAATCTCGAGTCACATTTCCACCCCCGGTTGTAAAACTTTCAGGATCATTGTACTGGATAGTATCGACCTGGTCAACTGTATTGCTTTTAGTGAGAGAGAACACGGGAAATCAAAGAACGGACGTTTCGAGTCCATATGAGTATCCTTATCAAACGAAGTATCGACTTCCTGCCCTTTGGATTGTTGTGTTGGAGCAGATGGTAATTGGGTTGTTTCGGGCTCGGGCGAGTCGAACAATGAACGAGGATCTGCAACGGTTGTTGCTGGCTCAGGTACTCTCTTGGGCTGTGGACTGCGATCTGGGGTTGGCTCGTCGAATAACCTACGAGGGTCTCCTAAAGCTGAGGTTGCAGATGGCGGCGTCATTTGATGGTCGCCAATTTTCGCCTGCTCAGCTACCGCATCATTCCCAGCAGCGTCCAACTCCATCATTTCGTCGTTGCTGTTGAGCGATAAATGCTCGACGGAAGGCATCGGAATCGTGGGTGTCAATGGTGACAACGATGGCGAATGGACTTGGGCCAGTTGCGAGAGAGATAAGGGTGACTTAGGCGTCGGAAGAGGTTGTGCTTCGAGTTGCATTGGCTCATCTGGAACAATGGCCGTTGGAGATATCGTCGATGTTGTTGTTCCTTTGGGCGGGAGTGTAAATCGCTTTCCATCTACAACCCAGGCAAAAGTCTTGTTCTCGCGATCAAGTTGAAGTCCATGCATATGTTGCTCGGCAGTGATGCCCTCGTTAAGCTCGTCTTCGGTTACAACGAAGCCCTGGATACCTTTTTGAACTTTCTGCATCCAGCCTGGAGGAGAACGTGATGTTAGTCAGTCCCGAACGAGGAGGAAAAAAGAGAAGACGGCTAAGTGACAATGAAGCAAAACAAATAGAGCAACAGGTTTAAAAGGGACCAGATGAAGGGAAACTATAATGCAGGCGAATATACGCACGCTTTGAGATCATGTCATCCTCGTACTCTTCTTCTTTAAATTCTCGGAAGAAATCGTACACGAACTCGTCTCTGCTTCCCATCCAACCAGTAACAAACCTTGAAAGCGGTCGATCAAACATAACGTCCCGGTATGTCCGCTTGATCCTTGGCTCCGTCCTGGCTTTGGCGAGGAAAACACCTGAAAGTCTTGCAAGATGCAGCAAGTCGAACTTGAGTTCCTCCCAGTACTCTGGAGCTTCCGTAATGAGCGCTTTAAGACAGTCCCACTGTACGCGGGCTAGCCATAGCAAAGGTATGCGATACCCGCGAGGAAGATTCAACACGTAGCCTTTACTTGGATCTTTGTCGACAGCCATCTCATTCGCTTCACCACTCGGATATGATGGAGGAGTAATATTGACCATTTGGACCTCGACCCATGTTTGTTTGTTGTCAATAGCTTTCGAAGGAATCGTGAAGACATTTTCGACCATATATTCGACGATCTCCCAATCACTCCAAGCACCAGCAAGTACGCTCGGATGCTTGGGACCGATGTAGTCAAGCTCTTCTGCATGTCGCCACGTTTGCAGGGGAGGGAGCTGACCTGTCCGAACATCGAATGGGAAAGGTGAAGGAGATGATGCGATAGCGGCGAGTTTATAGTGCCGTTGCTGGAGCAATGTTAAACGATGGGAAGGGGGTTTTTGTGGGCTTCGAGTTTCTGATGGGCTGACGCTAGGCACGTGAGGCTCAAGATTAGTACCACTAAAGGTGGAAACAGCCGAGATTGACGACATTGCCGATGCAGTTGGTCCGGAGATAGTTATTGGGCCCCGACTTGCGCTGCTCATCAGAGGATTGATATTATCGTTCCGGTTGACCACTGATTGTGATTCTGGAGTCGGCCGCGAATATACATCGTGACTGCTGGCAGAAAGACGAGGAATGACGATGCGGCTCTGTGTTGTGAATGTTCTTCCACCGGGGGTTTGACTTTGACTATGTGAGCGCGATACTGAAGCAGTTGTCCTGGAACCCTTGTTGCTTGAGCCCTTATAACTCCCACTTCCATCCTCCTCTTCGTCTGAAGTCAGGGGGGATGGTGAGCCTGAGGCAGAGCGCGAATACACGTTCGAGATCTTGCGTTTCCTGCCTCTCGATTCGACAGTGGCGGTGAAGTCATATGGTACAGCAGATGCGGGGGAGTTGTTGGCTGAAGCTGATCGAGAAACATGCGAAGCAACTGCTGGGCTGGACACGCTTCCATTTTGTGTTCGAGGGCGGAGCGGACGAGCAGATGCAGTCCCCTCAGTTCTCGGAGGACGGGGCTTTGGCGGTGGCTTTTTCCGTGGAACAGAAAGCTCGGTTTTGATGGCAAGCGATGGGAAACGGGAAGGGCCTGGTGTTGCATTTTGGGAAGCCGGTGTTGGCGTGGATGGTTCGGAAGGTCTGGCTTTGAGAGCCTCTGCGACAAGTTTGTCGCTTCCAGCATCGGATGTGAGAGGGGATGAGCCGCGGGAAACAGGAGGGGGTTCAGCAGACTATAGTGAAGATGATTAGCACGACGAGAACATGTTGACGACGACGAAGACGCACTGGAGGTTGATCAGGGGGCATACTCCATTCTATTGTCTTTTGAACGTTGTCGATGACAAGACCATCCATGTATTGCTCAGCAGATATTCCCTGGAGAACCTCTTGTTCGGTTACAGCAAAACCTTGAATTCCTTTGGGGACCTTTTGCGCCCAGCCTATACGGTTGAAAGTAAGGTCAGATCGAAACAAGAGAAGAAGAAGTTCACGTACGGAGGGAGACAGCATCGTCCTTGTACTCTTCATCCTTAAACTCCTTGTAGAAGTCCCAAATGAATACCTCCCGACAACCCATCCACCCATTGAAGAACCGCGTCAACACTCTGTCAAACCTCGGATACCTCCACTGCCTCTTTATTTTCGTCTCCGTGCGCGCCTTCGTTAAAAAGTCGTTCGTCAACCGCCCAATATGTAAGACGTCGAATCGGAGCCATGGCCAAAGCGACTTGCCCACGGAAAGCAGCAAACGCAAACTGTCCCATTGTACCCGATGAAGCCACAGCAGCGGCACGCGGTAGCCTCTCGGAAGGGTGGTGGTAGTTTTCCCGTCCGACTGCGTGACTGTAACCCATGGGTCGGACCTGTTCTCACTTTTTGGCGGTATCGTTACGGCGGTTTGAAAGAGGAACTCGACAATGCGATAGTCCGTCCAATGAGCAGCGTCTGGATGCTCAGGGCCAATATACTCGAGCTCCTCCGTTTTACGCCAAAAAGCTCGCGGTGTTTCGACTTCAATCTCTGGTTGTCGAGAGCTGTCGGGAAGTGCTCGGGGGGAAGAACATAAGGCGACGAGTTTGAAAGAAATGGGCCGGTCAAGGAGTTTCACCGCAGCCGCAAGCGGGTCCACTGGCTCGGCCATGTAAGATCAAACTGTGGGAGTCGTCAGATTTTTTTCTCCCCTGCCCGAGGTGGATGCGCACGATATCTCAGTCTATGAGAGCGAAAAAGACTGGGAAAAGGCGTAGGGAAGGAAATCCGGCCAATGCAGACTCCTGTTGTGGCCGTTGTTGAACAAGCCTCAACTTTGTTTGTTCAGGACAAACATCGGCTGATGACTCCGTTCATCCCGCAACAAAAGCTTTTTCTGGCTTCCACTTAGCTTCCACCCTCACGTAGGCATCGCACCTAGCCCCTCTCGTTCCCGCTCACGCTATCTGTCCTCCCGGCCAGATGCTGTGACATTATGCCTCCCAGCACTTGAGAACTGCATACCAGCTGAATCCTGATATCAACTCCCAATTTTTCCATCAATGGTGATATTCGCGCATCCACTGGCAGCTCCAAGGCAGCTCCCAACTTCTCTGGCGCCGAAAACTTTTTGTTCGACTCCACGGTAGTTGCGGACGTTGCTACTCTACAAATCACCGACCAATAAAACCGCGTGAACTTGGCAGCGCCATACCGCCGTTGGCTATCTATGTTGACAGCCATTGACTCAGAGCCCGAATTCAAACCCGATTTACTCGTCTTACATGTTAATGACTCAGTCGTCAGTAAACAGTCAATGTGTGAGTACTAATAGCATTGGTAAAACTTGCAACACTAGCGGTGAGTGCAGATGTAGCCGGTCCACGACTTCGACTCAACCCATTACCAGCACCGACTGGCGCATAATTACCCTCCTCGCACACTGACAGGTAACTCTCTGGCCTCCATTATCTATCCATTGATATTCGCAGTGCCAGTGTGAAGTGATGCATCGGCAGTTTTGGAACTTTGAAGTTTGGCGCCTCAAGCCAGCAACGTGTACCTGTGAAAGTTGGCGCCGATCCTCACTGGCATTTCAAACGAAACTTGGATGTGCAGTCTGAGAACTGAGCCACCCTAAACTTGATTCTTTGTTCGAAACAACCGGGATTGTACGTTTGCTAGGCCTGTGAGGCTGTGACCAGTGTTCAAGTTTGATCAAGTTCAAAACTATTTGTTGAGCGAAGTTGCAAAAGTCATCTGTAATTCATTAGCAACTTGAATGGCACAATGAATCGACAACTTGAGTGGCCACATTAGGCAATGGCAAAGTTCTATGTAAGGCTCGGATAACCTCTTATTAACGTTGACTATTATCATTCAAGTTGGCATACCTGGAGGGTCCATTAAGTGCTGTGTGAGCAAATGGCTCTCCACCATCATGATGGCATATACTAGTACTCCCGGTAAGTAGTATGAACAAACCAGGACTCGGACTCGATAGTCGATACGATGGCAACTTGAACATCAAATTGAGATAGTACATATTTCTCAGACTTGTAAGTACTAAGTATTCGGCTTGCCATTGACATTATTTGAAGCCGAGTTATACTTACAGTACTAGTACTAGTATGCCGTATCTGGAATTTGAACAAAAACGTCTGGTCTTTTCCGGGTCTGATGGCCGGCTTTCCTATTTGATTGACTTCAACTTTAGAACTTGAACAGGAATAATCCCACGGACTTCGGCGTCGACAACTTCGAGCAGTTTGACCTGGGTATAACCTGCCCGCATCTACGATAATCTATGCATTCGCTGGCGCGCCACAGAAGGAGAATGTGTATACATATTGTAGAAGGTACGGAAATCATGACTCAGAAAGTCGCAGCCCATGCCTGTAGGTCGATCGGCGAAGTTCGTGAATATACTATCCAGTCATCATTCTACACAGGGACCATTAGTGCCTTGCCACAAACGAAGGAGACTTTCCGCTCACCAATAAATCCTTCGGCGTTTTGCGCATATCCGGATCCTTCAACAGACAGCTGTCCACGAAGGCCTCCGCCATCGCTGGGAAGCCCGACAACCTAGGTGCCGGCTCATTGACGATGTGCTGCAGCAGCTCCAGAATACTCATCGTCATGCCTCCTCCTTGTAAACTTACACCCTTACTCTTCCGCTTGTCCTTTTTCGACGTTTCTTTTGGTTTGCGAGGTGGGATGCCGAGCGCGGCGAGTGAGTTAATGGAGCCAGGGCGAGCGGGGGAGAGTGTACCCTCGAGATCGGAAAGATCAGAGTCATCCGAAAGGGATTCGGAGAAAGGGAAGCGTCCGAGAGCAAGTTCAATCAGCGAGATTCCCAGTGACCAGACATCGGATTTGACAGTATACTGTGCACCTTGAATTCTTTCAGGCTGGCGAGAGTATTTTAGTGGTTGAAATTATTACGAGAAGCGCTTACGCTCATGTATGTCGATGTCCCGACGAAGGTGTCTGCTATAGAGTTGATGAGCTCTCCAGAAACACCGAAGTCGCATATCTTGATCTCGCCCGCTGAGTTGAAGAGAATGTTAGACGGTTTGATGTCTTTATCATGGTCACGGTTGGGAATATGCAACGATAAGGTTCCACGCACCGCGATGAATGATTCGGTGAACATCATAAAGATATGTCAGTCCTTCAAGCACCGCCAATGCCACTTTGCCCACGACGTCGATGTTGATTGGGCCGGTTTTCTTGTAGATCCCGTCGAGAGAGCCCTTGTCCATCGCCTCCATGCAAATGCAAATATTAGGATCGGAGAGGAAGGCTCCCCAGAAGGAAATAATGTAGTTTGAGTGGCAATCGTGCATTATCTGGAGCTCCCGGAGGATTTGTTTCCGCACAGCCGGCTTCGCGTCGATGAGGACGATCTACGATGCAAGACTTCGGCATAAAGCCACATCTCTGCAACGACACATTAACGCACCTTCTTTGCCATGATTTTCCCAGTCGGCGTATGCTCGACTAGTTTCACGCTCCCCCCATTTCCTTGCCCCAACTCCCGAATCTCCCTCAGGTCTTCGTTCCGCAGGTCGAGTTTGGTCTCGTTGTTCAAGTCAAGGTTGGCGAGGGTGTTGGACAGTGCAGTGTGGTATGTATTGCGCTTGCTGATGTGTGGTGAGGCCGTGTTTGGTGCGGAATTCGCCCCATTGGCGACCGTCAGCAGGGTATTGTCCTCTCCCGGTGCCGCTGTGGAGGTTGATGTGGTGCTTGGCGGTAGCTTCGGCGCCTTGAGTGTCATCGGAGGAGGCCGACGCTTGCCACCAGACGGCGCCGTTGGCGCTGGAGCCTGTCGGATGGCAACCGGTTCTGGTTCGGGCGGCGCAACGGGAGCTGGCTCTCCGGGAGTAGAGAGCTGGAGAGCCTTGAAGTTTCGCTTTTTGCGAATCGGGGTGGACATCGTGGTGAGAGTACGACGACTGTCGATAGGTTGTTGTTGTCGCGGTCGATGAAGATGGCGTTCACACGCACTGTCAATCGTCTGCCCGATCGGGAAGTTTATATTAATGCTGAGCTAAGATAACCAACCATCCCCACAAACCAGCATTCGGATTCACAAAAGTACTAGTCACAGCAATGATACGCTGTAGAAAGCAAGTACTGTCTATAGCTAATGCGGCCTGTCCGGACCTCAAGGAGCCCCCACAGGCAGCGTTGAGCCTACCCCATAGTCGTGACTCGTCTCTCGAGTCTCAGCCTCTCTGGCTAGTCATGAGTGAGCTTGTGGCTACATCTCTACATTGTCAAGTCATCGAGGACTTGAGTGTCTGCCGCCGGATATGTACTCGAGCTCGGTCGTGACCGTTCCGGATGGATGTATATGTGACTCGTGAGTAATCACACTTGTTTCGTCCAACCATGACAGTTGACAAGGTATCGCTACCTCCAGAGCTAGAACGCGAAATCTTTGATTTCGCCGCCCGCATAAGTCCCAAGACAATCCCGACGATGCTGCGCGTTGCCCGCCGCGTTTATGTCTGGTAAGTTCAAGCTCACAACTAGCATTGTCATTTACTGTCATAAGTGCAGGGTGCGGCCTTTTCTCGTACAGCTCGTCCGCGTCATGGAAGGAGAGTGCCGTATTCCTCTCGTCTCTTTCATGAATGACGAACCCGACTTCCTCGCAAGCTCTGTTCGTTATCTCTGCATCTCCGAAAACGTGGAAGGGGGTGCCATACAAGACGAAGAGATACGACGCCTTCTCACGCTCTGTACCCATGTTGGCGACCTCGCTATCACGTATCCCTTGCAAAATAGCGCCCTTATCAAACCCATGCACAATCTCCGACGCCTGATCTGCTCGCTAAGAGACCTTTTCGGCACCATCGGAAGCATCGATCCACAACACGAGGCACTGTCTCGCATCACCCATCTCGAGCTTACCGACAATTTCTCAAATGAGGATACAGCCGTGCAGCAGTCCTTCTGGCGTCAAGTGTGCCGCATTCCCCGGGTCACCCACCTCGCAACCTCCACCCCTCGTTCAGTCGACTATACCACGCTTTCGCGCTGTCTTCAGTCAGCGCCGAAACTATGCGTGTTCGTCGCATTGTGGGGACGCAGCGAGGTGCGATCCGCATACCGTTTTGTCAACGCGCTCCAAGTTGACGATGTGCGGTTCATGGCCGGGTCATTTTTTGACAACGACGATGACCCGTGGTGGGAATGGGAGCAGTCGGCTGCTGGATATGCAGACGACTATTGGGTTCGTGCGGAAGCATTCCTTGTACGAAAAGGACGAGGCGAAGTTGATGGTCAGTTTTTTTGTCTAGTCCGTTCCTTGAGCCTTTGAAACTTTCATGTCATGCCACTTCAGCCAAACGTTATTGGATGGACGACTGGATGTATCTTGAGATGGAAGCTTAAAGAAGGCTTGTATTCACATCGACAAGGTAGATTATTAACTCCAGGTTATATTATTCAAGTTCAACCAGATCAGATTGACTTCGCTACTTCTCAAACTACAGCAAACTACTAAAAGTAAGCAATGGTCGTCGCGCAGCACCCAAGTTGGTGAGCAGCCCGCATTGCCTCTTCATCACAGTAGTGTTAGTATAATGGCAGTGGGCCAATGGCAGTAGGTTTAGCCCAGTAATAAGTATTTTGCTGTTCGGATGTTACCAGCGACATCAATCTCATCAGTCATCTTATCTATGCTTGTCAATGGCACCCGTGAGATCCTCTACAGCTTGTGATCGACCTCCATGTCCCTCCTTGCGAATTCCCCGTTCTCAAGCAAAATTAACAGCTTCTTCTCTCCGACAGAGCAAGACCTTCGACAGATACGCGCTACACTCACTGAGCCACGCGCCCGGCTCGTACAGCTCGATGAGGATATCGCGGAGACCGAAGCCACCTTGGCAGCCCTCAAGTCCCAGCGAGCGGCCCTCCAGCTTGAACTTGCCCCTCACGAGTCTCTTCTGGCGCCTATACGTCGGGTTCCGCAGTACATTCTGGAGGAGATTTTCTTCGCGTGTCTTCCAACGGTCCACAATGCCGTAATCGATGCGGCTGAAGCACCGCTGCTGCTTCGCCGTGTCAATCGCCATTGGCGCCAAGTCGCAGAGGCAACACCGCTGCTCTGGAGCAGCCTTCATATCTGCGGACTCAAGGACTCAGAGGCATATCACCGTCCGTACCCCGACCCGCGGGCTAGGCAGCCCAACTTCCAAGTCAATACCATGTCTGGCGTCCCACCTAACCAGTCGGCACTTCGCGACCTCATAGAACAATACCTCAACTGGTCTGCGGGAAGCCCGTTGTCGCTTTCGTACGTCGAACGACCTGACCATTGGCGCACGTTCCCGTCAGACAACCTCAAACGCCAGAATGCGAGTTGGGAGATCTTCGAAGCGGCATTGAAACATCATGATCGCATAAAACGCTTGGACATATGGGCCCCGTTATGGCTCATGAACGAGGCTGTGAAGCTGGCGCCGCAAGAGGCGCCGGCCCTGCGCCACGTCCGCCTCATCGTCAGCAGTGGCAACGGTATGTTCCACGGGCCTAATTCAGGACTCTCGGAGGACGTGCTTCTCGAAAGCGCCGACAGCATATTGCGGAAAGCGGATTTGACTTCAGTGTTCATCTGCAGTCAGACGCGGCCGCTGGAGCTACCCCTCATTTGGGAAAACCTCACCCACTTGGGCTTAGTTTGCGAGCCAAACTATGCAAGCATATCAAGCCATATCGCCCACGTTGCTCCGGCCGGCGGATTAGACCAAAACACTGTCTATGCGATATTCCAACGGTGTCCCAATCTCGCTCACTGCGAGCTAGCCATCACCGTCCGCAAAGAGTTGGACCCTGCTGCTGCTGCAGTACTTTTAACAATGGCCTCCCTGGAGCACCTGTGTCTGGCATATCTACACGTGAATGACGCGCCGGAAGTTGACGTGGCCCATCTTCTCCGCAACGTCAGCATGCCCAAGCTCCGCCTCTTGCGTCTCGCCAGGTCCGTTGACTTTGTCAATCTGCAGAATATTTCCGACGAAAAATTGAACTACGGGCCCGAGGAACTAGCTGTGTCTATAGACCCGAGCCAGATCGGCATCCGCTTCATACTGGATATCCTCCAAGAGCTGCCGCGGACGACACATCTGTTCCTGATTCCGCAGGAGGATCCCAACTGGCATACTCACCGGAACTGGCTGACAATGGTGGGCCGGGAAGACCCGACACTATTCCCGGCATTGACCGGCGACGTCCTCTGTCCGCTGCTCGTTTGTGTTCAGATCAATCTGCCCGTAGGATGGATGAATTTCCGAGATGCGGGACTCACGGCGTTTCTGCGCTCGCGCTCGACTGGGCCTGAGAGGTGTCTCCGAGCACTGACGCTGGACTTTGCGGGGGACCAGAAGATCGACGTTGATGAAGAGTTGCGTGAAATAGCAAAAGCGCAGGACTCCGGATTTGAGCTCAATCTTGTTTATACCCAAACACCGCCGCCCAACAAATGGATATATGACCCTCGACGTGGATTGTAATTTTTACTGTAGCTAGGAATCGATCTGAATATCTGTGCTGCTTGTTAGGTGGACAGCAACATAAGCATTCAGGCTTACTTGATGCATTGGTAGGCAGCGAAGGGAAGAGGGTCGCAAACGTGAGATAGGAGGTGTGGCCGCGAACCTCGGGAACGACCTTGGACAGGCTGACCTTCGGGGTGACAGACATTGTTGGCGTTGGAGACATATCCACCTCTACAGCCGCAACTTTGAGCCTCTTGCCGCTGTTAGGATCTTCCGGAGGCGTCGGCTCCTCATCCGTCAAGTCCTCTGTCCGTTTGCGCTTCTCGCCATGCGGCTCGTGACTACGCTGTCCAGCTGCAATCTGGCGCTGACGCTTGTCCTCTCTGACCGCCTCCACCTTTTTTAGCTTCTCGGTTATTTCAGATACGGGCGGCGGGGCGGGGATCTGGGAAACATCCTGCAAGCGGACCAGGGTTTCGTACATCGTGATGTCTGGCCTGGGTCAAAAAATTGCGGTCAGAACAGGAGAGGAGAGTCTCACCTGAGAAACCTGTCTCGTTGAGGGCACTGACGGTCCGCAATACTTGTTCCATACAGGGACTGAAACAGCATATACGAGTGGTGCGGTCTTTCTAAGGACAGTTGGTACAGATGAGCTTTGTTTTGGAAGACGACGGACCCGCAAGGCTTGTTTGGCGTGTGGGACAGCGTCCCAAGGAGCAGGCAAGTCAAGGAAAACTACAAGTTTGGTGAGAAAGCTGTCAGCAGCCTTGCTATGGAAGACACACCAGAATCCGCCTCGTCCGTCACGTTGAATCCGTCTTTGCACACATTTTGGTGGGTAAGGGTGATGATTTCCGCGAGTCCATGGCGCGAAAACTCGTCACTGGTCAGATGGTGAGTGACCACAAATGGGATGCCGATGCTTGCTCACCTTGCCTTTTTTGCACGGGCTTCGTGGAACTCATACGACCATAGGCGCCCCGACGGGCCTATCGTCCGCGCCACAGAGTGGGAAAACGAGCCCGACCCCGTTCCTACGCGATGTTTGGTGGTTGTTGGGAAAGAAGAGGATTCGACAGAAGCGCACCTGGAAGATTCAGTCAGCCCACCCACAAGCAACTAATAGTAATACACGGACCTGCTTCAATGACTTTGCTCCCCGCGCGGATGTCGAGGTAAGAGACGATGAGGGAGATATCAGCGATGTAGAGAATTTGCGTGCGATGGGGGAGCGCCAGCGTCCACAGTTCTGGTGTTGGGCGCAGCACGTGAATGAACCCCTTCCCCGTCCGCGACCCGACCTTGGAGCCAAAGGCCAGCCCAATAAAGTCTGAATGGCGATATGTCCCGAACTTGCTGTTGAATTCCTTGCCTGCAGTAACCAGCAGCGGCTGCACCAGATCGCGCGTCTACAGGGGTGTAGGTTGCCAAGTAAGTGGGGGGAGAAGTGTGCTCACAAGCCAGATTATGACCGTGTCCCCGTCCGCGATGTCGCGCGCGGTGGACCACATCTGTGCGATTGCGATTGATGAGGGTAAAAGGAGACGCTCGAGTCAGGGAAAGGCGCGTTATGTCACACCTGATGACTACGCAACGCGTCTTGCGCAAAGACCGTCACCATCCGTAATTTATTGAATGTCCACGAGTGCTCTCGAACCCACCACTGACTCCGAGGATGACTGGGAGGAAGTCGTGGTCCCCGACGAAGACAAGAACCTCGAAATCACTATATCACCCGTCGCAACCCAGGACAAGTCAAAACTTCGGATATCTAACGCAGAACGTCTGCTCCGAATCAACTGCCATAAACTACACACACTCACTCTATTAACTAATGCGTGGATTCGGAACAAATGGATAAACGACGAGTTGCTACAGGTGTGTCTCAGTAGCACCACTCTTTCACGTCCAGCTGATTACACAGTAGGCGCGGCTGGTGTCTTTGACGCCAATGTCGCTTCAAACGGCGTTCGCAATGATACACAAGTCTCGGATACCAGATGTTGGAAAGCGAGGACGGATGTTCGAAGCTGCTCTCCGCAATCTCACTGAGTGGTGGTCGACAAGCTTTTTCGAGGTCACCTCCGACGGACACCTCAGAAATCGCACGTTCGACACTGTTCGGAAGTTAATGGGCGATGACGACGAATGGGATGTAGATTCGCTCCGGGAAATCCTTGAGGACGACGGTGAAACCATCCGCGGCCCCAAAAGCCTGATGAAATACACCTTGAAGCAGCGTGGCACTCGCGATACCAGCGCGCAACTGTTTACTGCTCTCTGTCGTGGCCTCGGTATCCCTGCACGCTTGGTCGTCAGTCTTCAATGCGTCCCATGGCAGACGCCAAAAGCGACATACAAAGGGAAAGGGAAAGGGAAAGCTCAGGAGGTGTCTGATCCCAAGGGAAAGGGCAAAGCAAGGACCGGCGTCCACTCGTTTCCTGGGACAGGACAACGCTTGGATGGCAGCACAAGCATCTCAGCAGCGGAACACGCGAAAGGAAAGGCACCCGTCAAGTTACGCAAAACGAAGGACAAGGGAAATGTCCTTGGTAATGCTAGCAGTAGTACCAACAGGGCATCATCTCCTCCATCTTATTCTCTTGGTACGGCTGCTTATTTCGTGTGTCTGTTTGTAACACATTCTACAGATCCCACCACAACACCGCCGGTCTTCTGGACCGAAGTGTTCTCGCGACCAGATGCGCGTTGGTTTCCTATCGATCCTATCCGCAATAGCGTCAATCAGCCAAAAGACTTCGATCCGGCCAACGGCGACGCTGTAACCGCTAAACGTGTGCAAACGGAAAACCGAATGGTTTATGTGCTTGCGTTCGAGGACGACGGTTTTGCGCGGGATGTCACAAGACGATATGCACGCCGCTTTGCAGAGCGTGTGGTGAAAATGCAAGGTGCCCGTCAGGCCGCGTGGTGGGCAAGGGTTGTTGAGGGGATTACAAGACCATATCGTCTGGTACGATTTGAGCGCGTGCTCATGACCTTACTCAAGCTCATGACATGTGCAGAACAGAGACGATATAGAAGATGCGGAGCTTGATACGGTACAATTGCTTGAAGGCATGCCTTCAACGATTACTGGTTTCAAAGACCATCCGATGTGTGTCCACTATTCTCCTTTTTCTTTGCTCTGACGTTCACCAGCTATGTGCTAACGCGCCATCTAACCCAGACCCAGACTATCCATCCACCACCGCCATCAACCAAAGAGCTTGGGAAATTTCGGGGAGAGCCGGTGTATCCGCGTTCTGCAGTTGTCTCCCTCAAATCGGCAGAGAGCTGGTTGCGGACTTCCGGCCGACGCATCAGAGAGGGTGAGCAGCCATTGAAGCTTGTCAAAGCACGAACAGCGACACTGGGACGACAGCGCGAGATCGCTGTCCTCAAGGATGGCCTCCGGACCGCTGGAGAAGAGGAGCAAGGCGAAGTTATGACGGGGCTCTATGCCTTCTCCCAGACGGAGCTCTATGTGCCTGATCCTGTTGTCGATGTATGTGGTCGGCTTCCCGTTCCTTGATGCCTTCGAAGTAACCTAACTCCAGGGCGTTATACCAAAGAACAATTTTGGCAATATCGATCTTTATGTACCTTCCATGCTTCCCGCTGGAGCGGTGCATATCCCTTGTAAGTTATTGGTGGTTTTCGTTTTATCTCCAGGCTGAGCGAGTCAGATAAGGGAACTGCCAAGATAGCAAAGCAGCTCGGATTTGATTATGCAGAAGCAGTTGTAAGCAAACTTCTTCCATTGCCACACGGTCTCAAAATTATTGACAGACTGGGTTCGAATTTCGGAGCCGTAGGGCCACACCTATCATTGTTGGGATCGTTGTTGCTACCGATAACGAAGGGACGATATTGGAGGTGAATTTTCGTCAAGCTATGCCACAATAGTATGGATGAACCACACTTCAGGCATACTGGGAGGCTGAGCAAGACGCTGCGGCGAAAGCGCGTGCCAAGAGGCGAGACCGCGTGCTGAAACGGTGGATTAGACTTGTTCATGGGCTGCGCATTCGGCAAAGCTTACAAGAGGAGTACAAGGATCGACCGCGACCTACTGGTGATGCAGGAGAAGCATGTTATTTCCATTGGCTCGTTGCAGGAATGTACTGACTGCTTGCTGCAGGATATGGAGATCCGACCGGGTCTGGCTGGCGGCGGCGGCTTTCTGGAAGGCGCTGATGCTGTCGTTCACGCATTCCACCTACCAAAAGCATATCTCCCGGCCGCAGACGAGAGTGAAAACCGTGACCAACACATGTCCAATGGAAACAGCGACGAGGCTGAGGAGCCCCCCGCTCTCGACCTCGAGACGATGGATGTGGATCCGGCGGAGGCTGCGGCCCCGGCTTCGACCGGGCCGAGTGCGCCGACCCGGGTCCCGAAGACGATGGCGGAGCTCGCGGAAGAGACCGCTGCCAAGCTCAAAATTGAGCTTGAACGAGATACGATCGGGGGGGAGGAGTTCCCGGTGGTGGATTACCCAGCAATTGTGCCAGAAACGACGAAGGCGGGCCGCAAGACGCAGCCGAAGAGGACTCCAACGGGGAAGTCGGGCGGCGCAAGGGCAAGGGCGAAGGGCCAAGCAAGAGCTCCTGCGAGACGCTCGTCTACGCGGAAGCGACAGCGGGGAGGTGGTAGCGAATCGGATGAGGCAGAAGCAGAATATGGTGAAAGTGACGCGAGCGATGCGGCCTCGCCTGCAAAAAGGGTGAAGACAGTCGTTCCTCTGCCTACTAGGACACTGCGGCCGCGGAGAGTGAGCACCAAGGTGTCCGTTAACTATGATGAGACAGGCGGTAGTGAGGAGGAGGAATGAGCAATTAAAGTATGCAGCAAGACAGTACCTTTTAGAGCATTATATAAATGTGGGCCTTATCAGCTCGGAGGCTGACAGCTCCCGAGCGGCTTTTGTTTTTAGCAAAACGCGTTGTGTAGTCATCAGGTGTGACATAACGCGCCTTGCCCTGACTCGAGCCTGAAATCAGCAATCCGAAAAAACAAAGTGTTTATGAATTCTGGCGCTTGAAAAATGTTACAATCTTCATCCACTCATGTCCTTCCCACAGCGAATTCGTGCAACCTGCACACTCTTCTCTGCCTTCTCCACACCCGGCCACATCCCAGCCCGTGCTCGCCATGCCGCATTCAGCTGCTTTCTGCATCTTGGTCCACAGGTCTCCCATCCGCCCCGGTACCTTTTCGACGAAGTTCAGCTCTGTGTCAAACAAGATGGCCAGATCGGAAAGGGTCGACCTGTCCCCCTCCAGCCGAAATGTCTTGTTTGCCAGACTCTCGGGAGGGACGGTGGTCAAGACGTGTGCAACGAAGCCTTGGTACCAGCATTATCAACTGGACGACCTGCTTTTGACTCGAAAAGATTACCTGCTACGTCCTCCGACGAAGTAAAGGAGCAGGGCATGTTCCCAAAGCCGACCACGTTGATCTTGGAGTTCACAGTCAAACCCATCATTGCGGGAATCGTCTCAATGAAGAACCCGACCTACAGATTCTCAGCGGCAGCATAGGTTAGGTTAACCTGGGAGTCACGTAGAACCGCGTATATGGAAAGTTGCGACTTTTCAAGTGCTCTATTTTGCAATGGTAAGTACACAGTGCAAAGCCGTCCGCTACTCACCAATCACAGCAGCAAAGTCAGGCACACTGTCCGTGACGATACCGAATTCCGAGGGCACAAACAGCTGAACACCCGCCTCCTGTGCGGTCGTTGCTAAGATATGCTGTGCAGCGACGTCTGCCGCCGAAATCGTGGATATGACCACTTGCACCCTGTTTGCTGCGAGGAGCTGCTTGAGAGCCTCGTACTCCGAACACTCCAGTTCATGCAGTGGAATCTCCGGCGGTAGCGCTAACCGCTGGCGGAAGCCGGGTCGGACAATGACCACGACATTCGCACCGTTGGCAAGCAGCGCCCGCGCGATTGGCGCCCCAATAAGCCCCCGCGCCAAAAACCGCGAAGGATGTGAAGGCGGGCATTTGGCCCAGTCGCTCTCCGCTGCAAGCAAGAGTCGCGGTATCAGCCAGGATTGTAGCTCCTTGTATATAGTCAAAGCCATATCACGCAGGCCCATGGTCAATCGGGTCTTATTCATCCGTGGCAGCCAAAGCCGACAATCTCGACTTACATACAACTGCTGACATTTCCCGTGACGACCGCTCAGTCAGCACCCCGGCGAAGTTGCCATGAGACTGTTCCGTTCTTCAGTCGGACCGGAGTGTGCGTGTCAATCCTGTCCAAATTCAATCCTCACAACACTTCAGTTCACAGAAGTCGTGTGCTCATCCAAGTCATTGCAGATACATATATGATAGTGATAGTGTGTGTTCATTCCACCTTCTCACGGGAGAACTAACAAACCCATGTCATCTTATGACCCAACAAATGAGTGATATGGACTCACCAGGGTGACGAAAGTCCCATCTTCCAGCTGGACCTTCCTTGGCTGCAGCCTGTACCCAAATACCTTGGGAAGCAGGATGCGCCAGACGCCCCAGTAGATGAAACCAGTCGCCATGATGGCGATGCCAACCAAGCAATATCTGAAAAAAGATCAGCAAGGTATTCTAATTGAGACCTAAGAATAAGAAATACAGATAGTAGGGCAGTGGAGGTGTGTCTCCAACTCCATTTGCTGGTTTCAGGAATGGCGCAACAAGAACTAGAACGGATTTGAGTTGAGGACTTTGGAAGTCGCGGACAGGGACGAACGGAACACGGCCGAAGCCATGTAGAATACGACAATTGAGAGCCATACTATTGAGCGTTAGAGTGATAAAATTGGTATGACCGTTGAAGATTGGCACCTTTGAACGGTCTCTTGGCCGTCGGGTAGCGATATCTCAACCAAAACAGTCCCTGGACACCATTAGCTGGCGGCATAAACAGCAGGACGATGCAGCGTACGATAACGATGAACAAATTGATAATCTGAGATGGATAACCCTCGATATCAAGGATGAATGGATATGCAACGGCAGGGGGAGGACCAATGATGACAATGATCTGGCGACGTTGTCAGTTTGTGATGCACTATGCGGTTCGAAGAGACGCACAGAAGGAATCAGGTGAATAATCAGCCCTGGAAGGGGTGATTTTCCCGTAGGCCAGTTCGATGCCCAAAATCTGTTTCCAAAAGGCAATGGAATACCCTCCTTAGCAAGCTCTGAAGATAGTCAGCTAAATCGTTCTAATTCAATAGAGATGATATGCCTTGATTGATTCGCCCGGATGCGTAAGTCTGAGGTACACAGTTAAGGTTTCGAACATGGTGGGTAGACGGACCGGCAATAAAGTAGTACTCACGACTGTAATAGTATTCTGTCATCATATTATTAGTAACGGGCCAATACAGACATTGATGACAGAGCTCACGCTGTAGGGAAAAAATAGGACGAAGGTTATGATTACGAATTGACAGGAACGGTTTGAAAGACGTACCCTAATGCACTGTATGACAACCCGTTAGCGAAGCTTTACCAACTATGGGAAATTTACCTCAAAGCAACGAAGACCGACAGCGCTCTCTGTGCTTTCTCCCCGAACACCTTCTTGAAGAACAAGGCCGCAACGGTGACATTAGCATCAATAATCTCCTGCTTTGTGGCCACAGCAAAATATGCGATGTTGGCGAACAAGTAAAGAGTAGCACAGATGCCAAGACCGAGCGGCGCAGCGATCTTGAGTGTACGAACGGGATTTTTCACGTCATTCATAACATTATTCACGTTGCTCCACCCTGCGTAGGAAAATAGCACTTTGAACATCGCAGTCGCATACTGAGTCATCGATTAGTGAATGCATAGCAACTTGGCAGGAAAACGCACATCGTTGCTGCTGTTGGAACTCCCGGCGAAGGCGTTTCGGAAATTGACATGTGGGTCTTCGATGTGTGTTTTGCCAGACAGGACGACCCAGCCTCACGAGGATGTCAGCAGATGACAACGATATCTTTGTAATGAAGGATTACCAGCAACTACGATGACTGATAAGATGGCGACCTTGAACACGCTAAGGATCTATGAATAGAGTCTCATGCATTAGCAACTGATCCGGAGGAAAGTGAATAACAGCAAGACGTACATTCATGACCAAGATCCCAACCTTCGGGAGGAGTCCATGCAAAAGAGTCACCGCAACAATAACTGCGAAATGTGGGCATATTTTCAATCCATCATTAGCAAGCGCACCTCCAAGGGCTATCCCGCGCACAACCCAGCGTGTGTGTTCTTGCCCAGCAGCTATAAGGATGCTAGAACATCCGCGGTCACAACCTTGTACTTGCGAAGTTTGATTGGAGGACCCACTTTTGCGCAAAGACCTATTAATACTAAGGGTAAGTCGTGAGCTTGAACTGGAATTGAAGAGACGCACGATACACCCCGATGCAGTGAATCCCAACAGAATCGCATTCATCGTGAATACGATTGTCGCAAGGTATTTGGGTCTGGGGTACATAGCCTCCAAATAAACCTTGTCGCCACCAGAACGGGGCATCATCGTCCCGAGCTCTAGCCAGATCAGGAGGCCGCTGAGAGCGAGGGCAAACCCTAACACCCAAAGCAGCAGGGACGCGCCGACAGAGCCGACGGAGGAGAGAATCGAAGACGGGGTCGAAAATATTCCAGTCCCAATGATTTTACCAATGCTGTTAGCGAATGAGTGCGGACCATTATAACTAGCTCCACACCTACACGAGCATGGTGCAGCTGAACACACCGAGATGACGACCCATACCGCCCTGAACATCTACAGAAGTCGGTATTCAACAGAACGCGTGGGGAAAAGAGGAACACACCTTCTTCAAACGATAACTCTGCCCCTCCAGAAACGCTGGCGACCTCGATGCTCTCGTCTCCCTTCACATCCTGGTTCACTTTCTCGTCGCTACCTTCAAGAGGGGCCTTGTCAGTGCTATTCCGAGCCGTTTCAGTGGCTTCGTCCCCGCCAGTCCGGGTGCCGCTGCCGAACCTTGAGAATAATGAAGGCATGGCGGGTGAGAGGTCGATTCTCCACTGTGTTTGGCTAACACATTATAAGGAATCACGTTCGATGAGGAGCCTGGCGCCATAGCAGCTTCTAACGATGCAAGCCGCTAAGATGCAGGGACGATTAGGCCCCGCTGTCAGGACCGAAGTGCTTCTTCAACTGAAAGTAGTCAGTCTTGGAAGATCCCTGTCTCCTGCAATAAGGTCAAAAGAAGGTAAAATGCATGCGCAGGGAGCTGGGATAACACGATAACACCGACAGATGAGCTTCGAAGACGCGCGGATGGAGACAAATAGCGCAATTCGCGTAGGTGGTGGTGGTGCATTATGTGTCTCGGACTTGGTGGGAGGCGCCGTCCTGATGGTGCCTGGCTTAATATTCAACGATATCCAGCCCTGAAAGACACTCGACGACAGTTTGCTTCAACCGTTGAGGAACGAATCCAAGTCAACAAAGTGACATGTCACATCTGTCACGAATTGATTGCAGCTGAAGATCACTCGATATGGTGGAGATATAGACGTTCGGCAGTGGCCGGCGATAGTGATTTGCACAAATACAGGGCTAAAATCTCCACTATGTGTCCATTCCCGTTAAATCAACACCTTCATTCGAGCTTTTCGTGAGAAAACTGCAAAATTCAGCAACGATAATGGTGAGAGTCGACTCCAACTTGAGCTTTGCTACGCACCAAAGTAACAAAAGTACCGTCTTCCAGCTGGATTTTCCTTGGCCGTAGTTTATAGCCAAGCACTTTAGGAAGAAAGACGCGCCAAGTTGCCCAATAAACTTATAAAGCAGTCCGACGATCATGATTGCGATACCAACCAAGCAATAGAGGTAATACGGCAGGGGAGGTGTGTCGCCCACTTTATTGGCAGGTCGCAAAAACGGCGCCACCAGCACTGTTATTGGTTAAATGAATATTCAAGCGACAGATAAGAGATAGTACTAACGAAAGACAACCGCTGCCAGAAAGAAAACTGCGATGGGAAGCCACACTTTTTAATCTGGTTACCCACAAATTTTAGCTTGGACAGAGAGAATTTGACGTGCCTTTAAACGGCCTTTTCACAGTTGGCTCGCGATACCGTAGCCAAAACAAACCCTGTTAAAGTTCGGTTTTTTTTTACCCTAAAAGTTGAAGTTGAACACGGACTATGACGATAAATAGGTTGATGATTTGTTGCGGATATCCCTCGACATCCAGAATGAATGGGTAGGCGACTGCGGGAGGTGGGCCGATGATGACGATCATCTGAGGTGCGCGTTAGAGAGAACGCACACCGAAAAAGTCATGTGACCGTGCCGAAGGAATCAGGTGAATGATCAAGCCGCCGAGAGGGGATTTTCCAGTTGGCCAATTCGATGCCCAGATTCGGTTACCAAAAGGCAGTGGCACACCCTCCTTCGCGAGCTCTAATATTGAAATAATTTAACGGAATTTAGTGGTGACCGGTGGAGCTGCCTGAACTTGCCTTGGTTTACTCTGGCCGCGGCATAGGTCTGGGAACTCATTTACAAACGGCGAATAGAAAGAGACGGAAATGCGCGAACGACAGTGATGGTGTTCTGCGAATCAAGTTAACAAAGAACGGCGGAAGCTTATGAGGAACACGGACACTAGGAAGATGCAAAAGAGGGAGAGAAATCAGCGCTTGGAACGATACTAAGGGATGAAATTTCTACCCCAATGCACTGAGAAGCATCTGTCGGTGAAATTATATTGTGTACTCGGAGTTGCACTCACCTTAATGCAACAAATACGGACAGCGCCTTCTCCGCCTTCTCTCCAAACACATTCTTGAAAAACAGTGATGCGACAGTAACATTCGCCTTGATAATTTCTGCCTTGGTCGCGGCAGCGAAGTAAGCGATGTTAGCCAGAAGGTATAAAGCGGCGCATATCGAGAGGCCGAGCGGGCCCGCGATTTTCAGCGTACGAACCGGATTCTTGACGTCGTTGAGCACGTAATTGACATTCGACCAGCCATTATATGCAAACAGAACTTTGAACGTAGCGGTCGCATACTGCCAACGTGGTAAGCTCTCAACATGTATGCGATGAGTCGTAAAGACACATACATCGTTACTGCTATGAGAACTCCCCTCAAATGCTTTGCGAAAGTTGGCGTGTGGATCCTGAATGTGGGTTTTTCCAGAGAGGACGACCCATCCTGGTCATAGCAAGAAGTTAAAGCATCATTCGCGACAACAAATATGCCCTGAAACCAACCGGTCACGACAATCAGAAGAAGAATAACGATCTTGAACACGCTGAGAGCCTTGCACATAGTTAGTATCAACAGGGTATACTCTCAGCAGTCCGACTACGCACATTCATAACCAGGATCCCTAACCTCGGTGTAAGTCCGTGGAGAACGGTGGTGAACAGGATTACTGGAGGGTAAGATCAAGGCCAGTAGACGACTCAGTATAGATATTACCTCCCAGTGCTATCCCACGAACAACCCATCGTGGATCCGGTTGTCCAGCGGCAATAAGAATACTGCGTTGATCAGCCTGCTAGTTGGTCGCTCGCTCGCCTAGACACATACTTTTGTGCAAAAACCTATCCATAGATGTCACCGAAACAGCTTGCCAGGCCGAAATCACTTACGATACACCCAGCAGCAGTGAACCCGAGAAGTATCGCATTCATCGCGAACACCATCGTAGCCAGGTACTTCGGCCTGCGATAGATCGCCTCCAGGTACACCTTTTCCCCGCCGGACCGCGGAATCATCGAGCCGAGCTCCAGCCATATGAGCTGACCGCAAAGTGCAAGGGCAAAGCCGAGGACCCAGAGAAATAGCGAGCCACCCACAGAGCCAACAGAGGAGAGGATTGACGATGGCGTCGAGAATATACCGGTGCCAATAATTCGGCCGATGCTGGAGACGGCTAAGAATCGGCCAGCGAGAAGGAAAGAAGAGGGACGGACATGAGCATAGTACAGCTGAAAACCCCCAAATGTCGTCCCATTCCGCCCTGGACATCTGTTTGGAATCGGCCGATTGGTTATGGCGCAAACGAGTGCCCACGAACCCTCTTCGAACGTCAACTCTGCTGCGCCACTAGCATGGGCAACCTCGACCTGGACGTCGCTTGCCGCTTTTTCGTCACTTCCGCTCGGGGTTGGACTTCTACCAGTTGTAACCCCGCTCTGGCCAAACCGCGCGAAGAGCCTCGACATCTTGCTTGTGGGGCACAATCGAATAAGAAGCCATCGTCGTCCTTATGAGCCCCACGGCCTGCGAAGCCACTACCTTATCGGCTGAGAACCAGCATAGTCCACGCAGATAAGACCCGCTCAACGTCGGCTCGGTGGGAAAAAACACGAGCAAAGGAAGATCGAGCAGCACATAACGGCACAGTTGTGTATTGCGAAGATCTAGGGAGGACATTTTTACAACTTCGTTTTCGCCTCGGGTCTCGCAGAGATGCACAGTGCCATCTGGGTCGAAGTCGCAAGACAGAGCTGCTTGTCGCGCCAGTCAGGGTCTACGGGCCGGCTGTCACCGAGCTCGGCAGGCGCAGTCCATATTTCGACGTAAACATCGTGCCTGCCACTGGGTTCGCCCCAGAAGGTCCCCGAAGAGAAAACGCCGACTGTTCGGGCAGCGTGGTCGGCACTTGGAGGAGGTATGGGGCATTTGTACTCCAAGGCCATGGTCAATGTCGCAAACCACCTGAACAAAAAGTGAGCCTTGAATACGTGGTTGTGTTTCGCGTACATATCGCTGGGGGTACCTCCGCGCTCTTCCTTGGGCAATAGCAAGGGCGAATTGATAATTGTATCCGCGATTAATGAAATTACAGCGGGCGTTATTGTGGCTTCTGGGTCAGTCAGCTGGAACCAGACACCCCAAAAGAGCCCTCCACCACCAACTGTTTCTGAGTTGGTGCGTGTAAGGCTGTCGGGGAAGTTTTGAGAGTGGAGGAATGGGTCGCGGGACCATCTGACATGCTTTGCGAATCCCCAGCGAGGAACGGTTCTAGTTTCGATTGCTTTAGAGGGATGAACGTGGAGTGGATGACGGCGAGCGTAAGGAGAGTTGGGTGGTATCCCCAGGCCGACGGAGGGTGCAAGGGAGCCAAAGATGATGTGGGTCGTTATTCGGCTCTTGCCCTATAGCGCGTTGGTAAAGCGGAAAAAGGAAAAACTGGCACCATACTTGTTGCACAAGTGAGGCGGAGAGATTAGTGAACTGCTTCCCGGTCTTGAGGACACTTATGTGGACATCTATGGGGGCTGGAGATGCAGCTTGTAGGAAGTGGCCTGTTAGATGAATGATGTCTGGATGAGAGGTTGACGCTTGGCGTTGCGTGCATGCTTGAATAGCGAGGCCAAGCACATATCCTGCAGGAAATTATTCAGAGACAGTAAATATAAGGAAGGAGAAACTTGAACCTCCATTTGGGACTCTAAGAGAGAGAGTTATACCCGAACAGCACTCACAGACTCAACTTACCCTTTGATCACCCATTCTCCGTCCACAGCGCCAGAATACACGTCGACCCCGCCATTCTGGCTTTTGTGCGCGGTGACCAACGCGCTCCTCAATGGTGCCATCGCTTATATCGAAGACACCGAGTCTCGAGGCAACGGAGACAGATCTGCGATGGTTGCCGGAGGCAAAAGAAGTGAAGCTGACAAACAAAGATCACCTTTCTTTTTCTCCTTCTTGCACATTCTCCCCTTCATGTTATAGTTATGGGTCGTCGGACATCTTTCAACCCGACAGAAACCATCTCATTAAACTCCCCCATTGACTCTTCCGTCGACTCTTCCCCCCGCCTTGGCCCTTCACGCGACCCAGATGCCCCGCAAAAGCGCTGGTATCACTACGTTCCGCTCTCTGGTCCGTCTGTTGCCTCCAGTTGCAATATTTCCGCTGATTATCGTCCCTGCAGCGGGTATATTCCTTCTCCTTGCCCCTCAACCGTCGTGGTTGTATGTCCTTGTCGACTACCATCTCAAAACCGTGCACCATAGAGCGGCATTCTTCACACACCTCCTCATTACCTACGCCCTCTTCTTCATGACCTTCTCCGCCCTCATTGTCTGCGTCGTGCGCGACCCTGGACCAGTTACTGACGAACCCAAGAACGAGGATTCAGAGGGACTTATGACCGGCCAGGACGACTTTTTGGCGCCAGGAAGGTGGTGTCGCAAGTGTTGGGTACGCTTTACGGGCCAACTCTTTTCAATCTCATTTTGAGCCAGGCTCCGAAACCAGAACGGGCACACCATTGTAGCATATGTGGTCGTTGTGTACTGAAAATGGGTCAGTCACTTCATTGTTGTCTTTGGCCCAACTTAGCTTCTTTTTTCCAGACCACCACTGTCCGTGGCTCGGCGCTAAATGCATTGTACATTTCCCGTTCTTCACGCTTCTCCTCCTGCTTACCAATCGTTCAAGGGCCATCGAACCTACCCAGCCTTTCTTCATTTCCTCCTCTGTATCACCCTTGTATCGTTTTATATCGCCACCGTTTGTGGTTCTGTTTTGTGGCATGCTTTCTCAGACCCCATTCGCATGGCACGTTCTTTTTTCTCTTATTGTCATCTATTCTGACTCTGACTGTAGAACGAACTAATGCCTCTACATGGGATATTCCTCACCTTCTACGGCCTCATCTTCGGGCTTGTCATCGGCTCGTTCTACTGCTGGCATCTCTATCTCGTCTTGTGTGTCTTCTATTCTCCGTTACAGTACATGCGCTTACTGGACATAGCATCAACCAAACAACCATCGAAAACCTCTCACCATTCCTTCTGCTCAGACACCTCCCACCGCTTCCCCGCACCGGACACGATCTCTCCGACCCACCCCTAGAATTAGAACTATCACGTTCCCAGCGGAGGCTTGTCCGTGACGCCCACGGTCATATTCACCTCTATGACCTCGGCTGGCGGCGCAACTTTGCGCAAGTGTTTGGCTGGAAACACCCGTGGGGCTGGGTGCCGCGGCTCTGGTTCGGCGGCGCGTCGTAAGTGGTCGTCTTTTTGTATTGTCTTTGCTCCGTGCTCAACGCAAAACAGGCCTGGTGACGGCCGCAACTTTCCGCGAAGTCCTAAATCGGACGAGCTACTCCAACGGCTCGCAACAGAGCTTACCAATGCGGAAGACGCACGTCGGCGATAGCCTTTCTCTCAACTGTTTTGCTTTCAGCGCTATCTATATAACTATCTAATGCCAAATGAGAAACACGGGCGGACCGGAAGTAACGACGCTTAACTTAGCCATGTACTCCATAATTGACACGATCCTCGTTCGTTCGTTTTCCTAGCGGGGTACACGTTGATCACTCATTCTTACCGAGGACACTAACTTGGCCAGCGCCGTCGTTTGAGACTGTGATAGGTAAGACCATTCACACAAATTCAATCCATATAGCTTCTTTACACCTGAAAAGCTCTGGTGCTTACAAGGAATGCGCAGCAGCTTAGGCAGCGAGACATGCCTTGGTCATCGACAAGGTGAATCTCTGAGAAAGCTGACTGAGGCGGCTCACCGCTGGGAGCGATGCCGCCGCGGCTAAGGCGCAGCGGGCAACGTCGGCGTTGAACTTGGGTTTCTTCAAAAGCCTCCGAGGAGGTAAGATAATCGTCATATCAGGATCAAGATAATCTGAAACGCGACCATGTGGAAGGAACGATTGTGGGGTACAAAAGTTAATACCGTGTCAAAATTCACGGAAGGAAGACACCAACAGAGAGGTGTTTGTTTGTAGTCGAGCGGGCGCTGGATTGGCTGGCGCAGGTGTTCCTGGAGGGTTTGAATTAAACCTTTCCCTTTTACTTCTTCAGAATCTGGGTCACTTCTTCTTCTCTTCTCCATCTGATATGTATGCATCCCTGGTAAGTGGTATGGAATTTCGGGGACGACGGGTGCCATCCTATTCTGGATCCGTGCTTGCTAAGGCCGTGCAGACCAACCCCTCCCGAATTTGATTCGCGCTTTGATTCGGCTGACCCCCTCGTGATGTCATGTAACCCCAATCGTTTGTGCTTAAAAGCAGGGGAACAAGAGCCGTGAAGCCCACCCCAAGTCAGGTAGCTTTCTCGAGGGAAGGCGTTATTGCCGAGTAACACCAACGACCCCCCAGCTCGCCTACCATGCCTGCAGACATCATCAACATCCAGAACGGCGCCAATAGCGATGCAGAGCTCGTCGTGGACCTCGCTGCGTCCGTGTTGGCTGGCCTGCGTGCTGCACCAGGCGAGATGAAGAGCCTTCCGACGATGTTGCTTTACGACGAGCGTGGTTTGCGGTAAGTCTAACAGAATACGCGTTTCATTGCTGAGGCATGTAGGATGTACGATGACATCACCACACATGCACCAGAGTACTATCTGTTCGGCGCAGAAGAGGATATATTGAAGCGCAAGGCAGACGATATTGTCGCAACAATACACTCCGGAACCGGGGGGTTGTGTGATGGCGAGGTTTTCCTGGAGGTGTGTTTGTTTTCTCGTTCGCTGTTGCTCGTGGACTGAGTGACCTCCAGCTTGGCGCGGGGTAAGTTTCTTACTTGCTTTTCGGATCTAGGGGGCTCTGGCCAAGATTAGGTCTATCATTTTTTGACGTCGACAACGATGTGACCGTCGTCTTGCTTCTCCTCCACATACTCAGTCAATTCGCGATGCTGATATTCTGTTTTTTGTCACAAGGGCTCTTCGCAAGACCTCCCATATCCTCCTCGCCCTTTCCCGACTTGTCCCGGACAAGCAGACCGCACCCATAACCTATTACGCGCTCGATCTTGAAGAAAGGGAGCTGCAACGCACTCTGGAGCTCATCGCCAGCTCCGACGTAGGCGAATCCTTAGAAGGCCGTGTAGAGACGAAAGGGCTGTGTGCGACGTACGACCAAGGCCTGAAGTTTATCCAAAACGGTGGCCTTCAAAACAGTTCAGACCGTATAAGTCGCAATACGACTGCTTGGAAACAACTTCACAACCGTGATAGTTCACCAATGTCCAGCTCAACCGCCAGCGATTCGTCGCAAAGCCCCACCTCGTCCCCTCCATCCACACCCGACGAGCATCAGACCCCGGTGCACCTTATGTTCCTTGGCTCATCCCTTGGCAACTTCGGTCGCGAGGGCGGTGCTGATTTCCTCCGCTCACTCCCGCTAAGAGCGGGCTCTGGAGATACCCTCCTCATTGGCATGGACCACGACAACGACAAAACGCTCATCGAGGAGGCCTACAACGACCCGCAAGGCTACACGACCAAGTTTATTATGAATGGGCTCAAGGCGGCTGGAAAAGCCCTCGGAGACGAATCGCTGTTTGACGAGGACAACTGGGAGTATGTCAATGTAAGTGGAGCTTGTATTCTGTTTCGTTTCACTTGGCTTATTTTGGGCACAGAATTACGATGTTGCGCTGCGTGAGTTATTTTCGAAGCTGATGCCACAGTCTGTTCTCACATAAATGCTATTCCAGGTCGTCACGAAGCGTTCTTCAAAGCTAAACGCCCCCACACGGTCGTGGTGCCATCTACGAAAGAGGCTTTCAGTTTTCTCCAGGACGAAAAGGTCAAGATCGAAGAGTCATTCAAGGTTTGTTCCTTCCCTGTCGCGAGCCTTCTTTAAAGTCAATTCCTGTGCAGTTCTCCGAGCGCGATGCATACACACTTTTTGCCGAATCGGGCCTCCGCCCCATCCAACGTTGGACCGATGGCCGCGGCCGTTACTCGCTCTGGCTGCTTGAACGGCCACGGTTTACCTTCCCGCTTCTCACCTCCCCACACGCGTGCAGTACGGCTGGCGAGCTCGTTCTCAAGAAACAATACTCCTCCTCGCCATTTGGTGTTCCCGCGCCTCAGGATTGGGAGAACCTCTGGGCAGCATGGGACACCATTACGCGCCGCATGATCCCACCTTCAATGCTCCTGCAGAAGCCCATCGACCTCCGCCACATTTGTCTGTTTTATCTTGGTCATATACCCACATTTTTAGATATCCATTTGTCTCGGCTATTGGGCGAGCCACATACTGAGCCGGAGGCATACAAGGTCCATCCTTTTTCTCATTGTTCTATGCTTTTCTTTGACATTATTTGCAGTACATCTTTGAACGCGGCATCGACCCGGATGTTGACGATCCAACAAAATGCCACGTACGACTTTTATTGCCTTGCCATTATAGTTGGTTGACAATGAGCAGCCCCATTCCGAAGTCCCGATAAACGACAGCGATTGGCCGTCCCTCGTCTCGATCATGCAGTTCCAAACACGCGTCCGCACTCGTCTTCTCAAACTGTACACCGACATCGATTCCGGCAAGCTCACTCTCAACCGCAAGGTTGGACGTGTGTTGTTTATGACATACGAGCACGAGGCCATGCATGCGGAGACGCTGCTTTATATGCTCCTTCAACGAGCGGATTGTAGCACCGAACGCGGGACCCTCCCGCCTCCCGAGTTTGTTGCGCCGCCTTGGGAATCACTTGTGGAAGGCTGGGACGCTGCGTCTGTCATGAAAGCAGACAGTGTTATTATCGAGGGCAAGAATGTTGTGTTGGGGCATGACGACCGCGAAGCGGAAGATCCGGCGGCAGATAATGCCAAGGAGCATGAATTTGGCTGGGTATGGTGCAATTCTGCGTTCAAGTTTGAGGAAAGCTGAACTCTGTCTAGGACAACGAGGGTCCTAAGCGGGAGGTCCATGTCGACACATTCCGGATTTCGTGGCGCCCTGTTACAAATGGGCAATTCTTCGACTACTACAAGAAGCAAAAGGGCGACATCCCCCTTCCTGCTAGCTGGATCGAACGGGAAGGCGGAGAAGTCCAGGTCAGTTGTAGTTTTACTGTATCGATATTCTTCGACGGTATGCTGATATGGGTGGTAGATCCGCACACTCTATGGCCCAGTCCCAATGCATATTGGCCAACACTGGCCCGTCGTCGCGCCATATGCAAGCCTGTCTAAATACGCGATGGTGCAAGGCGGGCGGCTTCCCACAGAGGCTGAGCTCCGGGTCTTTTACGACAAATTTGCGAGCGGTTATGAAGGCGGCGCAAACATCGGATTCAGGAACTGGCATCCCATTCCGTGAGCTTTTCTGTTTTTGTCAGCCAAGGTTTTGCTGATAATCTACGAGCGCGACAACCGGTGGGTCGCGGGACGGCGGGCGGGGCGGGAACGGTGGAGTCTGGGAGTGGACTTCGACTGTGTTTGACAAGTTTGAGGGATTTGTCCCGTCACAATTATATCCGGGGTATTCGGCAGACTTCTTTGACGGCGCGCATCAGGTTGTGGTTAGTTGTTTCCTCCCTTTTTTTTTGGCGGTTTGCTGATATCAGTGCAGCTTGGAGGGTCGTATGCGACTATCCCGCGGATTGCAGAGCGTCGCTCTGTGCGGAATTGGTATCACCACAAGTACCCGTATGCATGGGTCGGCGGGCGCGTCGTTTGGGATGCGTGATCAAAATCGACAAGAAATTGTAAATGTAAACTACGCCTTGGACTGCGAGTAGAAGGAAAGCACTGGAGTTGTCCGTGCCTGTACCATCGCGGATGGAGTAAATTGTATTACAACACGATAATGTTTTCAATCATCCAACTTGAAGTCGGCTGAAAATTCTAATTTTCGAATCTAAGCACTCGTTGTACATATCAAATAACCTTGGCACCGAGCTGCATAAGGAGATGCTACTTGCAGAGAAGACGCGGATCATCGATTCGACGTGGGCCCCGTATTGCGCCATCGTCCTCTCGACGATGAAGAATTTTGGGTTTGCATAGCCACCGTGATAGACACCTCGGCGCCAAGAAGACCGACGAGACGTGGATAGTCCTTGGTCTGGATCTCGGCCAACAACACTCAAAAATAGAATCTGGCACATGGCGATATCACAGCCTGCCTCGAGGCGGCAACGAGAATGGCAGAGTGAGATGCAGACGAGTAAGTACAAAAGATATACATATATTGTAGTCCAAGTTCAAGTTGATCTCGGTGTGGATGTCAGGGTTTAGCAACACATCTCGCACGGGCAGCCTGTAGAGTAGTTATAGTTAGCGCGGGAGTGGAGAGTGGAGGAAGTGGTTGGACGTACAAACGATGTCCGCAATGCATTCGCAGCAACCCTAGAGTAAGCGTTAGCGACGGCGGTGATGCAGCATGGAAGAAGCGTGGAGAAAACTCAGCCCACCTCGCAGCATTCTTTACTCTTCGGTTAGAACTATCGCTCAACTTGAGGAGGGAAACAGACGCACCGAAGCAGAGGAAGCACCCGAGCATACCAAGGAAGCAGTCCTACGAATGGTAAGTAAAAAAAAATGGCCCGATAGCCAGATCGGCCACAAACCTTGCCAGCTCCAGCGCCTCGCATTCGCGACATTTTATGCTTGTGCTGATGCTCGCACTCGCCGGTGTGTTGGCAGGTCCCATTGGCCTTGCCCGTCGTGGGTGGCGTCATAACGCCTATGAGTAACTAGAATGAGACACAAACAGACAAAGGCCGAACACAGCACAGACTCATCTCAGCAGCCTGAGGCTGGGCGGTGGTGGCTTTGGCGGGAGCGGACATGGGTGGTGTTGGTGGCGGAGAAGAGCAAAGGGTAGGGAAGAAAGCGCAGCCCGTCGGATCTCTTTACTTATACGTGGGACGTCATCTTGATGAAGTGACGCACCGGTAGTACAAGTGGATGCCAAAATTAAAAATAGAAGCCACATGGAACAAAAATAAATCGTGAAGCCGGCTTTGACTGGAAGGAATAACTTCAAAGCTTCAAGTTGATTAGATGGTGGTGAGCGGCAGTCCATTTGATGATATACGGTCCAAGATTGGAGCTCGAGGAAGTGCCAGTCTAAGTCGGTTCGTGTACACAATGGGAAGTGGCCTCAGCCGTCAGGCTCGGCTCTTCTGGCTGGCTGAGTTTGCGTGTGCTGTTAATGCGATTGGATAATGAGAATCTTTCTCTTCTATTTCTGTGGTTTTAAAGCGCGAAGGGTTTCCATTGTGTCTGCGAACGAGAAAAAGACATCGAGGGTCAATGAAAGCCTCGAAGAGGATCCCACGCTGTTGATCAAGAAAGAGCACTGCCACTTGCTTACACTCTTTTACACAACCACTATGACGAGGCCCCGATTCAAGAATCGGACCAGTCTTTCAAACTCTATACACACTCGTACAACACTCGTATGTTGGTCAGACAGACGCCGCCGAAGGCGCGGAGAATGCGTAATGCCAGACGCCTTTAAAACGGCGAGCAGCGACCAGGAAAAGTCACCATCGTTTGCATATCATAATGTCTTCCGCACCACTCTTCCAACCTACGACTCTCGGCGCTGGCATTCAACTCCAGCATAGAGTCGTACTATCTCCCTTAACCCGTCTTCGAACGGACGAAAACCAGGTCCCGCTGCTTCCGCTCGTAAAGGAATACTACACGCAGCGTGCTTCGACGGTTGGCACATTGCTCATCACTGAGTCGACCTTCGTCGCTGCTAAGGCAGGCGGGTACCCTTACATGCCAGGAATATGGAACCAAAACCAAATCAACGCCTGGAAAGAGGTAAACACGCTCTCTCACTTTTTTTTTGTTTCTCATGTTTCCTAGATCGTCGATTCCGTCCATGCAAAAGGATCTTTCATATTCCTTCAACTCCTTGCTCTCGGCCGTGGCGCAATGCCCGCTGTTCTCCGCGCTATCGACCCCAGCTTTCCTTATGTTGGCGCATCCGACATTCCAGTTGACCCCAGCGCAGAAGAGCGACCCCGTCCGTTGACCATTGCCGAAACTGCGGAGTATGTCGAGCTATATAAGCAGGCCACGAAGAATGCAGTAGAGGCTGGGTTTGATGGGATAGAGATCCACAGTGAGTGTTAGGGTTCTTGGCTTTTTTCTGCTTACTGATGACCCTCTGCTAGATGCCAATGGCTGCTTATTGGACCAGTTCATACAGGATGTTTCCAACAACCGCACCGACGACTATGGCGGGAGTATTGAAAACCGCTCGCGCATGACACTGGAGGTGGTCAAAGCCGTTGCGGAAATTATTGGTGAAGAACGAGTCTCGATTCGTTTCTCACCATGGAGTCCCTTTGCTGGTGCGTTTTACCAACCACCATCTTTGTTTCGCTCATCCAAGTGCAGGAATGGGCATGAAGGACCCGGTGCCGACCTTCTCGTATATCCTCGAGCAGCTCAAGAGTCGCCATCCTCGTCTGGCTTACATCCATCTCATCGAGCCCCGCATTGCTGCCAACGAATCTCTCGAGCTCACCGAAGACAATGCTTCTCAATCTAACGAGCATTTCCACAAGATATGGGCAGGAGACGGCACAAGAAAGATCATCCGAACTGGCGGGTTTACGCGCCAAAGCGCGCTGGAGTTTTCTGAGCGCAACCCCAATAACGGACTAGTTGCCTTCGGGAGGCAGTTCATCGCCAACGTGAGCCAACACATATTTGTATTCTCCAGTCGTGAAGCTGACAAACATGTAGCCTGACTTGCCCCTGCGACTGAAGCACGACGTTGCACTGAACCCATATGATCGCGCGACATTCTACCTGCCAGGCAACGAGCCGCGGGGATATACGGACCAGCCATTTGCGAAGGAACTTGACTCGCTGAGGGGTTAAATGGTCTCCCCATACTTGTATCTCTTGTGGTTGACTAGTTTAACCTTGAATGTAGACCTTGTCTCGTCCTGCTCTTGTGATCTAGCAACTTGAAACGGTATTCCAGATTGTGCTGCTCGGAGGACTCCCGATTCATCGTTTGTTTGTTTGTTTGTATAACGGTACATCGTTGATGATTGACAATGGTCGCAAGCTTGTGTTATCTTTCTTGGCTTGGGAGCCTTGCAATGCGAACTCGATGTTGGCCGCGGCCACAACGAGCAATGACACCACAATACTAGTAGGTCTGAATCAGTTCAATAAAAACAGTGATCGGACGTTAGACCTTTCGACAAAATGCATCTCAATGTTGGTAATTAGCCTGGGTGTTCATGCGAGAGTCGGTCATGGACGAACGTCGATAACCAGGTTGTCACCAGGCACAGATCAATATGTGACGTATGTATGTGACACTCAACCAGCGGCGTCTGCGAAGCCGCCTCCCCCCGACCAGCATGATTTGTTGCGGCCTTCTTTCTCGTCACCACGCGCGTAGGACGATCGAGGCTACCCATAGCGGCCGCTGGGGACTCGTTCAATGAGGAACCCGGCGGCCCGCGCATGGCATTCAAGAAACCTCTGAATCGCTCGTAGTTCATACTGCCTCATCTTTTCACCCGGGTCTGCCTTCCGCGTGGTGCATTCAATATTTGTCGCTCGCGAATAACAAGGGCCGTATGTACCTACACAAATACCCATCCAAGGTATCCTTGCGTTCGTTTACACTGGCATTGCTAACGCAACGTCTAGGCCTTGTTCGGATTTAAGTTCTCACACCGAACCACTTTGCCACTTGCCTGAAGCGACATTTAGTAGTGGGGAACCTCCATGAGCTTCCTGTATCTGGCAAGCCAAGCTCCGAATGTCTCCCATTCAGTATCAATTCCAAGATGATATGTTTGACGGAAATTGTTGCTGCAGGCCGGCTTCTGCGGTCTAGAGGACACCGCAGATCAGCGTCTTTCTATTTGGCCACACCCGCAATAGTACTTCGTGATCAACATCTCCGCTGACTCAAGCTTTTCCCGGGGCCACCCAGAGTTGGAAGTAAATACGCTTCAGCGCCTGCATACCGCTGGAGACTATCTTGCCAACAGCGGATTGGAAATCGATAGGAAAACCGCCACACTTAGTGCCGTTTCTTATAATAGCACGATGGCTAATGCATCGTGTTTGCAGCGCCAACTGGCCCAATCGCAGTCATGTCTACATCAAAAAATGCCACATAAAACAGTGTCGGACTTCAAGCTTGAATAATCGTTATTCAAACCCGACCAGACACAGGGATGCCTTACCCTGCGTTGACCCACGCTCCACTCTTGCTTTCGGTTTCTTGCCTTGTCGTGATATACTCTCTTGCCCGACGACTGTGTAGATTAAATCGCCTCCCGCTTCCTCCTGGACCCAAGCGACTCCCGCTTCTCGGAAATATCTTCGACCTTCCTGCCGAGCGGCAGTGGGAAGCATACCAGAAATGGAGTCGAGAATATGGTACCGCAATCTTTCCTGGGACGTCCGCACGCGAGACTGACAATTTTCTTTCCGAAGACTCCGACATTATTCATCTCGATATTATGGGCACCTCTATCATCGTGCTATCATCGCTGGAGGCGACACAAGAGCTTTTTGAGAGGCGTTCTTCAATTTATTCTGACCGGTATGTCTCTCACTGAGAACCAATGTTTTGTTTTGAGATTGGCTTTTCAGACCGCATCTTACAATGGTCGTTGATTTAATGGGATGGGATTGGTCAATTGGTTTGCTTTTCCCCCTCGCGCATTTTGAATTTCTTTGACTTCGCGTTAGGTCTGATGCAATACGGTAAGGCAGCAGATCTATCCACAACAATGGTAACGACAATTCTGGGTAGGTAATCCATGGTTTGTCTACGAGCATCGGTCTGTATTCGATGCTGATAACGACTGGTGTAGGAGAGCGCATCGCAAGATGATGCAACATTCGTTTAGCAGCAGCAACGTGCATCAATTCCAGCACCAAGAGACAGCTGCAGTCCATCAGTTTCTGCGACGAGTACTCGAAGAACCAAATGATATTATGGCGCATTTCCGACAGTATGATCCACTTTTCCTCTTGTGATCCCAAGTAATCTGCGTGTCAGAATGACGGGTGGTCTCATGATGGACTTGGCGTATGGCGTCAAAGTACGCAAAACGGGTGATCCTTACATCCAAATGGTCACAGAAGCAATGCACGGACTCGCCGTTGCGACCGCCCCCGGCGCCTTTCTTGTGGTTCGCTCTGCCAATCGTTTGCAAATACTCGAACTTATACTTGTTTGCCAGGACACGATTCCCGCACTGAAACACGTCCCAAGTTGGTTTCCTGGTGCTAGCTTCCAACGACAAGCAGCAGCGTGGCGGAAGGTCACTCGTGGCGTACTTGAAGAACCGTTTGCAGAGACCCAAAGGAATATTGTCTGTCCTTCTTGCCGTTATTCAGTTACACCATTTCACCGGTTCTAGGTTCAGGGAACTGGTTCAGAATGCTTCGTCTCCCTTAGCCTCCAGAATGTCAACGCGAAATGTGGCGACCTTGGACCCTCACAACCGGGCAGCGATATTCGTAGGCTGAACTCTGAGTCCGTCATCCGAAATACTGCCGCAAATATCTATGCTGGTGGTGCTGATACAACCGTGGCCGCTCTTGGCTACTTTGTTTTTGGCATTCTATCCAACCCCAAGGCACAAGCTATGGCACAAGCAGAACTCGACGCGGTGCTTGGGCCTGGGATGTTACCGACATTCGAGGATCGCAGAGCGGGAACCCTGCCATATGTGACTGCGCTGGTGAAAGAGGTATTGAGATGGAAAAATGTGACGCCAATGGGTAAGTACTGCCGGTGCACGTTATAATCTTTCAAACTCCACAGGTGTTCCCCATTATGTCAAAGTAGAGGACGAATATCGAGGATTTCGTATCCCGGCTAACTCTATTGTCATCGGCAACGTTTGGTACGGATTTCCGAACTTTTTGGTTTCATTGGATCATGATCTCACCAAACAATTTAGGGCCCTCCTCCATGACCCAGTTTGTTGCTCTCACTATACTGATAAAGATATCATGACCCCAATACAACAGGAAATGTACCCCGAGCCACACTCTTTTAATCCGGAGAGATTTCTTGATGACGGCAAGCTCAACCCGAACGTTAGAGACCCCGAGTCAGCATTTGGTTTTGGGAGGAGGTTCGCATCTGACAAACCTACCCACCAATCATGCTCATCTTATATCTGCAGGGTGTGTCCTGGGAAGCATCTGGCTTCAGCTACGCTGTGGTTGACAATCGCGTGCATGTTGGCCACGTTCACGATCGAGAAGGCCGTCGATGAAAACGGTGATGTTGAAACAACATTCGACGAATTTCCGGGAATCGTGTCGTGAGTGGCCTACCATTGAGATCATGTCCAAAGGTTGACAAGAGCTCTCCGATACGCTGTATAGTACTCCACTGCCGTTCAAGTGCATAATTACGCCACGATCTCCGCAAATTCAACGCACGCTTCAACTTGCGCAGACATAACCATGGCCATAGAATTCCCCATAACCTTCAAGTACTGTACACATGGGAGTTGACTTCTTCCTCACTATTTCTCGTGTATCAAGTGTATTCCACGACCTAAATGCTTATCATTGTTTCAATATCTTCTTTTGGAGGAGACCACTTATCTTGCAGGTCCTTATTGACAGTCTTCGCAATGTCACTGACTTCCCACCATTCTCCCCAACTGGTCAAAAATATTCGGTCTGCATCTTCTGGGAAGTCGCTTCGCACAAGGGCCTGCAAGATGCTTGTTGCACCGACAGAAATGCTTCTTGCGTCGGGCGAATTGGCAGGCAAGTTGAAATTTGCTTCGCGTGTAAGCCCCGTGGTTGGCACCAGGCCTGGAGAAACGGCGACGACAACACAGGTGGGAGAAAGAGAACGGCGCCAGTAGTGTGCGTTCAAGAGTTGGGTGAATTTGGTGTGGGGATAGGTATTTTCCACGAAGGACGGGCCCGGAACGCCTTTGAGTTGCGATTCGAGAGCATCTACAAGTAACAAAGGACGAGTTCAGAAGGACGAGACAACTGCTAACGAGCGAGATCATACCCGGGTCAGACACCATGCGGATAGCACCAGAGGAGACAAAGACTATACGAGTCTTCGAGGCGAGGAGTTTCTCCCGGAGAAGGTGGATGAGATAATGTTGTGCTTCAGTGTATCAGCTTGCGTTTTCTCAGGCTGATGGAAAAAAGGACCGACAGAGATGATTCACAATATATTGCTCGCACCAATCTCCGTACTTGCTCTTTCGCTCGACCGGGTATGCATTGGCAGCGTTTAGCAGAAGGTAATCCAAGGGTTGGGAGCCAAGCCTCTCCAGCGTATCGGCCGCGAAGCGCTTGACGGACGAGAGGTCGGACAGTTCCAACGGGAGGATTGTTGGAGAGGGCAAAACTCCGGCAGAGGCAAAGGCTGCGGTAGTAGACACAGTATTGCGGACACCAAGGAGGACTGTCGACAGGCTAATGGACGGAGATAAGGGAGGCTGTTTGGTGAGCAGCTGCTTGATAGCTTCAAACCCCTGAATTGAACTTTTTAGAGATTGTGGTGCCGTATAAGCACATGCTCACAAGTCCGGACGAGCAGCCCGTCGCGACGAGGGTCTTGAGCGTGGTGGTCATATTGAGAGGCAAGCTATTTTCGGTCTTGACGGCCCGTGACGTTGTGAAGTGACTTCACGACGTCACCGTAAATGATCCGAGTCACGTGGAAATCCGTCATCCGGCATCCAAACACGTCGAGCCGCGGCATGGCGGCATCATGCTTCGCGTCTCGTATTTAGCCTCCATCCTCCTCGCCCTCCTCTCTTTCCTGTACTATCACAATCTCAAGCCTATGCCTTCACTTGCTGCCGCGCGTGCTTTCAATCTGGCTCATGTCCCCACTTCTTACACTCCCACGGCAATATTCGTGGGGGGCACATCTGGTATCGGACAGGGCATGGCTGAGGCATTCGCGCGTCATACAAAGGGAAACGCCAGCATCATTCTTGTCGGCCGTAACAAGGCTGCTGCAGAGGCTATCATTGCAACTTTCCCCAAACCCACAGCACCCGACGTCAAGCATGAGTTCGTCGAATGCGACATTACTCTCATGAAGAACGCCCGACGTGTTGCAGGAGAGCTGCAGGCCAGAATACCAAGGATCAACTTCTTGGTGTTGAGTCCTGGCGTGCTCACACTGGATGGGCGGAACGAGACAGAGGAGGGAATCGACCGAAAACTGGCGGTGCATTATTATGGGCGGTGGAGGTTCATCCGGGAGCTGTTGCCGTCCGTCGAAGCAGCGCATGCGGCCGGAGAGGATGCCAAAGTTATGACGGTACTTGCTGCAGGACACGGTGGAGCAATTGACTTGGATGACCTTGGGTTGAAGAAGACATTCAGTCTACCAAATGCAGCAAGGGCTGCGCCGACTTACAACGACATCATGGTCAATGTATGCTTCCATTTGTTGCTTTCATTACGGACTCACATTTCGCAAAGGATCTTGCAGCTCGATATCCTGGCATCTCATTTATCCACTCTTACCCCGGCGGAGTCAACACTGGTCTCTTGAAGTCGTCTAATTCGGCTGCCCTCCGCTACAGCCGATTCCTCACGCCCATACTATCGCCCTTTCTCTACACTGTCGAGTCGGCAGGAGAGTACCAGCTGCATTCTTTATTGAAGGCGGGCCCTGGAGCCTCGCGCTCAAACCAGCGGGGTGAAGACATTGGTTTGAAGACTGCATATTTTGGGAGCGAAGAGGCTATGAAACGGCTTTGGAAACACACGGAGGAGGAAACAGCACGTTGAATCACTCTAATGCTGACATCTTGTTATATTCCATCTTAATTCATCTGGCTTTATAGGTGCAACTGTAACATGGAATTGTGTTCTTACTCTATAATAAACCCGCTTGTGACAGTGAGTAGATAATCCCGAAATGCCCATCAGAAATATGGGATATTGAGATTTACTCCAGAGCTCACCCTTGCTTGTTGGCAATATGCCTGGGCAGAGGCCCAGTAAGCACACACTTATGGCTCCACAACGGGTGACTATCATTATGATTATTTATCTCAGAAATAAATGCTAACAAGTGTTGTACTACTATGTACCTATCTCGACGATTCGCATCTTCAGTCGTCTGGTGCTTGATACGCACGCTGGTGATAGGAAGATACCTCGGAATTGTTCGTCAACTGATAGGCAGAGCGCCTACGTCGAGCCTCTGAGTCGGAGCAGACAACGTTAATGCGCCATCTGAGCCCGTTCTGCTCCTCTGCCCTCAACTCATCTTCTACATCTAGGGACTTGGTGATTGGGAGGCTCAACGTTAACGTTCGGTGAGTGGCGTCTGGGGAGAAGAATCGCAATAATGACATGAATCCGCTTTGTTTTAAGGCAGAAGATGGAGCAACGACGTGAAGGTGCTTCAACTGCGCATTCAGCTTTTCTTTCTCGAGCGTTTCGAAAAATGCATCGGTCAAGGACCAAATCCAAGGGTGATTTTCTGGCAGATTCTGGAAATATTTGCCCACCCGCAGATGTGTTGTCGGTGGTAGTTCTCGTAGAGCCGCAAGGACCGCATCTTCAGTGACCTGGTCCAGGTGGAACTCGGCGACCTGAGCTGTGGGGATAATGATCGATGACGGGGCAAGTTCATGGGCTCTGCTATTGCCGAGACCGAACGCCCGGAGATTTGGCATCGCCAAAAGTTGCAAGAGAGTTGTGACGCGTTCGTGGAAGCGTTTCGATTCGGCTCGCGAGAGGGCGATCGGGCAGAGGAATAGCTCTTGCATGCATGGAAGAGTGAGTGGATTAGAGTATGTGAGCGAGCCCAGGCGGGTTATCGTGAGCTCACAATGAGCGAGACGGGTGCAACGTCGAAGTATGAGGTAGACGCCGTTTTCGTCCAGGCCACCGACAATGACGCCGGTAGTAACGGTAGTGACGCTTGGTATAGAATGACATTTGAGCCTAAGGTCGGTCAAGTTGGCCCAGGGCAGCGGAAGAGTAAGAGGATCGGCGCATCCGACGAGGGAGACGGACTCCAACTGTGGACTACGGAGGAGTGTGGTGCGGTCAAAGACGGACGGCGGTGCATAGGGGTAACTGATCAGTCGGACATGCTTCAGAAGAGGCATATTGTCTGGGTCAAGAGATAATAAAGAGTCCCAGAAATCCATACTGCTGCACCATATATCCAGGCCTCCCACCCGAGGATGAGCGTCAAGTATGGTCCGCAGCATGGTGCCACGAAAATCGTCTGGGTTATTGCCATGATGCGAATTCTCGATGTCTGTTTTGTGTTGAATGTAAGATATGCGGAGTGGTCTCGTGCCGACGCGAGTGAGCCATGGAGGAATAACGGAAGAAAATAGCTGGGAAGTCCATGGCGTTCTGCCACGGGGATAGTAGGGCGAGCGGGTATCTCCGCACACAAGTAAGCCCGCCCAGAGCAGAGAAGTTTCATGGGAGAGCTGACGCCAAAAGCGACACACTCTTCCAAGTAGGAGCGGTGCTTCATGATGGTCGAAAAATGCCATCTGCTCTGTGGGCAAGCAAGCCACGAAGATTTCCTGCAGAATATGGGCAGGAATCCGTCGAATCGGAGCGAGGAGTGACTCGTGTGAGAAGATGTAGCTGCGTAAAGTGTGTCGCTGCTGTTTGAGTGTCTCCAGTGCTTTTGTTGTGTTTGCGATGTCAACCTCTATTTGCGCGAGTTGGGCTCTAGGCCCTGGAAGAAGCGAGTGAAGCAGGCCTATTTCAGCTTCGTCAGGACAAAAGAAACTGTTCAGTCTATCTTTGAATGGAGTTTGAGGAAAAGCCATTGCGATGTTGATGAATCATGAATGGTCACGGGATCAAGCGCGTCTTTCCTTCCTCCTTCTCAGGGTCGCGTTTCGAATGGACTCGGATTCGGATTCGGGACTCCGGACACAAGCTGCCTTCCAACGCGATTCCAGCTCCTCCATACACACGCCTCCATCTGTTGTCTATGATAACATTGCTGGCCCAAGCCACTCGAAGGCGAAGTCGCTTCGCAGAGAGCCCAGCGGTCTCGTTGATTGCCACCGGTACATTTTCAAACCCTCCTGCGTACTTTAATAATAACGTGCTTTTAGCGTGTTGACGAAGGGTAAATATGCCGGCGCGTAGCAAGACCGCTCACTCCGTTATTAGTATTTGGCCATGCGGACTACAAAGGCAAACAACGCGAGATTGTAGAGGCTGCTGTAAGAGGTGCGTACGAGGCAGTATGCTAAGGAAAACCTGCGTTTACGTAGACTCAGGAGCGGATATTTTCGTCCTCGCACCAACTGGGATGGGAAAGGAATGTTACCAAGAGCCAGCAATTCAACTATAGCTTGACGAACAGGTTGCAGAGCATATGCTTCCAAGTCCCTGCAGTAGCTGATACTGTATGTCACTGTTTTCCCATCTACTTTTGTCGCTTGACTTGTTTTTCTAGCACGGAATAACAATCGTGGTTTCTCCCCTCCTTGGTATGCCACCTTTCGAACCTCTATTCTACTGCTACAATGCACGCTAGCTTTGATGAAGAACCGTGAGCACGGAATATACCGAGTTTTGCCATGACGCAGTTTCTAGAGGTCTCTGCTCTTCGTGCCAAATCGGTTAACGCCGTCGCCTTGACATCAGAGACGGATAAAGAAGAGAAGGAAGAGGTATTTGTTGCTCCTTGTTTCACCGATTTATCCCTTCTCACCATATGGTGGCAGATTGTGCGAGACTTATCGTCAGGCCATCCAATAAACCGTCTTTTATATAGTGAGTTTCAGCTCGATTTGTGATTACGGTTCAATATCTTGCAGTCACTCCCGAAAAGCTCCTCAGGAGCGAATTTCTCAACACCCTGGATACCGTCTATGAAAACCAAGAACTAAATCGATTAGTTATTGACGAGGCGCATTGTATTTCGGCAAGCTACTTTCCCTAACCGTGGTTCCGATTGACCAAGCTTCAGGAATGGGGTCACGACTTTCGTGCAGAATACCGGCGGTTAGGCATATTCCGACGACGGTTCAACGATGTACCCATTATGGCCTTGACGGCAACGGCGACCCCAACGTGTGTTTCTCTCCCGTTCCTGGGTGTCACTGACTGGCCTTTTCAGAGTACAAGCAGATATCATTCGCTCTCTGGAAATGTCCTCTGACCATCTTGTCAAAGTTGTCCACCCATTCAACCGCAGCAACCTATTTTACGAAGTCCGCTATCTCGGAACCCCAAATCAAGCATCTCAATTTGCCGACATACTCAATTTCATCCTCACTATTTATGAACGACGAGAACGCGTGTCCGCTGGGATCATTTATTGTCGAACGCGAGCCGGTTGTGACGAGCTCAGCACATTTTTGCGAGGGAATGGTGTCAAATCGAAACCATATCATCGAGGGCTGAGGTGTGTTTTTATCTGTTGATTGCAGAAGCGTTTATGCATCGTGCTTAGACCATCACAACTCGATTCAACCCTTCGAGAATGGACATCTGGTGGAGGGGCTGGCTCAGGTTCGGTCGATGTCGTTTGTGCGACGATTGCATTTGGTCTTGGGATTGATAAGGGAGACGTCCGGTATATCATCCACTATGACCTCCCCAAGAGTTTGGAAGGTTATTATCAAGAGACAGGTATATTTTTTTCGTTTGAAATCCTGATCAAGCTGATCCCTTTTCGAGGTCGAGCAGGAAGGGACGGTTCCGTATGCTTTCCAATCACATATTTTGTCCGTTGACTGAATGGTCGAGTAGGCAGCAAGATGTGTCCTCTACTATTGTTGGTCCCAATCCTTCTTTGATATGCTTGCTTATTCTTCTTTCAGCACGAGAAGACGCCATTCGCGTTAAGCGATTGATTTCTGCTAACCAAACGAAGCGAACGACAATGGCGCTACAATCTGACGGGCCTGAACCCAGTCAGCGTTCAGTAGATAGTTTCAGATCGGTGCGTTTTGTCCCCCCAGCTGTGACATATGTTGCTGAACTAAGCGCCCGGCAGCTCATTGACTTAGCAGAGAGTACGACTCTCTGTCGTCATGTTGTGAGTTTCTATACCTTAGTCTTACCCGTCGTCTGACTCGGGTTGTCAGGCAATTTGTCGCTATTTTGGCGAAGCGATTGACTCGAGTGACGCTGGGATGGTGAGGAAATACTGCAATAAAATGTGTGATGTATGTCGTGTCTTCTTCCACCACCATTTCTCCCGCTCAACTCTTGCTAGATATGCAAAAACCCTGCCAAGACAAAAGGTCTTCACCAGAAACTTTCTTCCCTGGAATTTGCTGCTACACAAGTACCAATTCATCCTTCTCGTACCGACCTTGACGACGAGAACGTGGGGTCAAAGAATGATAACCAGAACAAAGGGGACATTGCAGCGATGAAACGAGCACGAACCGAGGTAGACAATGCCGCTGTTGCGCGATATGGCAAGAAGAGCAAGACTTCCGGTTCGGCTTTGCCTATGAGCATGCGATCCCTCAGTAAGTTATTGTATGGCGACTTTGTACCGGGCTAAATCCTTTTGCGGTATTCAGACACAAGACAATTTGCCTCGCATGGCGCACTGCTTAAACCATATAAGCCCCCGCTCAAGGCTGCTCCGGCTCCGAGCATCGATGAAAATGAACGTCCTGCGTTGGAACCAGATGTAGAGTCTGAACAACCCAACCAGCCAATAACTATTGACCTCGAAGATGAAGACGACCTAGTGCCCGAATGGGACGGGGAACAGAGAAACGAGAAGATACCCGAACGCCTCCAATTCGATGATGACATGGAAGATGAATTACGAGGAAACCGAGAATGTGCGTTGCGACGTTGTTGTTTATACTCCAGGGTTAAAGACCATCTTTTAGCCTCCCCAATGGAATTAGGGAAACTGAGTGGGGAAATGGAAGCTTATTTTTCTCAAAAGATACCCGTCAGTCATTTGGTTTCGATGAAAAAATGTGGACTAAGCCTCAAACCCAGCTCTACATGCGACATAGTGCCCGGGAAAGCTTGCGACAAGCATTGCATAAGACGTTTTTGCGAGGCGATGCGGACAAAATTTGGAAGGAAAACTTGGGGAAACGAAAACTGGATGCTGCATATCGGTACGACATTTTTTTTCTGCTCCTCCTTTTATAACGCCTTGTCATAGGTCTCCCCTACTTGACGAGGCCGCGAAAGGACTCGAATTTGCTGCATTCTCGCTTTGCAGCACCCAGGATGGCTACGGGAGTCGTGTTGAGGCAACCGTCGATGCTGTCAAGTTTTTGGCCAAACATATCGGACGATGGAAGGACGGCGGAAAGGAGGATGAATGGGAGGAAGCAATGGAAGTAATTCAGGTGGTCAAGAACGCAAAGCTATGAGTAAGCTGCTTAAATTTACGCTAAGTGCATTATCTGACCAGCTGCACCAGTTTCGAGAATGGTGACGATATGGCGGAAACTATCGGTACCGTCGTTCTCAAAAAGCGTCAACTTTTGCTGTATCATCGCCAATTCGCTTGAATGCTGCTTGAATGCGCCTATAAGGACTCGTCAAACCGAATTCAGACTTCCTTGGGAAAAGCAGCGCTACCTGCCATAAGTCGCACAACAGGCAACGAACGGGTCGACTTTGTCAACAACTCCTGCATGACGTGGTTAGAGAGATGGTATTGAGACCCTTTAGGGTTGCGTACCCTCCGTTCTCTGGCTTTGGTCAAGTCCCTCACTTTCGACACTTCCTCTTGGAGCCGCGCCAAGTCGCCCTCTGAATCCTTCTCGAATTCTTCGCAAACCTGCTGCATCCGCAAGCACCCGTCGCTCAAAGTCGTTATTGTCTGGCGCTGTTTTTCGAGGAATGCCTTGCGGTCGGCCGAGTCTTTGGGAAGGTCCAGCACCGTTTTCGAGAAGGTTTCCTAGTCGCGTTATATCAAGGCGCTGAGCGAAATTTTCTTCCGCGTACCTTGGACGAACGCGAAAATGCCCGAACACGAAGGGCAACACCTGCTATCGTGGTGCGACGATGGGTTTGGAAACGGCGGGTGTGGCACCAGATGTCGCGGTAGGACGTTTTAGAGGATACAGCAGGGAGGCGTTGGCCACTGAGCAACATTCGTCAACTCTGGGAAAAGAGAGAAGAAGAAGCAAAATGGGGGGCTCACTGGTCGAGGTAGTGTTGCAGCGCTAAAACCCCTTCATTCGTCAATGCAGAGAGGTCGATGGGCTGGTTCTCGAGCTTGTGGCGTATGGGCATGCTGGGGGGAGCGAAAGAACATTGCGGGGCCCAAGGCAAAACGACAATGACAGGGAAGCATCGGGTAGAGAAGCTGTCGACCTCTTTTTCGGTATAGGGTTTTCCACGGGTTTTCATACAGACAGATAATGAATAAGTACATTATTTTATCCTTCTTTTCTTTAAAATTCTTGTTCTTTGTCTCACTCGCTCTACACGCTCAACTCGACTTTGACGCTCTTTTGAATGGCTTCTTGAAGTGCAGGGTCTGCCAAAGCAGGCTCGACCCATTCCTTCAAGAATGCATCGACCTGCTCTGGTGCTCGACCAATGAATGTGTCGGGGTCCAGCAGGCTGTCGAGTTCATCCTTGATAGGGTCAAAGTACGGGTCCGCCCTTACGCGCTCGATAAGGTCATTCTCGAGCCCGAGCTCTTTGACTTGGTATGCAGCTTCATGAGAAAGAACCTGTGTTATTCTTCGTAAGGAAAAGAAAAGGGAAATAAAAGTAGATGACTCCGCACCCGAATCTTTTCATGAGCTTCCTGTCGGTCTCCTCCCTTCTTCACAATCTCCATGATGATATTCTCCGTGGCCATGAACGGCAACTCCTGGGAAATCCGTCGCGCAATGACCTTGGGGTAAACAACAAGTCCCTCAGAGATGTTTTGCAGTGTCGAAAGGACAATATCGGCTGTTAAAAATGCCTCCGGTAATGTAACGCGACGGTTTGCACTAATGAAAAACACAGTCATTCACTAGTTGCTAAAGGGGAGAAAACAAACTCGCCTGTCGTCCAAAGTTCTTTCGAACCACTGTACGCCTGCCGTCATCAGAGCATTTTGGTGTAAGACCATCAAATGGCGAGAGAGACTGCAGACCCGCTCTGAACGCATTGGATTCCTCTTGTATGCCATAGCAGAAGAGCCTATCTGCGTTGACTCGAACGGTTCTTCGACTTCCTGCTGATTTTGAGAGAAAGAAAGTAAAAAAACGAAAATGACCTTGAGGTTCGCAAGAAGCCGAATATCTGTCGCAAGTTTATGCGCTGTGGCACCCAGAGATGCTAAAGGCGCCAAAACATCGATGTCTACTTTGCGCGAGTAGGTTTGAGAGGTGACCGGGTACGCATACTCGAAACCTGAGAGTTTCGTGACGAGTTTATCGAGTTGAATGACCTTTATAATTGCATTGGATGGTGGTCGAACAAGTCAACAAACCAGACATACCTTGTCGTGATCACCTTTGAACAACGTCAAAAAGCTCGCCTGAGTTCCCGTTGTTCCTTTGACTCCACGGAATCCCAAATCATCTCGTGCGCGTTTGAGGTTACGAAGGTCCCAGAGAAGCTCTTGTATCCATAATGTCGCTCGTTTTCCGACAGTTGTCAGCTGTGCAGGCTGAAAATGTGTGAAGCCCAACGTCGGGAGGGCTCGATACTGAGCAGCAAAGTTGGACAGTCGCGAGATTAATACCGAGAGGGAGTGGATGAGGTAGTCCAGCCCAGTACGGAGAAAGATGAGGTCGGCGTTACTGTGAGGGATATAAAGGTGAACAGAAAAAGTGGTAGAGGTCCACGAACTCGGTGACATAACACGATGTGGCTCCCAAGCTAATAGGCACTTAGAAAGTAGAAATTAACACGATTGGGTGGCGCACTGAATGATTCCGGCGGCAGCTGGGGCAACAGTGCCGAATGTGTGGACGTGCGCCATAACGTCGTGTCTCCTTTTCTTTTCTTCTTTTGCGGCAACATCGAATTGCTCTGGGGTAAGATCCTGGTAAAGGAGCGAGGATTAGACAGGTTTATAAGAGAGAAAAAAGTTGGAAAAGCGCACCAGATTCGCCTTCATCTGCGCGATAGCCTCATCGGTAATTTGGTGCAACCCAAGCTCCTTTTCCGCAATCGCGAGATTTAGCCATAGCTTTCGCCACGTGGAGAAGCGATTCTGTTAACAAGCGTGAGCATTGAGTCCAAGATGGTGGGTACGTTTTGAGCACGAACGGCAGCTGAAAAGAGGTGGGCCATTTCCTTGCTCGCATAGCGACTAGACGCATTTAGGAAGTAGCATCGGCTTGCACTTGCGCAGTGCGGACCTGGAGAGCGGTGTTTGGTATGTCTCGAAGGCCTCCATGGTTGAAGTCAAAAGGACAGATGCGAAAAAAAAATTATCGTGACCCATCAATCTGATCGAATTCGGAGAGATATGTACAAGTGAGAATTTTATGTGAAAGAATGGCAGCGTAACAAGAACCTGCTAATTAAAAGAGACCGCTTTGGGAAGATCCCTGCACTCCTTCGAGTTGATGAAACTTCAGAGGAGGGGGGAATTCAACAATGACATCAATCCCTGCGGCAACAGCGGGAGCCCAGAGTCCATCCTTCAACGCTAACTGTTCATCTACCGGCCAGTCTGCATATATTAATCGGAGGCGACCGAAGGCCTTGGTCGTATCTTCCCCCCACACTGCGCGGTTCAGCAGAAAGGCGGCGATGGTATCGTCGAAGACATGGGCGAAGTGGTGAAGCGTCATTTCTTCCAGATGCGGACAGAAAGTAGGTGAAGACAATGCTGAGAGGCTAGTTGGGTCAATTTCAGACTCATTGTCGGGATTTATACGATGGTTAAGTAGTTTGAGCTGGAGCAGTGAAGGTGGAAGAGCACGCAATATATCGTTGAACTCCTCATGCGAAATGTATGCTTCCAAATGAAGTGTTTCCAACAGAGGTACTGCAGACAGCAGATACAAGAAGGACGGCGAGTGTTTGGGTATGAGATCAACGAGCTTTAGGGTGCGCAGCAAAGGCCAGGCTAAGTAGTCGAGAAAAGTGTAGTCCCCGCCACCAAGTAACAAGTCTCGAATGGGTAATTGCAGGCGGTCACCCGAATAATGAGATTGTGTAATGGGTATAGTGGTGGCAGTGAGATCTGGAAGGAGAAAGAAGGACAGCGATCTGAGGTGGTTTTTGCATTGAGAAAGCAGGTCGATGATGTCTGAGTCCTGCAAAGGATTCATGGTACTGCGTTCGGAACTCCACAAGGACTAGTTTCACAAGTCGACTCCAGTCAATAGGCATGAAGGTGCAATATGCGCACTGGATAAGGGAACAGGACACAAGTGGCGCGCTGTTTAGGAAGTGCAGAGCAGCCCAACTCGAATCATCCGAGGAAATCCGAGCGATGGCTCCGGCGGTACCTAAAGATTTCAGTACAAAGGTTTCAAGAAGAGGAGTCCTGTCAATTTGCGCAATCTCGTCGAGAACAGAGTCATAGAGTAGTATGCTGAAGTCGACAGCTTTCCAGCGCCGAGAATAACATGTAAAGAGACGAATGAAGAGGGATGATGTGATGATCTGCGAGTCCAAAGAACGACAACGATAGTGGACAATCACCAGAACGATCCAGCCAATGTTTTGCGGCGCTGAGCTGTTTGTTCGGCAACGATGCGGTCTGTGCCTCGCGGCGCTGCTGTCCAAGGATTGTGGCGGGGTTCCACGACATGTAGTTTTGCCCATAAAGCAGGCGTCTGGAAAACCACCGTGCGCCAGTAACTGCAAACGCGACCCAGTAATAATGGTCCCTCAGTTGCAACCATAGCACAGTTCCTATCGGTAGGAAGGCAGGCGAGAAAAAATTTCTTGTAGAAGATCGAGGGGGAAGACGTCGAACTGGAGAAAGAAGAGCCTCGTGTGCCACAATATGAGTTACGAGTGTCTTTCGCTTCTCCTGCAATTGTCGAATGCTCTGGTCAATTTCTTCGAGTTGTGATCATGGTTCCACAAGGAGGGACCTGATCTGGGAAGCTTCTTCGTCCATTGGGCAGTAATTCGTGTTCAATTTTCGCGTGAAGGGCGATGAGCTTGCCATTGGAGTGTCAAGAACTGTCAAGAATAAGAGTCGGAATCACGAGCCGTCACACGTGTCACTGTCACAAGCCACTCTTTCAAGGACCTACTTTCACCACTCCCTCATGGCATCTTCTTTGACCCAATGGCCAGATGATGTTCTACTGAAACTCGGGCAGGAGCTAGACGTTTACGACCTGATGAGCCTTCTTGCTGCAAGTATTTTGCTACACCTAGGTCACGGCCCTTGAAGTTTCATTGGTTGATATAAAGTTTGATTGCAGACTTGTCGCTCGCTCCGTGCTTTGCAAGACTACCGCACCCTCTGGCTTTATGCGGCCTCACAGATTCGAGACGTGGAGCTCCATCCCCTCCCACTCTCCGCGACCGAGCGCCTCACCGATCTGCCTCTTCCCCGACTACAAACACTTGTCCGACAAACGAACCGGCTGCTTCGAAACCTACATTCAGACGTGCCACGACCTGTCTGGACGCGTATTTTCTCAATTGGGGAGACGGGGAAGATATTTTGCATTCCGGGGACACATCTGCTCGTCAGCGCCGGGAACCGACATGGTGACCACACCTTAGATTGCTGGGACATACGGACAGGCGAGCGCGTCGGCGGGACAGAGGTGCCACACCTTCGTCTTATCGTAGCAGACTCGTGCATTCCCGTGGAGGGTCGGGCACTGCTGGGTGGAACAGTCCGTCCGCCAAGCGGCGGGTAAGTAAATTTGAAGCCAGATGGTAATTCGGTGGCTAATAATATTGTTGCCTCAGCAACGAGACGAGATTTGCGCTTATCATACTTGACTTCACAGACAGGACTCGTATCCATTTCCGGACAATAATTTCGCCTGCAATCCACCAGACTGCGAGTGACAACGGCGACTTCTTCCTTAGCGACAAGATCTTTGGATTTACCACCGACATGGACCTCTATTACTGGACATTCGACCCGGAGCAATCTATACGGCGCATCCCAAACCCATGGCGCGACTTGGTTTGTGCTCATCTCTTATGCAGCGGAGGTCTCACAGTGACTGTCCTTCAGATAACTCAAGGTCGCACATGGATACGCCATGTCCACCTGCACGAGGCCGACTCCGACAGTCTCGGACGCCTGTATATGTTTGGCATTACGCCTCATGCAGCCACAGTCGTTGACAGTATCCCTCTTGACGGCAATTCGTCCACTGGACCCGAAGATCAGCCCCCGACTAGACATTCCATTCTATTAGCTGAAAACGAGCAGGAGAGCACAGTTACCTATAACCTCAACATCAACAGTATGTCGTACTTCCACCCGCTCGTCGTCCGCCCAGACTATCACATCCTGGGCATCTCCTGGCGTGCTCTAAGGGCGAACAAAAGCCGCCTCTCGTTCTCGTTCACACATTTCTGGCCCATGCCGCCCACTCCTTCAGGTGCGAACACAATCACGTCAACCGCCGGCACCACGCCGGACGAAGCCCAGCCACTGCGCTCAATATGTTATGCCCACCAATCCAAGCCGCTTAGTCACGCAACTGGTGTATCCGGGCGCTACGTCCTGCAGATTATATCCCATGCCGACGGATTCGGTCGCGAATGGGACGAAATCAGCGACAGGCATCTCGCTTTGGTGTTTCTAGACTCCAACGGTCAGCCTAAGTTCCGAAAATTGCATCTGGAAAACGAAGCCGCACTCTGCCTACAATCTGATCGTGGTCCGGCTTATGGGTTGGCGTTGGATGATACATTGGGCCTCGTTATGCTCCTCGATAAGACTGGGACACTTACTGTTGCTTCATACATCTAGTTACTGATTGTTTAAGTTGTTACCTACTGATCTGTAATATGTCCTCGTTCAACTTGTATATCGGGGTTTAGCTCTCGAGACGGAGCACTGAGCACTCATTTATATACTACTTAGTAGTAGACTCGGACTACTTCAAATACAGTACTTACTCTGAGTAACTTAGAGTAAGTATAGGAAGTGAACGATGCTACTAGTACAACTACTAAGTAGTACCTGGCAATGACCATCATGATGTATTACTAGTATGAACAACGCCCTCCGAGTCTGCGTTGCTGCTAGTGGCGCCGGTAAGTGCCACTTAAGTTAGAAGCCTACAGAGAGCCAAATCTAATACTTAATTTGTCTCTCTATCAACTCTCTACTCCACATATAAGACTAAGTGCGTGTGTGTCTAGCCTCTGCTAGTCACGGCGTGACAGTGGCAGTGCTACACTTCTTCTTTTTACCTTGACTATGAGTTACCCTCGAACCCCATTCATAGGCCAACTGGACAGCTTCTTCTGTCCCAACGATGATGACATATCCGCAATCCAAACCCTCATTTCCGAGCCTCGAGCTCGATTGGTCCAAATCAACATGGATATCACAAAAACTATGACAGTACTGAAGGACCTCGAGAAGCAGCGACGTTCTCTCCGTCGTTACATATTCTCACACGAATCTCTCCTCGCGCCGATTCGGCGCCTCCCGCCATATCTTCTCCAAGAAATTTTTCTTGCTTGCCTCCCCACGGAACATAACGCTGTTTTTGACATATCTGCGGCACCGCTGCTTTTCGGGACAGTCTGTCGCTATTGGCGCAAGCTATCGCACGAGACTCCGCTACTATGGAGTAGCTTTTTTGCTAGCGGCGATCCCCGTTCAGGCTACTATCCTCGTCACAACTTGAATCCGCTACGACAGAACTCGAGCTTGAATTTCAATGCCAATGCCCCATCGTTTGGCGAAATGCTTGATCGGTGGTTTTCTCGTGCCGGTTCCAGTCCGATTCGTATCTCTTATAAAGAGCGGCATGTACGCCGGGCATGGGCCGCCGAGGCCGGGGATGCCCTCATGACCAGCGATGATCAACATGGCTTCAACGCAACTATGTTGCGAGCGATACTCAACATACGCAGTCGTATTGAAAGTCTCGATGTATGGAGCGGCGGCGGCAATACAATACTTCTCGAGTCGCTCTTATCACAGCAACCAGAATCAATGCCTGCACTAAAGCATGCTCGCTTTGTTTGCGATACTGCTGTCGCAGTTGGTAGTGGGCCGGCCGCGGCGCAAGGTCTCCAAGTCGGAGTCTTCGAAAAGTCTGTCATTCTCCAAAACCTCAATCTCAAGTCCATATGTCTCGTTGGTCCTGGCAACCCACTAGAAATCCCGCTTCCATGGAGCCACCTATCTGTGCTTAGACTTGTCTGTAAACCTCTCAGACACAGTTCTCCTGCCCTATTGGGTGGATTGGACCTTAGCGGAGCGCACCAGATCCTCGCCCGGTGTCCTCGTTTGATCTGCTGCGACATCGCAATCACTCAAGGGGGTGATTTGACTCGTGCCTGTCGAGTGGCACTTTTGTCTTTGGAGGAACTATTCTTGGGCTCCATGATGGAGCAGCGTATTCTGTCATTCATTGTGCAGTCATTGGAGGTCGAACCCCTCTTGCATCTCCTTGACATGCCGAAACTACGAGCATTTGGAGTTGGTGCCAGTACCGCTCACGAGATCTGCCCGCGATCCCTACTGTTGCCCGGAGAACAAGTTACGGAGTTCAACACCAGCTTCATCTCCCTGTCCTCAATACTTGAAGCGCTGCGAGAGGTGCCGCAAACAACCACTCTGCGTTTGATCGCACACGACGGCGATGTTTTTAGCGGCTGGGGTCCCAGCTATGCGACCTTTTTCCAGAACACCGAGAGTGAGCAACTGGTCCCCCGACTGCGGCATCTATATATCGAAGTAAAAGCTTCCAGCCTAGAGGCAGCTCGGACCGGCATCGTGCCGTTGCTTTCATCTTCACGCACACTCCAGACAATAACTTTGCGCTTTCCGACAGAGGATACTACGCCAGATAGTATCAAAGATGAATTACTGGAGCTCGGGAATAGTCACAGCATTCGAATCGAATTCGTCTATCCACCGCCTGAGGCCCCAACCACAACGCCCGAGGATCTGCTTCGTCTCTTGGAGCACTTCCGAAACTTGCAGCAACCCATCGACCTTGTATATCAGGAGGAGGAGTAGCAATTTATATCGTCGCGTGTAATCTCGGTGCCTCTGAATCGCCATGGAGTGTAAAACCATGCGTCCAGATATTGGAATAAAAACCCATTTCTTGTTAAACGAACAATATGCAACTCGCAAACTGCAGAACTTTCCGTCCTGAGAGTTGCCTCCTAACAGAGATATGACATTGTTTGTTTCTATCTGCGTTTCTATAAAACCAGGATCGGTCGACTCGGACATGGACGAGGGAAGAGAAATGCGGGGTAGTAAACACGGGGCAGCCCACTTTTGAGAGCGACCAGTGTTTAGCCATCAGAGGTTGCGATTCCTCGTTGACTGGGGTCGAATGTCAACGATACATCGGAAGGTGAAGCGCGAGAGAAGCGGCGGTTGTCGTTGTCGGTTTTGTTGCTGACGGCGAGCTTAAACTCCTCGAAAGCATTCTTGACCGAGAGGATCCTGAAATTGACGGCCTTCTGTGACTCCAGGATTGATTTAGTTTGATTATTTGCGTCGGCTGGGAAGATTACAGCTGTAAACAGGGCGAGTCGTGAATGCCACTGAATGGGGGTATGAAGAATGGTAGAGAATAATCGGCTGACACTTCATCGATTTCGGAGAAAATCAAGTGAAGTTTCAAGCGGCAACGGGGGTGTTTCGAGGCACATAGAGGCTAGGCAGTGATAATGTATGGTGGTCGGCGAAGTTTGGATGAGCTGACGGGTTTGTGGATATTTCAAGGTAGGCGTCGGCGTAATGGATAGAGTAGAAAGGGACAACGGGCTTGATTCACATGATGGTTCGCGACGAGAAGAACGAGGAGCGATGGGAGTTAGAATTCAGAGAAAGTGACTTTGGTGGGAGCCACAGTCTATGCGGAAGGTGGCATTATCCTTCGTGAGCTGGCTGTCAACATTCGTTGCGGGAGCTGGCGATAATTTGCGTACCATATTCTGGTTTCTCTTGCTTGTGTTGAACCACCACTGAGCACTCTTCCCAAGGTCGCGCGTTTGAGTTGTTGTGCTCGCGAAACGATGGCGACAGTGAGAATAACTTGAAGGAGAAGTCTGCGAGCGAAGATGTAACCGGTTTCGTCCGTGTTGAAGGGGGGGGGTAGGACAGCTTGTGGGGATGTCGAAGGACGAAAGAGAGTTTGTGGTCGTGGTCAAGTTGATGGCCTCCTTCCTTTCCGGACCGTGACGCCGAATCATGACTTTCCCTCGAACCCCGTTCATAGACAGACTAAACAGCTTCTACTGCCCCAACGACGACGAGCTATCCACACTACAGACTCTTCTTCCCGGGCCTCGCGCTCAATTACTCCAAATCGAGGGGGAGATCGCACATACGACGAAAATACTGGATGATTTGAAGGAGCGGCGATATGCTCTCCGTCGCTACATATTCTCGCACGAGTCGCTCCTCGCGCCAATCAGACGGCTCCCTCCGTATCTTCTCCAAGAAATCTTCCTCACTTGTCTACCAACCGAACACAATGCTGTTTTTGACGCGGCTGCGGCGCCACTGCTGTTTGGGAGAGTTTGTCGATATTGGCGACGGCTGTCCCAGGACACACCGCTTCTATGGAGTCGCTTTCTTGTCAGCGGCGACTCTAACTCGCTGTACTATCCTCGCTATGACACACTACGGTCTACTGCCCCGCCGTTCTCCGCGCAGCTCAACCGGTGGCTGGGTTTTAGCCGTGAGAGTCCGATCCACATCTCGTATATCCAACAGGATGTTGTGGTGGGCAGACAGGAAGAAGACACTCCCCTCTTTGCCGGTCGCAAGCCTGATTTCAACTCAACCATGTTGCCAGTTCTCCTCGATGTGCGCAGCCGCATCCAAAGCCTCGATGCCTGGAATTGCAACGTGACGTTCTTCCACTCCTTGCTATCGCAAATACCGGACGAGATGCCGCTCTTGAAGCATGTCCGCTTCATTTGCGATACCTACGGACCGCAGCCTCTATTTGAAAATGCTACACTCCTCCGCCATCCCAATCTAGAAACGGTCTCTCTGGTTGGACCCAGTGGGAGCCCACTGATGATTCCACTTCCCTGGAATAATTTGTCCGAGCTTCAGCTTCTTTGTCATCCTCTCAACGACGATACACTTGAAGGAGGAGTGAACCTCAATGACGTTCATCAGATCCTCCATTGGTGTCCACAGTTGATTCGCTGCAATATTGCCGTCACTCGCCTGGGCTTGTTAACACACTCTAGTCCGGTGACGCTTTTGTCTTTGAAGGAGCTTTTCCTGTGTTCTATGAGATACTACCAACCGTCATCTACCCCCACAATATTCGAAATCGAACCCCTCCTGCATCTTCTCATCATGCCTAAACTGCAAGCATTTGGAGCAGGCGTGAGCATCATTCACAAGCTTTCCCCGCAATATCTGGCCGCACCTGGCGAACAAGTTGCGGAATTCGACGTTGACTCGATTTCGATCACCACGATACTCGGCGTTCTGCGAGAGCTGCCGCAAACGACGACGTTGAGGCTAATCGGCCGGGAAGGCGAAAGTTATGGTGGCTGGGGTCGGCGCTGGCCATTAGACGGGACGTTCTTCGAGGCCGTCGAGCGCGAGAATCTAGGTTCTCTCTTGCGGCACTTATATCTGGAGCTGATGCCGATGTCATCCGATCTGGCAGCCAGCAGGCTGGTCCCGTTCCTGTACTCATGCCCATCCACACTCCAAACCATAACTCTGCGTGTCCCGACAGCCGATCCAGACACACCTCTCCCTATCAGAGACGAGCTACAAGAGCTCGAGAATAGGGGCATCACAGTGCATCTGCGCTATGCACTACCACAGGCGTCGCAGGCCAGAATGTTCAGTCATGATTGGTACGACGACTTTGGTGACAGACACTCGGAAGAAGATATAGATCTCGCATATCAACTTGAAGACGATTAGATGGCGAGTGCAGTTGTCAATAGTTGGTAGCCCAACTTGAAATATTGTTTTTGCTTAATATCTTTCGCACCATGGCCACTACTGAAGCATTCTTATTCGTGGAATCGCTTGGCATTCGATACGACTAAATCTACTTACAACATAGTCCCAACAAATAAAAAAAGGGGGCACGCCCCTTTGGAAGACACATCCGCTCATGAAGTGCTATGGTGGTCAAGCTGAGTAGTATTCTCGTCCATAACCTGCTGCGCATTCTCCATGACACGGCCGGGCGGCCGCTCCGCCTCTTGCTCCTGTTCCTGGGGAGGCAGCTCGTCGGCCTGAATGGCGAACAGTTCCGATATAGTTCCAGGGCCAATAGCAGCCTTGTATACTGCAAAACTCGTCGCGAACTCGCGGTGCTTGCCGATTTGTATGGCATCAAGCAGCTTCAATGCGAAGACCTGGCAGTTATTTGTGATGAGGTTGTACGCGGCCTGCTTGGAGCGCATGTGGAAGATGGCCATGTCGCCCGCCTGGCGCAGCGCCTGGTCGTTGAAGCGCGTGTGCCCGATCTCGAAGGTGTGCCACTCAGCGAGGTCGGTGACCTTGTCGTTGTTGTAAATGACGTCGAGGTGCTCGTCCATCCAGAGCTGGTGGCAGTAGTCCCCGACAATGATGGCCCAGTGCTGCCAAATACCAGTCAGCAGTAAACACACCAGGAAGGATGACAACCTGCGTCGGGTCCGGGTACTTGTTCGTCTTCTCCGTGATCAGCTTCCCGAGGCCCGTCTTCTCCGCGAACCACTTGCCCGCGAAGCCTGCGACCGGGTGCCAGCCAATGTGGACCGTCCGCGGCTCACACTTGATATTCGGCTCCCCAGGAGGGACAACGTTTGGCCTGGGAAGAGTGTGCTGTCAGTTGTCGCATTTCGTGAGCATAGTTAGAGGACGCACTTCTGCCCGAGACCCAGCATCTGCTGTACTTGGCGCTTGCCTCTGACGAGCTCGCCCTCGCTGGCCGCCAATGTAAATGACCAGAGACATGACGATGGACAGCGAGCTCACAGGTAGTCCCTAATCCGATGCTCCGGTTTCGCCTCACTGCCAGGCTGCTCCGCGGCTTCCTCAGGCTGCTGTGGCTCTTCGTCCTTCTTCTCCGCCTCCTTCCCTTTCTCCTTCTTGTCCCGGCTGAAGATAGCGAGAGCCTTGCGCATAATGGGCGAACCAGAACGGGGACTCGAAGATGGGAGTTTGGGAGAAAAAGTATATGTGTCCGATCCGATGACATGGTGTCGGTGACAGTCTCGACAACGTCAATGATTATCGCCGCCAGCCAGTCAGGACGACAACTTTTGACTACATAGCGCCGACTGCGAATAGCAACATAACAGACACGCTATAAATATCTAATATTGGTAACACAGTAAACAACGTTGGTATGGGTATCACGATCAGGTGAATGATTCTCAAGAAACGGCTATCTCTGATTAGCTGTCTGTTTTATTTTTAGAGCATGGCTCAATCTCAATTAGTTGAATCACTATAACCTGGCTGTGAAAACATGTCACGAAGACAACATAGATGGAGTGCGATACCATTGCGCATATGTAGTACAAAAGATTTCTACTACTACTAGCATTAGCAAACTGTGTGCTTCCCCGACCTGGGTGCGATAGCTAGCCCAGCGCCCATCGCACGCGCCGCAACCGCGTCCGGGGTCGGCTGCACCATCCCGGTCCCCGCCACCGCCGACACAGACCCCGAGCCAGACCCAGAGCCAATCATATTGATCATATTCAGCTCCTCCAACAGCGTCTGGTGCCGGTACGCCAGCCGGATATTGGGCACATTCGTCTGATACCGACATGAAAACCGGTTACAGAATGGAAAAGAGACAAACTTTGTGGATATCGTTCCCCGCCGCACCGGGAAGGTACCATTGGTGTCCGAGCCAGTGTCGTTTGATCTCCATCTCGAAACCGCTTTGGATGACGGAGTTGCGGGCAAGCTCGGCCAACGAGCTTTGCGGAAACTTGTAAATCTGCGGAGAATATCAGTATCAAGATGATGCTCGCTTGAATGACACGCACATGTGCCGCAACACTATATTCTTCAAGAAGAGGTTCCTAAACCACATAATTATCTACCGAACAGAAGAGGGAAAGAAAGGGCACCTTGGTGAAGTGAAACTGCAGCGGGTCATCCGTGCTCAAGCTCACGTTCAGCCCCGTCTTGAAGAAGTCGGGAAGCGGATTCCGCTCGTACGCCAAAAAGAGCGCATTGTTGCTCAGCGGGCTCATCGCAATGCCAATCTGCTTCAAGTAAAACAGGTACTGCAAGGCCGGGACTTTGCGCAACAGGATGCCATGCGAGATGGAATGGGAGGTGAGGAAGGCCGAAGTCAGATGATCTGTATCGCCCGCCTCACCAGCATGGGGTCGAAGAACGAAGGTGTCTGTGAACCAAATTCAGTCTGGGACACCGATAGCTTTGTGAGAAAACAACCCACTGAACCCTCGTTCTTGCCGCCAGCGATTCAGGCTCGCCATATTCGCAAACATGTAGTAGATCCTACTCAGGATTAGCATCTTCATGATGGTACCTGTGGGTATAACATACCAATAAGAATACGGCGGCGAATCCTTCGTATCCCAGAGCTTCGGATATGGATACTTCTTGTATATTCGTCGTTCAACCTTGCTCTCGTCGTCAACAGTGTCGAACCCAATAACACGTTGAAGGAAAACATGCAGTTCAGGGTGCTTTCGCGGATCCTGAGTGACCTCGAAGAGCGGTTGAAAGACATCTGGCTGAAGTTAGGCTCTGACACCGAGAGAGTTGTGAATAGGCTGACTGAGAATAATGTCCTGGAACGTTTGTATCGACCCGTTGGCCTTGTAGATGTCGTACAACCGAGGAACTTGGATGAGCCAGCGCACATTGTGCGAGTACAATTTGTTGTTAACTATCCATTTTGCGAGATTGTCCCATTCAGAAGGCGAGCGCCCATAGATGCTGACGCGCCATTCGACATTCTGGATTTCATTCAGCACGGCCCTTGATTTGTCGTCAAAACGTTGCCATACCTGATATTTGGACTGCTCCAAATCAGTCATTATCTCTATGCGTTCTTCAGCAGGTATAAAGTCGATCGGTTTAGACTGAGACGTACCTTTCGTTAGCTCCGCTAGGTATCTCCCCCTTGATATAGTTGTCCGTCTTGAGAAAGATCTCTCGCAGTCGCGATTCTCCGATTGGATTATACTTGAGATTGAACTTGTCGAAGCGATGGAAGGAGTCCGAGTGGGCGTGCATATCCAACGTATCGATAGACAGGTCATACGCAGTCAGCTTGAGCGACTGAAACACTTCTTGCAGCGTCAGGGCTTTGCCATCGCGAAAGATTACCACATCCTAGGATTTGGTCAATAGAGCATCAGATCGCAAAAACATTAGCACCTGCGGACTCCGCTTCATTTTCGACTTGATAAACCGAAGCAAATGCTTCTGGTTCATGCTGCTCGAATGGTGCACATGCGTGTCGACCTTTCGGACGTTGTAGAAGTCACTGCCATAGCGGGTAAGATGAAATCGCAAAGTTCGGCTTGATTGTACCGATGAGGAACTTGCTGAAATTCTGCTCAGACACGAGGCGCAAGAAGACCCGATAAACAGACCTTCATGTCGGAAAGCTCTTGGAACTCGTTCAACAGTGAGTACATCGTGAATTTGCTGGCCAGATACTTGAGCCGCCGATATGCGAAGCTTTTAGTCGGACCATGAGAAATGACGCCGAGGACGTAGTCGAGGTCGACGAAGTATTCGCGGATACTTGGAATGTCGTAAACCGGAGTCCGCTCGTCGTTCGTTGCTTCTGACTCGTCGTTGTCGTACACCTGGAAGACACCTTTGTCATCGATTTCGAACGAATACGGATGCGCGCCAGGGATAGGACACTCTTCTATGCGAAAACCACTCCCGTTGGCGAATCCATCGAGACCTGTGCTGACGACCGAGGTGTCTGTCCAGTGCCAATGGGGCGGAGGTGGTTTAGGGTAGATTTTCCATTTGTCAGGGCGTGGCTTGGGAGGCACATTCGCCGTGAGGTTGGCATCGGGCCGCACACCGGAAACGCCAGCTGATTTGTCGTCCAGTCCAGGAAACGCGCCATCGTAGTGTCTTGGATCATCCCCCAGTCGTTGGCGCGACTTGGATGTGTACTTGTCTCGCAGTTCTAGACAGCGCTGGAAAGACTGGAAGAGCTGCATGAGTTCCGAAGTCAACGTCGTTTCTACTAGCGTGTCAGACAAGACGGCGCGATCGGAGAACAAGACACAACGCACCTGGGACAAAAACTTCCTCCTTCATACGCTTTTCGTCCTCTTCCTCGACAAACGGATCTCCTCCTGTGGGAACCTCCCCCGGCGGGGCGGTAGAATGCAGCTGCGAAAGTTTGAAGTTGCCGACAAACGAGGCGGCCGTGCCCTCCGAGGCCGTCTCCGACCCCCTTCGATGGGCCCAGTACTTCTCGTCAACCTAGCCCGGCCACTTAGCCTTAGCGCAATGCATTGGTCGTATGGGGCAGCAACTCACCTGTTGTTGTGTCTTCTCCTCTGCGTAGGTGTAGAATCCGTCTCTGGCCTCTGGGATGTCGAGTTCGGGAGTGGTAGGATCGATTTGGATCTCTGGGAGTGCTGCAGGCGTTTCTTGTTCATCGTTTACGACCGACATGATGGAAGTAGGAAGAAGACCAGGAAAATGTGCCTGATGCTAGTCGATCATTGTGATCGCCGGTCCTCCCCAAACTCCAAACTCTACTCGGACTCATGGTTATTCTTATGACTATCATGCTTCACTTGAAGGTTTACCAGTGGTCAGCCTGAAGGTCCAGGGCAATGCTGATGAATGAATTGCGCTTCAAGATCACTGAAGTACATAATTTACAGTGAGTGCTCCTTGAAGTTCTACTGACTAAACCGGCATCCCAGGCGGCCTAGCCTGACAACGCCAGTCTATGGTAGTTCCACTGGCAACTGGTAGTGAGTGCTGAAAAACATTTCATGGCCTCCCCGTTGACATGCTTTCTCACAACAGTGAGAAAAGACAAGAAAATGCCAGAGTCCTTCAAAGGGCTCCAACAGCAACTAGAGCTAACAGCTCAAGAGAAAGAGAAGGAAGAGAATATGATAATCAAAACTACTCTACTACATGCCTTTTATACTAAAGCATACAGGAGAAAGAGGAACAGGAACCAGGAACTGAGGAACATAACTGCAAGAGGAGCCCGGAAAGACAGCATATCCGGATCAATGCTGACTAAGCACGGCTGATGAGCCTCGGCGGCTCGTCACCTCCTCCCAACTGAAAATGTGACTGTCCCCAGTCACTAGATGCCAGTGAAATAAGTAAGCAATCCAGAAAAGGGAACAGAGAAAATAAGTAGTGGACTTTATCAAGTCTGGAAACTTTTCCAACCAGGAAGTCCTAAAGCAACTGCACCACTGCCTGACCAGGCACTTGATTGGCCTGCGAATCAGCGAACAGTGCGAATGCAGATCAGAAGGTTGATCCAGATCGGAGGAAGCGGTTGGACGGTCAAAAGCTAGCAACTATGTGACGGGAAGTGATGAGTATGGCTGGTAGCAGGTGTCGAGGGAGCTGTTCAATGTAGAGCTCGTTCGAGTTGAGAGTACAAAGCCGAGATGTGTGGAAGTGTCGAGGTTAAGCATAGGAAATCAAGGCATAAATTATCAAGCAACAGAGACGGGAGAACACCCTTCGAGTGTAGAGTCTGGTGTATGGAATGGGCAATGTGTTGTGCAGGATCGGCGTGTTTCGGACATTATTTCCGACCGTTGTCACGCATCAGTCACGTGTCATCTTTTCCTTTCGTCTTCCATCCTTGTCGCCATACGCGGACAACACCCGGGGAATAGCGCCGAAGACGACGACTGGAATGACTGGGAAGCGATACAACACTCGACTGAGGTGGATGGGAGGTGCAGAGGGGTCGGGATCGAGTAGGCGGTGGAGGAATCGAGCGAGAGGGGGCTGATCGTGAAGGCAGTGCGATTTGGTGGCATGGTCTGAGCTGGGCGCGGGAACGGCGACGAACGGCGACGGTGAGTGGTCCTGGATGATCAGGGAGCTTAGGCTGAGGCTGGAGCCCGCAGAAATGCGGCCAGAAGCAGTCCGCTTTGGCATTAGGACCGCGTTGGGGCGACAGAAAACGTCTTGGGGGGGGTTTTGTAACGAGTGCCCCTGCCGCCGATGTTGTTGGACGCGAAACGGAGCGCCCGGCAGAGGAGTGGGGGACGGGGAACGGGCAGATGGCAAGGGACAGCCAGGCTTCGGCCCAGGGCGCTTTCGCAGGAGCAGCGAAAAGGTGTGTGGTCGTTTGTTGGCAAGGAACCCAAACTGAGACTGTGGTCCCCAAAGCGGGGCCGTTTCGCAAGCGCTGTCGCTCAAATGGCGGCAGATACGATGGATGACGGACCAGCGGCCCAGAAGAGCGAAGAGGCTTGAGCTGGTCGAGTAATGGCCGGGGGGACAGAGTTTTGGACAACACGGGTCCGCGCAGACTAGGTGAGTGCTAGCCCAACGATTGGCGGTTGTGCGCTGACTTGGGTGTGTGCAGATGTGGCGCGAATAGAGACACGAGCGAGTGGCTGTTGGGCTAGCCAGCCGTGCGAACAGCGAGGGATGTGGTACTCTGGCTGAGTAGGCTAGCCGCAACAGGAACGCGAAGGCGGGCGGCGGGGGTGGAGATGGTTTACTGAGGAGATGCCTTTGACTTCTTGGAGCAACGAGACGAGCAGAGACGCTAGTCGGGAACGGAGCCGCAGAAGTGCAACAGCTGGACGTGACTTTCGAAAGCAAAGCAGCGGTGAGCGGGCGAGAGACGGTGACAGGAGGCTTTGGGGCCCCGGGCACTTGTTGAGTGTCTGTCGTTTGGTGTTTCGTGGGCTGACGTCTGTGTGAATGTGGCGCGGATGGAAACACGGGCGAATCGCCGCTGGGCTGGCTTTGCGAGAGGTGCTGCCAGCCGCAATATGAACGCAAATGCGGCGGGGGTGGAGGAACAAGCTCGCCTGGAGAGTTGGACGTGCTGTGGCTCGTTCGATGAGCAGACGTTGCAAAGACACTTTGGTGGTGCTGGGAGCCAAGCGAGGCCGCCGGGTAACACCGAGAATGCTGTGGACAGGAGGCCGAATTGGAACGGGCCGAGAGGGCGGGGGCAAAGCGGCCGGTGTTGTATAGCGAAGGAGATGCGCTGAGGTGGGGATGATGTCGTAGATAGTGTGTTTTGGGGATGTATGTGATAAGAGAAGCAATCGAGAGAATTGGCGATCAACGCAAGTGGGTGTCGATAGTATGTAGAGCTGTCAGCGGAGTGCGTCAGATGCGATTTGAAGAACCCCTCGCGGTGGGCTCCAAATGACATGCTTTCTCACAACAGTGAGAAAAGACAAGAAAATGCCAGAGTCCTTCAAAGGGCTCCAACAGCAACTAGAGCTAACAGCTCAAGAGAAAGAGAAGGAAGAGAATATGATAATCAAAACTACTCTACTACATGCCTTTTATACTAAAGCATACAGGAGAAAGAGGAACAGGAACCAGGAACTGAGGAACATAACTGCAAGAGGAGCCCGGAAAGACAGCATATCCGGATCAATGCTGACTAAGCACGGCTGATGAGCCTCGGCGGCTCGTCACCGTATACATCGGCATCATAGGATCTACTAGTAAGTGACGGCGGGCACCACACCGTGTCGTCTACAAAATACCTCAGTGCAATGCCGACTCCAGCGGCAGCAAATTGGCTAATCAGACTATCCCCTAGCACTATACTACCAACGTCATTTGCATTGTCACATGGAGAACAATCCTCGAACGCTATGTGGAGAAGACGAAAGGACTTTCCAAGGCCAGTGGTGTCCGACCGACGAATCCGGGCCCGTGCCAAGAGGAATGCGTCCAGCGGATCGTTAAACGCTATCAAGGGGAGCGTCGGGCACCTATATATGAAAAGGTATGCAAGCACAGGGCAATTAATGTGCGAAATAGATTCCAAAAGCCGTGTTATAGCTGGTCCAGCTAGCTCAGGCTCTGAGTTGCCCATCATCAGGATTGAACCTGCGTCGAGGTTCAAGAAAATTAAGGAGTCGGGGAGAGCACGAAGAACATCGTTTATAGGTGGTTCAAGTTGGGCCCCGGCGAAGAAAGTTTCTGGCAGGGACAGAGAAACCTTCTCCAGCTGACTTGAATGGCGTAAGAAGTTGCCGAACGGGACTTGAAGATGCACTGGCACGTCAGGGAGCACACTCGATATTATCTCCAGATCCAAATGAATGAGTTGGGGGCACCGAATCTTGACAAGGAATCGAAGAGGACCTTTAAAGCACAAATTCTCCACGGTAGGGAGGATCGTTGGCGCTGGCCGCGGCGTGGTACCAGAATCAGGGTTTCTACTGGCACTGGCAGAGTAGATCAAGTACATCGATATTGTCTTGAGCTGCCGTATCTCATCAGCAAACACTGCATCTAATTATGTAGCTCTACAAGGTTCCCGATAGCGGTCATAGATCTGTATACAAGTTATCAATTATATATCACTACCGTAGCACTTCATAGCATTTACCGTCGGCTATGGGTCTCCTACTGTAGCAGCCTGTATCTCACTATAGCCCTCATAGCCCAGCATGACGCTATGGGGAAGCCGCTGCTACAACAGTTATGTGTGCCCTCATAGATATATGAATACAGCATATACCATCCATACACACACGAAACAAAATTGGCATAACGGGTAACTCATCAAACAATGGGCATATAGATCAATGTTATCTACGTTGCAATACCCTCCCTATCACTATCCTCCTCCTCCGTGTCTGTATCGCCTGTCCGACCCTCTTGTTCTTTGCGAATCTTCTCCTTGATAGCATCCGTCACGAAGCCCTCGACAAGTTGTGGCTCGTCGGTCATGCCAGCGTCCTTGCTACACACATAAGTATGATGGGTTCAGAATAACGAGAGCGTACCGGAGGTTCTTCGCCCATTTGGTCCGCAGCTTTAGGCAGAAGTCGGCATCTACTGCCTCCCATTCGACAACATCAAGCAGCATAGCGTAGTACTTCGGTGCCACAACTGTCTCCTCAAAGTCTTGTTGTACGCGGGCTGGCCAAGACCTTTCTTGGTGCTGTACACAATGCAGTCGATGAGAGGGTGACCTCCGTGGCACGTCACTGCCTCGACTTTATGGGTTACGCCCACTTTCAAGTCCACACTGACGACTCGCTTACGGCGATGCAGACAGCCTGGGAGAAGATGCACGAGAACCTACCCGTGTTCCGGGAGCTTGGTCCTGAGTGCAGCGACTTCAATATTCCCAAGTTACACAACATTCGACACTATATCGACTCCATTCGTCTACTCGGGTCAGCAGATGGGTACAATACGGAGAACACCGAGCGTTTGCACATCGATCTTGCCAAGAACGGCTATCGCGCCTCCAACCGCCGTGATTATATTCAGCAAATGACCCGCTGGCTGACTCGTCAAGAAGCCGTACATCGCTTTTCTCTATATCTACAGTGGGCATGTCCGGGCTATTCGCCTGGCCAGGGCTATCGACCGCCGCCCAATGTCGACTGGGACGACTGGGAACAGGCCGACGACGCAGATAATGAGGAGGACGAGGCATTTGACGAAACCCCTCAACAGGTCACCTATGATATTGCTGCTCGGCCTGCCTATCCGAATCTGTCTGCTTCCGATATTCAAACCCAATTTCAAGTCCGCGACTTTCTGTTCTATGTCAACGAGTTCCTGAACCAGCACAAGCTTCCTGGGGGTGAATTGCTGCGGTCAACAAGGCGTTTTGGTGCTTTTAAGAGGGCTGCTCTGTATCTTCCAGCCCTACGGGCAGCGGAAACAGAGTCTGAGAAGCCTGATGTGATACAAGCTATTCTTGCGGCCGATGGCACCATGTCCAACAAGGGTCTCAAGCGTGGCAGTCCCGCCAAATTCAGCACCGTGCTCGTTCGCATCAGTGACAGCAACTGGAAGGATGGTCCGCTTAGTGGTAACTATTTCGTCTCTTTGCCTCTCACTTGGCTTACCTGGAACTTACTAGGCCTTCAAGTCGCCCACGTTAAGCTTATATTTCGTCTTCCTATGGAAATTATGGTACATGAGGCTCCACTCCTCTATGTCCATTGGTTCACTCCCTTCCATGACATGCTGGCTGACTTCGAGTCTCCTTCCGGACTTTCCCGCATTTCCCACTCAAATACCGTTGGACAGCGTCGCTCATCAGTCATTTCGTTGGCTGATGTGGTTCAAACATGCCATCTCATCCCCAAGTTCGCCACAACCACAAATCCTGACTGGGACTGTAACAGGGTGTTGAACCAGGTGACAACTTTCTATTTCAATCCTTATCTTCGGTACCGTGATTTCTACCTGTTTCGTTATAACATGTACCTTATAACTGAGTACCACAAGCGCAAGCAGGCTGAGCTAGCTGCCAAGCTTGCACGAGGGGCAAATAATATTCGATTTTAGTATTTAATAAATATTTGTTAAATCTACACATCTATAAAGTTGCCTAGGAGCTTGTGTAGCTACAAGTGTCAGCTTCATCAACATTCATATCCTTGGCTGAAAATGCTGTAGCGCTATGGGGCGCTATGCACACTCGACCTACAGCTACGATAGTGCTACGACTAGCATGGGGGCCGTGGATACCATTAGCTGACAGGCTGATAGCCAAAACAGTGTTTGCTGATGCTCCCGAGAGAAGCTGAACAAGTTCTGCTTCAAAGTTGTCAGCCCACTCGGTAAGATTGATATTCACAGGGGCTAGGAAAGAGAGGTCAAGATGGGTAATGCCCAACTTGGACGTAAACCACGGTCGGAGGATCCGGAGATTTACAAGTGGTTGCCAGCTAAAGTCAATAGACAGCTGGAGCAAATTGATACTACGCGCGACCACTGGCAACGAACCGCCTGACTGGGAGGCTCCAAATTGAGCTCGCAAGCGACATGATTCCACCGCATCAACGGGTGACTCATGCCAGTGTTTGATGTCGATTTCTCGGAGGAAAGGGGCAGCATCCAACAGAATTCGCATCAACTCTTTCAGAGCATCATTATGACTCGGATTGTCCATTATGAGTGTAAGGTCGATGAATTTCCAACGCGCGATGTTATCTATAATCAATTTCAGGAAAGAAGAACTTGAACTTGAAGCTGTGATTATCTCTGTAGATTCGGTAGCGCTGGCACCTTCAAAGGATACCCACAAAGACAGAGGCTTGGAGCGATTGAGCCAGCACTGGTAACCGGCGAGGAGCGCTGTCAGCTTCTGCTTCTCGTCCCGGCGAAGGTTGACTGAACCGGGTAGGATTCCGCCATCAGTACAGGGCTTGACAATGTGTAGTCTGGACCACATAGCTGGCCGTCCGAGTACGGTGTGGCGCCACAGAGAACACACATGACTGAGGAGTACAGGAGCCTCACGACCACTCAGCGTATACTTCCCCGTCCGTCGGCAGACACGCAAAAAAGATTTCCTGTAGAACCTCGTTGGGTAGCCCGCAGATAGGCCCGGGGCGGATCGATGACACAAGGGTGTTGATATGGCCAAGACACGTGTCGCGTTCTGTTTGCAGGGATTGAATTTGAGAGTCAATGTCACGAAGTCGATGGCGTAGCTGAGGAAGAGTAGGCTTGTCCTCGCTATCATTGGTCTCGGAATGCATGTTGGCAGTGGCGGACTGCGACTCTGACTCGGACACGAGTGTTGTGGACAAGCTTGTTGATGCGTGACAGGAAATGATCGTCACATTTTGTTGTTCCTGCTTTTGACATCCATCGCTCTGACTCTCTTTGACTCCGTCAATCCCAGCGCGTCACCTTCAACAAAAGCTTACTACACTCAGGCTTGTCATGCTACAGCGGCCCGCGGCGACTCTTGGCGCGTTTGTTTCCGCACGGCGATTTTTGCCACTCACTTGTGGCGATTTTGAATTTCACAAGCTAACTAGCTAAATTTCGGACCTTTTTCTCATGGGCTGAAGGAATACAATGGCTGTACTCATCAAGCTTCTAAGTTCTCGGGCCCATCCACTTGACTACTGCACCCTCAATTCAATTTGCAAATTTCAAGTTCTCTGTAGCTCAAAGTCAGGAAATTGCCATTCCCACCCCCACGCCTTTTTGTCGCGCGCCCATTCTGCATCAGCCCCCGTCGGTGTCTGTGGACGACTCTATATACCGATCGTCTCCACCTTCTGCTAGTGGCGCCGTTGCCTTCGCTCCAAGTCACGACGGATAGCTTCTCCGAGCGCTTCTTCCCTTATCGCCTCTCCATTCACTGTCAGGCTATCCTCGTCCCGTCAATGCAACGCTCCCCACGCACACGCCTGCCAAACTCTCTTCCAGCGTGTTTCCCACCGCTATCTGCGGCGCGGCCCCAGTGCCCACGCCCTCAGAGTTTAGGACGCCGCGCGGCGGGCTGAACCCTGAGCGTGGGGGAATCTTGACCGGCGATAGAAGACGCGGACACGGGCGGCTGTGTCGCGGTGGCGGTTCTGACTGTGCGACCGACAGCGATGTCTCAACTGCGCTGGCAAATGCGCTTCGACGGCGGGCTTGGCGGCCTGCTCGTACTTCAAAGAAGCGCAAGTTGGCGACAAGAAATGCGCCACTGGGTTTGGTGCTGTGCGTTCTGGAAATTTAAAGCAACATCCATTTTCAAATGTTTAAGCTCTGCCTGTGATTCTTCAGGCCGCTCCGACTGTTCCGATGCGGACGTAGGGTGGAGCACGGGTCCGGGTCCGGGTCCATTACGGTGGACCCGGACCCGGACCCTGACGTACCCTGACCCTTCCGGGTCCGGGTATGAGCGGGTCCGGGTCAACACACGGGTATACCGGGAAGGCGGGCCGGGGACTGAGGCTGCCCGCTCGATCGGCCTGCACACACGTCAGCGTGTGACATCACGCCGACCCAGCTCGGCGCCCGCTTCCCGACCGGGGCATGTAACAGGTTGGCCGAGCTGACTTGCGGGAGGGCGGACGACGATGGGCAGGAAGGCGGCTGTGTGAGGGCGCAGGAGTTGGCTAGAACGCAGAGGTGGTCTGGCCGACCTCTCCCGTCGAATATCGGGCCGAACGGGCACAACTGGGGCGGGCTGGGAAGCAGGCAGGAAGTGGTGGGCGGGGCGGCGGGAGCCAACGGCTGGCCCGTTCGGGCTGAAAATTTGGGAGATCGCAGAGGCAACCCATGCACGCCGAACGCTGCGTCTTGGAGCGAAACGGGCGAGAACTGGCGGCGGGGGGAGGGCGAGAATGGAACGTCGCGGCGGGCAGGAACACGTCGGTGGATGTCTGCCGTTCTCGGGTCATTGGGAACGTAGGGCGAGGCAATGGTATGGGCAAAGTTTGGTGGGATTTCACGGAGAAACAGGCGCGCGGTCGGCGAGACAAGATTCAGTGCATTCTTGGCAATGCGGCGGCCAACGAGCGGGAACAGCGGGATCGGTAGGCTCGGCGATAGACGCGAATCAAAGGGAGGAGGCGCCCCGGACGCTCCCCCAAAGATGGGGCGGAACGGGCAAGAATTAGGCCTGGGAGGTGGGGGACAAGTTGGTGAGCTGGCGCCTCCTACCCAGATTTGGCCACTCACCTTCCATTTCCAGCGCCCCTTCCCGGCCTCTACTCTTCCCCACACCCTGCCCTAGCTTCAGGCCTTTGCTCCCCGGCCGTGTATGCATGCGGTCATCGGTGGTGGTGGTGCAGAAGAGAGAAGGCAGACACTGAATCAACCCGCCGGGTTACCCGGATCAGGGTCCGGGTTACTCCGGGTACTACCACTGGCTGACCCGAGCCCGGACCCGGACCAACCCGTACCCGATGACCCGCCCGGGTTGACCCGAACCCGTGCTCTACCCTATGCGGACGCAGTTGTGTTACATTGCTAGCAAGAACAAATCTCAGAGCTTACTTGATTCTTCCAAGTGCGAATTCAATGTTGTCAAGAAGCACGCTGTTGAGGCGCGTTCGGCACAAGAACAAGCTCAAGATGTTTTGCAAATTGTCTGTGCTTCCATTGCATGTATCATGATCTTTCTGCCTGAAGCCTTCAACTGTCCTGTTCAAGCTCTACGCTCAGGATTGCACCCAAGTTTTGTGCCCCCGTTGTACAATCGCTCGAGCGACCATCCTCCCGGACACATTCAGAAGCCCACGTCCAGAACCCAAATCCTCTACTCGAGCGAGCCGTTGCCTGCTCGGCACGGATATCGACTTCTGATAGACTCGCTGGTGAGAACGGTCACGGTTGAAATTAACGGTTCTGATTTCGCACCCAGCAAACGTGGCTCGATCGGTCCCACAGGCTGCAGCGCTTCTCTGCGTCCTGTCCGTAGGCACGTTCTCCGGCGACCTGCGACAGCCGTCTGTCGCCGGCCGTGACGATTCTTTTCTGCGATAAGGACTATTTTTGTGCTCCAGGCTCCAGCACTGGCAGCGTTGCAGTGCTCAGGGCTGTGTCGATTGCGACGGTAATATTAGCCTAAATGCTCCAAAAAAAGCGCGCTTGGATCTCGGGAAGCTGCTTATCAGCGAGTGCACCTGTTCAGTACTTCCTCGCCAGCGTCTTCGAGCTCCGGCGCGTCGTCCGCCCGGCCAGATTCAGATTAAGTTGGAATCTGGGAGTTTTCTGCCGCCCAAGGTGCAAATTCTCTTCTTGTCAGTGAGCAAACTTTACTTTCTTTTGTTCTGCAGGTTGCCCGATTCCGCGGTTGCCTCGAGCTCCGGCCTCGAGCCTCGTCATCGCATAACATACAATGACGTCGACGTCGCCGCCCATAGCAACACCCTCCGGAGCTTGTCGCGGGCCGGGGGCATCGGCTGTCTCTTTACGAGTGCGATAATTGTGCGTGCAAGCTCCGCGCCGGGGCGTACGCGATACGCATACATATGGACCCACACGCTCGTATGTAAGCATTCATTCGCGCGTATTGTTCTGTGCTCACTGAGCAATTGCAAGCTCCGGGCGCGGGCAGTTGCGACGGGTATTCATATCGATATCGTCACGGTCGCGGAGCTCGTCCAACGCTCCACTCGCGAGATGGAGATAGCACGCGATATCGATTGTCTTCGCTCTAGATTTTCGCGCAAGCTCCGGCCTGCCGCCCTGCGCTACATACCACTCCCTGTGGATTTGAACATCGGCCGAATTGTTGATCAATTGTGAACTGTGGGCGCTTCAAGTGCCCGGGCCGGCGGGCGCGTCCGCCCACAGGCACGGCGCGATCGCAATCCCCGCTTTGCTTCCGTCCGCCGGCGGCGGCGGATACTGCTATTGTGCACATTGTTGGGCGGCTTATAATTACGCGACTTGCGGTGTTGGCCGTCGGCCAGCGCGTCGTTCGTGGCGCTGCCATGCGATGCACGATGGTGGTGGTGGTGGTACGCGGTACGCGGTGTCGCGCGCCATGTGGTCGTGCCATTGGTATGGAGGCGCGTAGTGATCACAGCCTGAGTTACGCTGGGCCGGGTGCTGCAGTGTTGCCGGTCCCGGTGCTTGCCCTGGACGGGTACTGTTGCGCGCAAAAGGCGGCGTGATGTTCGGGAGTCGGGAGTCGGGACGCGACCCGCAGATTTCTGCAAATAGCCAGGGCTAATTGTATTACGTGCAGATTAGGACGCCGACGGCCCGAGTCCCTAGGGCTGAGCTTAACTCTGTGATGCCCGGCCACTCACTCCCAATCTCCGTCCTCCTTCCCTCCTCTGTAGGCTGTTCCCTACCTTCAGGATCACGCACATATCCAGGCCCTGGGCGATCCCTGTCCCGTCCGTTTCGTGGCAGGACCCAACTTGAAGGCAGCGTCTGCACACAGAAGGAACCAAACGGGTGGCAGCCTGCGAACCGCCGCCGCCCGAAGCGGAAATTCGCCGGATATGGGCGGGCGGGCCCACGCCCACGGGCGACAGGACGTGGACGCGGAGGCTCGGAGGCGGGGTCCGACGGCCGAGCGGAGGGGGCGGCCGACGGCCGATCATACGTCGGATGGCAGGGGACGGCCGATACGCCCGAGGGCTGATTTTGAATCCCGGTGTGCTGGATAATGGGTCGATAAGGTCAGAGTAGAGAAGGAGAGGGAGTACATAAGCAGCGCCCCGGAATAGAGAGGGCAGCGGCGCTCCACTATTCGTATTTCGGAGTAGAGTGGAGAGAGGGCGGTGGGAGGGTGCCTGATTCGCGCTGGTGTGGGCTATGCACAGGATTCAGACTTAGACTGTGTAAAAAGTGGAGCGGCTGGATCTCTGCCAAGGAGATGCACATTCGCATTTAGCGTCGTCTCCTCCTGCAGTACATACTTACACAACCAGGACCGGAAAGGCAAGGAGTACCGGAACGGCATTGACAACGAAAGGCAAGGACGACTGGTGCGCCGCCGCCGTGCCGGGTGCAATCCAATCACAATCACACACCTTGACTCGCATTCGCATAATTGCCTGCCGATCGTCGTCGTCGTCATCGACCGATCGGGGTGGAGCTGGGCCTGGACCGTCGACCGTCGCCTACCCCCCGGCCGGCCTCCTCCCTCCTGACGACGGACGATAGACAATGGACGACGGACGATCGGCGACCGGCAACCGGCGACCCGGGTGGCCTCAGGGGCGCCCAGCGACCGCGCACAGAAACGCGAGCATCCAGCCCGCCGACGGCGAGCGCACGCCATCATTGCATCACCATCAATCAGAAGCCCGGCCGCCGGGGATAGATCCAGATCACGCTCGCTCTTCGTGATCTCCGTCACACGGCACCCGTCACGCGTCACGCGCACGAGACTAGCGCCCTCGTTTTTCCCTGCCCTCTTCTCGCGGGGTATACATACGCCCCCCCACCCCACCCACGCGCGGCCGTTCCTTTCTTTCTTCGACCTTTCGCCGATTGTGGGCATGGGGCAGAGCCAGTCCCAGAGCCAGAGCCAGCACAGCACGAGCCAAAGCCAAAGCCAAAGCCGCAGCCAGAGCCAGCCGGCGACGCCGCGGACGAGCACGCATACCGGGCGGGGCCACCGCAGGGACGAGAGGGAGAAGGCGTCGCCCAGCAAGACCCGCCTGCCGGCGTCGCCGTCGCCGTCCACCACCACCGCCTCGACCCCTCACACCACCCCCTCCTCCTCTACCCCTACCCCTACCAACCACACCACCACCACCACCACCACCACCCCCACGCCCCACCGAGCCGCACGGGCAGCCGCGAGCCGTTCGCGCTGCGCCCGAACCGGCGCTCGATCGAGCTGCCGGGGCTGAACACGTTCGGGCCCGGCCCCGACGCCGCCGCCGGCCACGGCCACGGCCACGGGCACGGGCACGGGAAGCCGCTGCGCGTGTCGTCGACGCGGCTCGTGGACCGGGGGCGGGCGCTGCTGCACCGCGAGGGGCGCAATGCGAATGCGAATGGAAGTTTTGGGGGGAAGAGGGGTCAGCAGCAGCGGTCGGCGGCGATTGCGATACCGGGCGGGAGACGGAGGGACGGGGAGGAGGAGGGCGACGGGGAGGAGGGCGCGACGGAGACGGGGTATGGGAGGCATGTGCAGGCGGGGATGGCGAGGAGGCGGGCGGAGAAGGAGAGGGAGCGGGAGAGGGAGGAGGAGAAAAGGTGTGTCTCTTTGGTGGTCCTTGCAGGGCATGGCTGACATAGGACAGAAGGGGCCGCTCGCCGACGAGGAGCCGCTCACGCCACGAGGAAAGGCTGAGGGCGCCGACGAACTCGCCGACGCCGGGTATGCGGAGCCGGAGCCGGAGTCGGAGCCCGTCGAGGGAGCGCACGCCGTCGCGGTCACGCTCGCGCACGCCGTCGCGCACCCGGACGCGCACGCCGTCGCCCGCGACGACGGCGTCGCAGTCGCACCACGCACACCTGGACGAGGCGGAGCGCGAGCGGCAGCGCACCGCCTCGCACCGCGCAGCGATGGTCGCCGCGTCCGAGCGCGCCCGCGCCCAGGAGCAGGCGAACCCGCAGCCGCAGCCGCGGTACTACCACCACCACACAAACAGCGCCGCGAGCGCATATCAAGAAGAAGTTATTTTTTCGACGATCCCGCTGACGATCGGGCCGGCGTACGTCGGCGCGGCGGAGGGCGACGGCGAGGTCGACGGCGACGGCGAGGACGAGGAGGACGGCGTCGGCGGCGCGGAGGGCGGGAGGAGCAAGGCGGTCGCGGCGATGGTCGACGAGATCGTGGGACGTGCGTGCTTTTTTTATCCTTTTGGTAGGATGGGGGTGCTGATGGCGGGCAGCGGCGCTGACGCCGATCGAGATCGTGTACCGCGGGGAGGGCGCGGAGGTCGAGCTGATCCGCGCGGGCGACGGGGATTGGCTGAATAGGACGCCGTTGGAGCGCAGGTGTGTGTTTTTTCTTTTCTTTCCCTCCACCACTTGGTTGTGTGCTTCGAATCCATGAGTCTCACTGCGTCATCGTTTCCCTCCGTCGCCGCGGCTGGCGCTGACAACAGCACCCACCCCATCTGTCGCTGCTGTTGGCGTGGGCCGCGGCTGGGAGGCCTCCGTCGGCTTATTTGCCTTATCCGTTATCACATTCCCTGTTCGCTTCCCTGCGATGGCGCCATCCCATCCAAGAAGCCAGAAGCCACGCCTGGGGAGAGTTGGAGCGGGATTTCCCGATGCGATAGGTCGGCGGCGTGTGGCGGTGGGACTGACGGGGCGCATGGTTCTGGGCCTTCGCAGGGGCAGGGCAGGGCGGCTTACGGCACCCCTTCTTCTTCGCTCTACCTCCACCTCCGCCTCTCTCTCCTCCTCCCACCACACGATACACGATACTTACCACCAGCAGGTCCCCCGCCGCGGGCGCGCCCTGGGCGGTGACGATCCACCTCCCGCCGGGGACGCACCACTACCGCTTCGTCGTGGACGGCAACGTGCTCGTCGCGCCCGCCGCCGAGGCCGCGAACGCGGTCGACGACCAGGGGTTCATCACGAACTACGTCACGGTGCCCGCGCCGGCCAGCACGAGCGCGGGCGGGAGCCCGACGGCGAGCGTGAGCCCCGTCGCGACGACCGCGGGGCCCGGCCTCGGGCTCGGGCTGGCGGCCGTGCCGGAGGCGCCGACGCCGACCGCGCCGACGCCGGGGATAGGGGCAGGGGCGGGCAGTGTGGGGCGCGCGGGGAGCACAAGGAAGAAACGCCGGCCGAGCTTCCCGCTGACGGCGCCGCCGGTGGTGGTCCCGCCTGTGCGGGTGGGGCACCCGGACGGGAGCTTCTGGGACGCGAACAGCGTGGACGGGTCGTCGGACGGCGGGCGGGGCGGCAACTACAGCTACAACACGCCGGCGGCGAACGGGGCGGTGGCCGGGGCGGCGAAGCGGAAGGTGGTGTGGACGAGCGAGATCCCGGAGGAGCTGTATGCGGCGCAGGCGCAGGAGGAGGAGTGGGCGGGCGCGGTGGCGGCGGTGCAGGAGGAGCTCGCGGCGAGGGAGCGCGAGCGGGGAAGGCCGAACGGGCACCACCACCACCAGGGGAGAGGGGCGGCGGTGGCGTACCCGCCGGAGCCGAGCATCCCCGCGGCGACGCACCTGCCGCGCCACCTCGAGCGGCTGATCCTGAACCGGCCGAGCCCGGGCGTGGTGATCCCGCGGGTGGGCACGGGCGCGGGGAACACGGGGTTCGTCGTGCCCGCGCCGAGCTGGGCGGCGGGCGGGGCCGGGGGCAATGGCAATGGCAATGGGGGAGGGCGGGAGAGCCCGGCGCTCAGGGTGACGACGGCGAGCGGGACGGACGTGACGATGCCGGGCAACTCGATGATGATGGGCTTCGCGGCGATGTCGGGCACCGCCGCCGCCGCCTCTGCCTCGGGCAACGGCAACGGGCACCTCGCGCCGCCGGCCCCGCGCGAGCACTCGCCCGCCTCGGCCGCGGCGCACGCGAACGGGGGCACGCCGCTGATCGCGGACGACCCGAGCGTGCTGCAGACGCCGTCGCACGCGGTGCTGTACCACCTGTGCACGAGCTCGATCAAGGACCGCATGATCGCGGTCGGCGCGAGCACGCGGTACAGGCAGAAGTATTTGACGACGGTGTATTATAAGCCGGCGGACCCGGGCGCGGGCGCGGGCGCGGCGGAGGGGGCCGCGGCGTGATGCCACCCGCCGACGACGCGACTCGACTCGACCGGACCGTTTTCTTTTTTCTGTATTCCGCCCCACCTCGCGGCTGTTTCGACTACGACCACCCCGACTCGACTTTCTGCCCGCATCATAGAGCTCATCTGTATCCAACAACTCGACTCCTCGATCCGACTCTCTTTGTATCCCTCCCCTCCCTCCCCTGGCGGGCGGCCGGCGCGCGCAGGTGTGTCTCCTCTCTTCCTGGGGTATTTTTTAATCGTGTGTTGATATGCGAACAGGCCGTCGACCGTCCTTTTACCAATTATAGAGATTTCCCGTTTTTGTTGTGTCTTTTTCTTATCCCCCGACTGCGAAAAGCGATGCCTGCCTCCCTGACGATGTAACGACGACTGAAGAACGACGAAGGAAAGAAGACGAAGGAAGAAGAAGAAGAAGCGAAAAAATGTGCATCGTAACCCACGGACCGCCCCATCTCATCTCATTTTTCCTGTCACCCATCTCTCATTCCATCTCATCTCATTTTCCGTCCATATTTCATCCGCTCCATTCCATACATTCCGTCTCGACGGCTATTTCCCCTTCTTTTACTTCTTGACATATACATACACACGTGCCCTTGTTCTGTTCTGTTCGGCGTAGGTGTAGGTGGCTTGAGTCGGCTTTTGTTACGTACGGCTGTGGTCACATACGAGATTATAGATAGATTTTTTGGCATGCCTTGCTTGCTTGCGAGTTCAAGTTTGCGGTTTGGTGTGTCGCAGATGGGGGATGCTTGTTGGAAATTGAACTACTTAGACTCCACCGGCGCACGCCGCGAAAGTTGAAATCGCCCAGCCTCCAACCAGGCGCGTCCTCGTAAGTATTTGATGTGACATGTTTGTGTGACAGAAGTTGTGAGAGTTACGAGGACGAGCGCCTGGCAACACTTGGCGTTACACTTGTTTGGCACCTTGGCACATCATCATTTTTTTCCCCAGGTGCCAAACAAGTGCAACGCCATGTGTTGCCAGGCGCTCGTCCTCGTAACTTCTGTCACAAAAATGTCACATCAAATACTAATACTTACGAGGACGCGCCTGGTTGGAGGCTGGAAATCGCCGTTCAAGGGCCCCTTGCCTGGCAGAGAAATTGTGATTTTTCGTGATGCTGGCGTTGTCGGACTCGGAGGTCGAGTGGGCATCGACAAGTAAGGACCCGCGTGGTCATGATTGGAAAGGAGCGAGTAAATAAACTACTTGGTGCGCGCGGTAGCTACCGGGACCGCCAAATTTCAACGAGTACTCGATTTCAAAGGCCCTGGCAGGGGCGATCTGCACACAAGTACTAGCGCCGGCGCTGGGCACGCCCGCCGCCGACGATTCGCCGGGGCGGTCAGCGGCGCGCTAAGCTGTGTGTTAGCGACTGACTGTTAGCGACTGACTGACTGATGCTGATTTGGCTCCGTGATTGTGATAAGGTGTGCGCGGCGTTACCGCTGTGCTGGGCCTGGTGCTGATGCCGGTGCTCGGTGCTGGTAGAGATTCCGTTTTGTCTCCATCTTCGAGCGCTAGTTGAATGCGAATTAGTGGCGTCTAATCCTCCTAGTTTGAAGCCCTGGCCAATGGTCGCTGGGCGGTTTTTTGCTATTTTGGCTTGTAATCGCCGGGTATCAGAGGCCAGGTTCGCTACCGAGTGATTGTTGGACACTGGGGAGCTGATCACAGAGCGAGTTGGACCAGAACAAGACGGCGGCGTTACCGCTGTGCTGGGCCTGGTGCTGATGCCGGTGCTCGGTGCTGGTGGCGGGCAAGTGGCGGGGGCTTAGCGCCGGCGGGGGGCTGGGGGCTGTTCCGGTGGATACGCGTACGAGGATCCGGCGGCGTTTGCGGGGCTGGCCGTGGGTGGGGCTTGTCGTTGTCGTTGGGTTGGGTCGGCCCTGGGGCAGACGAAAAGTACTTATGGGTATGCACAGCCAGCGTGCTCGGCGCGGCGGCGGGATCAGATGGGGGCGCATCGAGCCACAGAGAATGGAAGCCCACCTACGTCCGCGCTTGGCGATGCGCGCCCGGGATCGCCGGGCGTCCCCAGGGCCAGGGGCCGCGATGCCACATGGTTATGCGCAGACGCGTCACGCGGCGGGGTGCTGGGCTAGCCGCACTCGGAAACGCGAAGCGAGACGACAACGAGCGCGGAATTGCACATGATTGTCAGGCGCGGATGCGTCCGCGGACGTAAAATGATGCGGCGCATGATATCGAGATGAGAAATTAGGATTGGTCCCGCGCCCGCCGCTGCATGCATGCATATGGACATTCGACATGGGTGACTGGCGGGAATGATGGCGTCGGAGATTGGCGCGCGCAGACGTGTGCATTGGCAACGCGCTTGAGGCTTGAGCGCCGAGTACTTCGGCTCTCGGCAGTCTTATCTCGCGCGCGCCGCGAGTTCGTGTTTCCCCGCGCGCCTTACTAGCAACGCGTACTGCCCCCGAACGCTCACGGTGTTACGGGCAGCGGCGTCGGGCGTCGTCGTCGCTCAGGGGTCGACATGATCTATCTATCAGACGCGCGGCGGTTCCTCGCAATCAGCAATCACGCGCACCGGCAGTCGGCGGTGGGCATCGCCGATCGGGCGTCGGCCGGCGGCGGCCCGCGATAGGGGGACTCGATGCTGATTGCCCTGACCGCCGGAGCCCGCGTTTGGCAGGCGTCGAAGGCGCTCGGCTGGTCACACTGTTGAGCCCTGACGATAACGGTCGCGAAACGCGACGGCGCCACGACGGGCGGCTGACGCTTCCACGCCGGAGTCCGGACGCCAGCGAGCCCGGGAGGTGAAAACGTCCGTGCGGCAGCGCGCATCGTCCAGCAGCACGACTCACGAGCGCGAGGCCACGCCCGGAAGTAGCTCGGGAGAGAAACACAGCTCCGAGTCCCGCCTTGCCTTACGGTGTTCATTACCCGCCAGGTCAATTTGTCATGATGGATTGACATTGATTGATGATTGAATCAGTCCGCGGCTGTTCTGGCCGCACATGGGGTCTTGATGTGACATGATTGAGATTGAGTCGGAGTTTAAACCTGATGATGCCCCGCCTTTACAGTGGAAAGTTGGAGGGAAATACCCATAAACTTGTCGTCAGGACATAACTTGTGAATAAAACGGCCGAGAAATGCTCACAATGAGGCTGTTTCAGCGTGGAAAATGCATCTTGATTGTCGGCACTTATCCATCAAGGAACTGATCAGTCGTGATCAGTCGGCGGCGGCAAAGCGGGCACGGAGCGATAAGTCAGGTTGCGGCAAGGGCGAGAGGCCGACGCGGATCATCGGTCCGCTTCCTGCCATGTCGCATCACGGACTCCATTGGGAGCTCTTCGACTGAGCCAGCGGTGGTATTCTAGCACTTTCCGGCTGTTTGCCAGATTGGATCCCCCTCACTCACCCAACCCTTGCCGTGCCTGAGTCCTGCTCACCCAGCTCTTCGTCCTTGCCGTGTCTTTTTGGCAGTCTTGCCGGCGCTCTAGTCACAGAGTAACCAGGACCCCATGGACCCTGACAGCCGAGCTCGATTGACAGTGATGGAAGCCCAGCCCATCACGTCAATTTCACCTGGCGGCTCATGAACACCCTATTGCCTGCTTTGCAAAGGGGGGGATACGCGTCGAATCGGACGGGGCCCGGGCCATGCGTGTTGCGTGCGGGATGTAAGCATCGTGTCGGGATGCCCATCTGCTGCCAGACTTCAACCAGTGCGTTCGCGTGTCAGCGGATGTGCGGGGTTTCCGCTTCGGGCAGGCCCGGCCCCGGGCCAGGGACGTCACGGTGCCATTGGCCAAAGCGCAGCTAACTCCGCCGACGCTAGAACCAGGTGACACTGGCAGAGCCTGCGAGGAAGCGGCGCGCCTGGGCCAGGCCACGGTCGCACGCGTGAAGGCACTGGCAGGACCCAGAAGGGAAGGGGTGAATGTTGTGCCACTGCCCCCGAGGCTCCCATGGGCGTGCGACGCCTGAGGTGGAGCGGCTTCGACGAAGCAGGCCGTGTTGGGCACTGGGGCTGACTCGCCGATCGCAGCGCGGCGAGTGTGGCCGGCGGATCACCATATTTACTTCCAGTCCGAACTTTGGAGTGGAGTCGCTGTGAGTTTTCCGGGGGGGTATCCGCGGAGTAATCAGCGCCTGCCAGTGTCTGATAAGCGAAAACTGCCTTTTCGGGACCGGGGCGGAGGGAGTGGGGCGACAGCGTGCGAGCGGCACGTGCGCGGGCTGCGGTTGATTCCGCACCACGACGTCGAGTACTTACCGATTTGCGGATGCTGCCGCTGCCAGTGGGCGATGCCGCGGGGATGCGTGTCGCGCCCCGGATCCGCGTTGCGCTCGTGCAGCTGCGCCCGAAGGTGGGTCCGCCGCGGGCAATTCCAGGGCTGACGCGCTTCGCAGCTGGGGCACGTCCAGGCGAACATCGCGCGCGCCAAGGAGCTCTGCAGAAAGTATCATTACGCATTCCGGTACTAACTCAGTCTAACCACGCGCTAGAATCCCGCCGCACTCGGTCGACCTGGTGTGCTTCCCGGAGCTCGCGTTTACCGGTGCGTGTGCCGCCGGGCGCTGCCGAGCCGCTGACCGATCCAGGGTATGCGTTCCCCGACGCGCGCGCGATCGCGCCGCACTTGGAGCCCCCGCGGACGGGCGCGACGGGCGTGTTCTGCGCGGCGCTCGCGCGCGAGCTGGGGTGCGCGGTGCTCGCGGGGTACCCCGAGAGGCTGGACCCGAACGGCGCGGAGCCCGGCCCGGCAGGCGCGAACAGCGCGGTGCTGTTTGGGCCGGACGGGGCGTGCATTGGCGGGACGCGGAAGACGAACTTGTACCCCGTCGACAAGACGTGGGCCCGGCCGGGTGGGCTACCATCTCTTGCCCCTTTGTGTTCTGATTCGCCTGCAGGGAATGGATTCGCCACATTCACCATCCCGCTCGCGGGTCCGGGGCGGGCCGCACCTCAGTCGGCGCGCGTGGCGGTCGGGATCTGCATGGACCTCAACGCCGCGCCGCCGCACGCGTGGACGACCGAAGGCGGGCCGTACGAGCTCGCGGACTACGCCCTCGCGGAGCGCGCCGACGCGCTCGTGCTGCTGAACGCGTGGCTCGACTCGCGGCAGTATCCGGAGCACAGCCATGACCTGTCGACGCTCAACTTCTGGGCGCAGCGCCTGCGCCCGATGTGGGTGCGGAACACGGCTGCCACGCCCGATGCGGCGGGCCGGGAGACGCTCGTGGCGATATGCAACCGCGGGGGCGTCGAAAATGGTAAGTTTCCTTTTGCGGGCTGGCCTCGCGCCTCTCACTGCCTCGCGCGTGGGAGGCGTGTTTTATTTGGGGATGAATTGAAGGCTAATGGACTGTTGGACAGACACGGTGTATGCGGGCTGCTCGGCGGTCTTCCGGATGCGGCGCGGCGCGGGGGAGAGGGGGCTGCTGCGTGCGGCGCTGGGGCGGAGAGAGGAGGACGTGTTGATTTGGCCGGCGGTGGGGGAAGGGGAGGAGGAGGAGGAGGAAGGCTCCAGTGAGGAGGAGGAGGACGGGTAATGGTGCCGCCGTTGCAAATTGCAATTGCTGTCGGCGCGTTTCGGGGTTCATGGAGCACGCCATCGTTTGTCTGAACCCTAAAAGCATCCAAGTACTTATTTTGCACTCTATGCGTTGACCGACGGACACGGCCATACATAGCCCCATCTTTCCTCTAGTCCGAAGGCCACTGAAGGCACGTCAAGCAAGGCAGGCTGTAACGGACCTAACTTAACAATCAAGCACGCATTTCACAGCCTGAGCACGACAGTAGATTGAGCGTGACAACGCTATGATTGTGGATTGCCATGTCTCGAGGGAGGATACCCTCAAAAGCTTCCCGGGAGAAGGGCGTGACCGAGATAGCCAATGTTGGCCCTGTATGCAGGGTTGGGACAAAAACAGCCGCCAGTGAAACGGTAGAATATGGCATTGGAATTTGGAAATGAGGACTTCTTGACAACTTCTTGAGAGAACGCGGAGAAGTCAAAGTTGGATGTTGGCAAAGATTGGGGGTGTGTAGCAGAGGAGCCAGGCATGCACGTTGAGTTTTTGAGTCAAGGGCATGCGCAAGTGGAGGGTTAGAAGCACAAGTAGGGCTCCAACCATTTCTGTGTACAAACGTTTGTACACGGTTATAACCATTTTTATTTTCATTTAGTTTACTATGGTATGTAAATGGTAAATAAATGAAAACAAATGGTTTAAATGGTTATTCTCTGATAACAATAGCAGACATGCTCATAACTATGTTACTATCAGGTATATATCTGGCTACCAAATACACACTAGTGTAGGACATACCTTCCACATAAATATAGATAGTTGTTACATTTGTAGGCTTCTTCTTGAAGGAATCCATCACATGATCTGGCATCAAATAAGCCAAAGGCAATGAATCTGCCCTACAGGCCCATCTAGAACAGTATTACAAGTGAGAAAATGCCATCTTTCAGTTAAATAACCCTTATAAACTCAAGTATGTACCATAAAATTGTTGATCATTTCATATTATTATATTACTATTTTTAACTGTTTTTAAATGGTAATAAACGTTTACTAAACATTTTCTTACCATTTCCATTTAGTTTACCTGGAGGTGTAAATGAAAACTAAATAGTTGGAGCCCTAAGCACAAGCCTGAGAATTTCAAAGGCTTGACTTGAATGCACTGTCCATACGTAGTACTAGTGTCGAAATGGCTATCTGCGTTATCCAAGGGTGCATATTCATTAATGCTTCATTGCCCATAGTGCTTTGAGTGCTATGCGAGCCATGGATATCAATGAGGCGCAAGTTGAGATGAATCACGATCAACTTGAAAGAGAGACATCACACTTCTTCCTCTTGACCGCCACCTCGGCCACCCTCCCCTCCTTTCTTCCACCGCACAAGCTATCCTGCCGCTCCTTCAACCCAGATAACAGCCCTGGCGCCGCGCCATGCCCACGCTCTTTTCGCTCGACACCCGCGACCGCACCCCCAGCCAGACCACGACTTTCGCCTTCCAGCAGCGCCTCCTTCTCTGCCTCGCCGTCGTCCTCGCCGCCGTCCTCGCGTCCTTTGGCGTGGCGCGGCTAATCGACTATGCGACGCGTGGCCGACCCGTCGTGGAGTTGGAGCAGGAGAAGCGAGACGCTGAGAATACGGTGCGCCAATACCGACTGTCGTTTCACGCACCATATACTGACTCGGTGTTTCTCTGGGCCAGCTCGCCAAGGAGACCGCCGCCCTCGCCGCACCGCGCAGACGCCCCGCCAAACGCACGTCGTCCCCCAGCGCCCGCTGCTCCACGTTCTTCGCCCGGCGGACGACCATGTGCTTCAAGCCCGTCGCGCCCTTCTATGCCACGCAGTACACCGACGCGCACCTCGAATGCCCGGTCCGCGAACCCGTCAGCTACATCCAGTCCTCGCCGACCCTGCACCACATCACCGCCCAGCGTCTGTATGCCGCGAAACACGCCCATCGCAGCAAGAAAGCCAGCCCTGCTCCTGTCGATGCCAACGCCGACCCTTGCACATCTCCGTTGCGCAACGTGCTGCTCGTAGCCGAAGACTTCGAAGTCGACGTCACCGACCAGGCGAAGGCGGTGCTGGAGTCGCAGAAGGAGGCGAATCTGAAGCTCCTCCGAGTGTCTGTCAAGAATGCCCTCAAGAAGATCGCTCTGGCGCAGGCTCATGGTCCGCAACCGACTACCTCTCCGCTGAGTAGCAGCAACCACAACAACAACAACAACAACAACAACAACAACGCAATTTCTCTCGCTCGTTCTACGCGGTCCAGTCTCTCGTTGATATCCGACACCAACAAGTCCTATGGAAGTAAAGGCAGGAATAGACGGCGTGGCTTTTCTTTGGAGGGTGGGAAGGAGAATGTGCCGGCGAGGGGTTTGGTGTGATATGTACAGTACATGTGATTCAAGACACCTCAGTGTTCAAGTTGTACAGTTGGCGGTCTTGTAAGCAATGGTTATATTTTTGTGGACGGTAATAATCCCAAGTGAGCCGAAAAGGGTGTAAGTATATTAACGAGCCCAGACGAGTGACGACAATACTGGATTGCAGCGAATCCTCCTTCAAGCAAGGGGGGTGTCAAGATGCTTATCACGGACCATGGCACTGCGGGAGTTCAGGAATAAACGGCGCCCTTTTCGATCGATTATACACTAGGTGCCGGCCTTGCCGACTTGGACCTTGCTTTGGGCCTCCCTTGATTTGGTCCTTTCTTTAGCTATTGTGCAGCTTTTAATCATAAACAAACTTGTGTCATATTGTTTTTCCATTTGTTTGTTTAGCCCTAGCACTGAGGCTCTCTAGCACAAAAAAAATAATAGAATGGAGAATTTTTTGACAATTCCTAGTGGCCTAAGTAAATTGCCACAATACCCTTGCACTCAAAGTAACAATTGGAAAGTGTCAACTGTCTGCCAATTTTTAATTTTTTTGTGCCTGAAAAGGCTGAAAGTTTTGATTTTAATTTTAGTGATTTTTTGTCAAGGAGTTTTTTTTTGCTGTGTAACATGTAACACAGACACTTGATTGAAATACTACAGTTAAGGGAAACATGAAAGTTGAGCAATAAAGAGGGAGTGTGTGACAATAAAACATAAGCTGAGTGATGTCACAGATAAGACCTGGCCCGTCTGCTCTGGCACTAGTGTCAAGCCACCAAGGGCCAACAACACACAGCACGTAACAATGGGAAACAGGCACTCTAGTAGGGAGGAATGCACACATGGGAAGCACGTGACTGAGAACAATATGTTAGGCTGATGCCAAGCCCAACTTGCAGTACAAGGGGATTGGGGAGGAGTGCTAGGAGGCTAGGAGTAGCGCCTAGCCTGTAAGCGATGTATGATCGTCCCCTCTGCAACCAGGAACAGGGACGAGGAGGAGCAGAAGAGGCCAAGGGTGTCCAATCACTCCCTTAGCAGGCATGCATATATAAGGTGTGATAGTGTACAACTGTACTCTATCACTGAGATCATCTATTGTACCACTTCTCTCTGCGCAAGGAGGCATCACCGACTTATCAGGCCTGAAATGACCTGATTCGAACTAACACTGACTTCAGATGTGTATCATGTCATTTTATTTATATTCGTATGCCTAAAATAGTAATTTATGATATTTCTAGGTGGATATAATACCAAAAACTTCCCAATCATAAAATAATTTTAATTCTAATTTTTTGTATTAAATATTACACTTAAAATACCATTTGAATTGATTATTATTATTGCAGTAGTTCTATCATATAGAATAAAGGATTCTCAGGACTTTGCATATTTTTCCAAAAATGTTATCAAGGATGAAGTGCAAGCATAGAAGAACTATGATATCATCAAATCCATCAGATAACTTCTGTTTTAACCTAATCCACACTGAGCCAAGACAACAGATCATCAAAATTAATCTCACTGATTCCTTCCCAATTGGGACAACAGACTGAAAAAGTATAATTAGAATTATTTTCATATGAACTCCTGATATATAAGGCTATATACAAGTGTATCTCATAGTTTTCTAGGAGTTTTTCAAGATACTATCATTCACCATCAGAATCATAAGGATGACAAAAGTCCGGTGACAAATCAGTGGCAGTGAAGAGATTCCCCGAGGAAACTACGGAGGTTTGGGGGTTTTTGGTTCGGGTCGAGTTTGGTGTTGTTTGGCTGCAGACCCATCAACACATCATGATGTGGCGAATATAGACCGGGGAGGGACCTTGCAAAGCAAGGTGACCTAAAATCAAAAAAAATAATTTTTTTTGCACCGCACCTCTATTTGTGCCAAAAAATGCACTGATATGGTGAGTATGCCCTTATATAACATATATCAGGGCCCTGGATCATATAAGTGAACCTTTTTTGGCACAAATAGAGGTATAAAAAAATATTTTTTTAGAACATTGATTTTAGCCATATAATCGATCAAAATGGGGGCCGTTTATTCCCGAACTCCTGCAGTGTGGGGGTAGGGGGGGTCCCAGGGAGGGTGAAAAAAACTTTTGCTATGTAAAAGTTTGGGGGGGTTCTGGTAGGTTTGAGGTTGACTTTGCACCACATTTGTAGTATTTTAGCATAGAATACAGAATGCCTACTACTTTGCTCTGGGAAGGCTTTCAACACCTTCCTTAGGGTGGAGTGTGACTACAGTGTGACTGGTATTATAAATTTATTATTGCTGATTGATTACATATAGCCTTGGATGGCCTACTAATGACTGTGTGAGGGCTCAAGTCCTATATATCAACAATAAGTAATAGTATTTTGATGAATTTAACTAGAAATATGAATTTTATTACCACTTTTGATTGCATCATATGGTCACATGATGAGTGATCATAGGAATATATCACCCAATATGGTAAGGGGGAGGAGGGGTCCCAGAAGGCCCTTAAAAGGCTTTTTGATGGTATATCCGATTTCCGAATAATGACACCCCCCTTGCCTTCAAGTTATATCGTCGCCTAGAAGATGAAAAAGAAGCTGAAGCTTGGAAGCCAGCATAGAAAACACAGGCGTAGTAGGCTTTATCAATAGCTCTTTAAATCCAACATGACAGGTTGTGAGAGTAAAAGGCCCGGGTGTGACAACACATGTACACCTTTCATTCTTCCACTTATTGCAAACTCATTGTCAACCTCAGTGCTCGACAGCAAGCCCCCCGCTTAAGTCGTGCTTGGTCCCACGACCGACTCAGAGGCAGTCATCAGGACCAACCAGTAGGGGGGCTTGCTTTGGGATGACGATGTACACCATCCCGCTGCTGGGTCCTAGGAGAAGGCGGCGGAGGATGGGGTTTGCTTCGTAGCTGCACTCGTCACTGGAAGGGTGCATGTATTGTAGGCCTGTCCATGTCGGATGCAGCACTAATGCACGTTTCTGGTCCAGAATTATTGTCCTCGCTGTAACTCTCATCCTTGGACATAGCCTGGATTTCGCCCCTTTGTCAGACTGCGGGTTGGGTTGTGCAAGGACTTCCCCCTAAGAACGCGCGCCTGGAAGAGAACAGACAGATCGTCGGGCCCGCAAGTACGGCGAGCGGATTGAAACCAAAAGGGCCCGTTGACTTGGTCCCTTGTCGCTGTCGGTGGTCGAAGGTTTGAATCGGGTCGTATCAGGCCTGATGAGTCGTTGGCATCCCCTTGCACGGAGAAAGGTAGGTTTTCAGACAGACGATCTAAGTGATAGAGTACATGGTACGCTATCGTGCATTATATACGCAGGCCCGCAAAGGGGGTGATTGGACACCCTGGCCTCTCCTGCTCCTCCTCGCCCCGTTCCTGGCTGCAGAGGGGATGATCATACATCCCTTGCAGGCCAGGCGCTACTCCTAACCTCCTAGCACTCCTCCCCAGTCCCCTGGTGTTGAGTTGGGCTCGGCAACGGCTTGACACATCGTTCTCGGTCACGTGCTTCCCACGTGTGCGTTCCTCCTACTGGGGTGCATGTTCCCCATTGTCATGTGCTGCGTGTTACAGGCCTGCAGTGGCCCGACACCAGCGCCAGAGTGGATGAGCTGGGTGTTATCTGTGACACCCTTGGTGCTATCATGATGTGGGTTGTCCTAAAGCTTTTTGGCCTTGGCCCTTGAGGAGGATGGCCACGCGACACGATGCTTCCGAAGCAAGCGGCAACCCGACGATGGAGGGCGACGACCATTGGCAGATACTGAGTTAACTCTGTTCAAAGTCAATTAGGTTGACCAGAAGAGGGGAGAAGGTACATCCAGTGGTGGGGGCTTTACACTTGTGACCTGCCTGAATGTGTCAGGGCAACCTCCCTGACAGCCTGGAGACGCATCCGATTCCGGTCCGATTCCGGTTCCGACTCCGGTCCGGCCCTCCATCTCGCCCGCACAATCACCAATCCGTCAACGCCCTCCCGACGGTCGCCCTGGGACCTCGCCTGCTACGCCGCCCAAGCCTTCTGTGCCTGACAGCGGCAGCTACGGACAAGCAGTATATAGTCAGCTACCTAGCAGGCGGACCCTCAGAGTTTCTTCTCTTTGGATCCTCCCCTGCTAGGTCAGCTTCATTTGTATTCGCTTACCAATGTTCACGCTTTGGATCCTCCCCTGCTAGGACCTTGATCTCAGGCCTCCGGGGTTGCCCTTACAGCTGGTGTATATAATGTGCCAACCGATCCGTCAAGACCCTCCCAACGATCGCCTTGGGACAGAGCCTGCGATACTGCTCAGGCCTTCTGCGCTCTATGTCGGCAGTTACGGATGACCAGTATATAGTTTGCGCCCTAGCAGGCGGACCCTTAGAGTTTCTTCTCTTTGGATCCTCCCCTGCTAGGTCGGTCCCTCCGTGTATTTCCGTAGCTTTTATTCACGCTTTGGATCCTCCCCTGCTAGGCTTTCGTCGGAGTCTCCAGGGTTGCCCTTACAATTATCCACATCTTTTGTGTAGAAGTAGCGATATCAGCTGGAAAGATGGCCTGCCCCGACACATCGAAGACTACCTCGACGTCAGCGGCGACAAGTTGAGGTTTCCAGCGGGATGGTGCTGGGTCGGCAGTCACAAAAGTAGTGGCGCCGTCAGATGCAACGCGGGGAGTCGGGGATTGAGATCCTCACATGCATACCAGAAAAACTACAAGAAACGGGCATCTTGGCCCACACTATCATTCAAAATTCGACTAAAATACAACACAAACAGGCTTCTAGTCGACTCTAACGACTCATATAGAAGCAAAGAAAGGGCGAAGTCGGGCCAGCCGACTTGATGCGTAGCAAGTGCATCAAAGCGTAATCATGTTGATGTGAAAGCGTCCGGATCGAAGACCCGAGAAGACAGACAATGGGTGAGGACGCGTTCGAGATGCAGGGAAGAGTCGGCAGTACATATAGCTGCATCTATGAAGATGTGGGTACCATCCCAAGGGGG